TATCGGATAAGTAGATACGTTTTGTGGATATAAGCTGAAATAATAGTGGAGTTATAGGGTAGCTGCTTGCCCAATTTTACTGCCACTTTTATTACGCAAGATAAACGTAAAGGCGGGAGAAGCAGGTGAGTACAGCGTACTGGGCCAGTTAATTTTATGAACTTGCTTTCTTACTTTTTGCGATAAAAAAGCACGACAGACGTGGCCTTTTTTTCACTCTAAGAAGTTGCGAGAGTTGTGTTGAGTCTTCGAAGTTGTGCATAATAGAAAAAAGCAATTAAATGGAGGTACCTAATAAATATTTTAAATTATAATTATGGCCCAAAGTGGAGTGTTCCGGTTCTTTTTGCGCCGCTCGAACGGGAGCGGTTTTTATTGCGGTTTTAATATCGCCGAATAATTCAGGACTATTGGAATAAATCGTCGGCAGAAGTGCCGCCTCCGTGAGGCCTATTATAAAATTGCAAATTTTATGGATTTGAATAACAAACATTCAAACGGCCAGTCGACGGTTTCGCTCGAAGATTACCGGGAGGAAAATCGCTCCACGGGATTCCGGTGAAACCGCGAAATAGACGGAAGTTATCCCGTAAAAAAGCTTTTTTTATAGAAGTAATTTTTAGCCCGGAAAATTATTTACTTTCCCAGTTTAATCTAAGTACTCCATCCACAAGTAGTTCATTCGAAATTATCGTTATCCAGCGAAACAAATATGCGTTTCGACCAATTACAAAAGCTGCAGGTAAACAAAAGCCCCGAAAACAAAAGGCCATTCAACGGGAAATCCATCAACACCACTCAATGATTTATTACTTTCGCAGCAGATACAACCCTATTACGCACAAAGAAATTACACACTTCAGGAAATATTCCGGCCATTTATTAACGGTGTAATATTTGCACGGGAAGTCGGCCGAAACCTAAACACCGCCGTGCCCTATACCGTGTATTATAATTCGACGTCGGCGTCGATACGCTCCCCGTCTTTTTTTACGCCGGTACACACACAAATCCATTCCGATATCGCGCTGTTCGATTGACGCGCTCCCATTCTTCGCCGTATTAATAGTCGAATCGTGTCGAAGCGCTCCGGTAATCTACCGGAAACCGCCCGACGGTTTCCATTAATTTCCAAAAGGATTTTGTACCGGCTGAGGTTGAAGGTGGATGCTTCGTCGCAAGAAACGTGCGTGGAAGCGGCGCTAATTACGCGTAACCGATTAAGGGTTCATTTGATCGGATGTCAATCGTTAGAATAATGCCCAAGATGGTTTCATGGCGGGTGTCCCCCGAGAAAATCTACTATCAATTTTGCTTTGATATTAACTTTTTTAACATATTGACCGAAGTTATCAAGAAGAACTTGATTATCAATGAAGATATAAAATATTTCGGGCAGAGTTTTTTTAGTCGTTTGCTGGGCATCCCCCAACAAGCTGGCGCTTATAAATAATCGCGCTATAACGTGTAGATCATTTCTATTTGCATAAATAAATTATTTATAGATGAATTTTCGGGTAGCGCGCCGTTGGCAGCATTTTTTTCTACCCGCGTTTCGAAACAGCCGGCTCGCGAAATTGCTAATAGAATGTAAAATTAATAAAACGCAAAGAGAAGCATGCGGCATTTGCGCGCCAAAAATCGTCGCCGCTTAATTAACGAAACGGCAATCGTTCCATTGTATTAATAAAACGAATCCTGCCCGCTATTTCTAACGGAGTGTGCAATATTTCGCACGAGCCCGAGACAATGTTTTTCAACTACGATAATTATAAGTTCTCATTATTTAAATTGTTATTTTCAATGCCCGGGTCGTTGGGATCTTGAGCCATCGAAAGTCGAGATTAAAAATAAACTATAAACAAATCCGATAAAGAGTAATATCGATACAAAATCTCATTAACTGTTGTATTTTTAACCTGCAAGACAAATTTTGGGGATACATGTTTCAGGGAAACTAGTCATCAACGATTATGATTTTTCTTCTTAAATTTTGTATACAGGGTGTTTCTAAAATAAGTGGTCAAACTTTGAGAGCAAGTAGAGAACCTCAAAATATGACAAAAACTTAAATGTCATTTTATCGAAATGTCCTTGGTTATTGGTATACAGGGTGTTAAAGATGGATTCGTGATGGAGAGGTATTTTTATTAATAATTTCAATAAGAGCAAAGGTAACATTATGAAATTTGGTACACATACTAAACAAATGAAATGTCTTAGGGCAATATTCAATCGGGTTAAAAAAGTTGTCCAGGGATGGGTTAAAATGGGCGGTTCATGGGGTAATTCTAACATAACTTTTTTATTTTAACTTCTTCTATTGATTTGTTTAAAGAATATGAAAAAATGAAAAAATTTTCTTCATAAAAAAGGTATACTTGTTTATTTTCCGTAAAGTGAACCGTTTTCACGAAAAATGACTTTTAAAATTCTCATACACAAAAATTATTAAACTATTGTCATCTTTAAAAATCTAGGAATGAATTCTTTCAAAAACTATGACATTTAAGTGTCATATTTTGAGGTTCTTACAAAACACCCTGTAATTTTTTGTGCGATTTTGAGACTTTTATACGTCGAAAATATTCGACGAATATACGTCGAAAAATTCTTCTGAAAATATGTAAAAAAAATTAATTATGCCTGCCTGCGGGCCCCGGACCGACCGAGTTACCACGTAACTCGGGGATTTTTTTTAAATACCTATCTAGTCGCTGATAAAGATTTCGATTTAGGAATATCTTTTTTTAGCCGGCTCCCATTTCCCCGGGGGAAAACGCGAAGAATCTGAAAATTTCGTTTAGTCGTTACGAGCCCGTTTAAATATCCGAATATTCCTGTAGGCGGAGGGGAGACTCCGAGTCCGGGAATCGCTCGCGATCCGGGCCCAACAAGGCGAATTACCTTTTTTTTCTCTTCTTAACTTACTCACTAAATGTCCATCGTTCTGAATTATTCAGTTCGTGCCCGAATCGAAGGGAATTAAGAGAGGGTATTTCCACGATAATCGTTTTGTCATTAAATAAATATTATTTTCCCTTATTTTAGGCGCAGCTTGGAGAGGATCGATTTGATTCGTGAAAAAAATATGATCCACTAAACATCTTAAAACGAAGAAATTCCCGCTTAACCGAAGCCTATTATAGGTAATGATTAAGAATGAGGAAGTTTGGAAAAATTACTTTTAGAGCTAGTAAAATTTCATTCATATCGATAGGAATAACTATAACGTCCAAGGCCAGTTTTCCAAACCAAATTATCCATAAACTCCATTCAATCAAATATTTATATTACTCCGTTATCCTTTCTAATGTGACAAAATTTATCAGTACACAAAATTTGACTTTTTCTGGCCTTCCCCGAAATCCAGCACCCACATTAAAATCAACAGTTTAATGAACTAATCTCTATAAATCACCATTATCTAAAAGCTCGAAACTCCTCGGTAATTCCCCGACACGTCCTATTATAAATACCTACACATTTGTCGCGTGCCTTTTTGAGGTCATCTAATGCGTATTACGTTTGTGCCCTATCGCTCGCTCCATCTGTCCTTTGTGCAACGCCAGATAACGCCCTGTATGTCGGGCACAAAGGCTGTCGGGAATGTCGCGTGAGACGAGCGCGATAACGACCTGGAGGGATCTATAGTGGAGCTGTAACTTTCGACGGGAAGGTAAGTTTGTTGGAGAAGTTTTTGACGAGGAATTAACCGGGGTTTTTTTTTGGGAATTTATGCGGTCTCGGTAGCAGGTGAAAATTAAGTCGGGGTGGATTAAATGAGGAATTTAGTGCCGGTGGAAAGTTTGATGGAGGAAATCCGGCAAGGTGGAAATAATTGGGAGGATTTATTAGAGTGTAGTTTTTGAAATTTAACGAGTGAGTTAAAAGGAGAAAAGTGTCTACTAGTTGGAAAACTGGCGAAAAATCGACGGGGAGCTCCTCGAAGGCGAGAGCTGCGACGTGGAGAGAAAAGCGCGCGAACCGAGCGTGGAGTTGCGATAGAGCGGCGCGTCCGCACGTTCCGGCTTGATCTGGAGGGCTCCAAGTTAGGCGACTTGGCGATGCGAGAGCGCGTCAGCTTGTGGAAGCCTTTCCGGAAAACGCGGCCCGACCGTCTGTTGCTGCTGTGTCGGCTCTTGCGCTCGCCCCGCTCGGGACTCCCGGTTTTTATTTTTAATTTCCCGCTAAGCTTTGAACGCGAATTCGCCATCGCTGGATCGCACGGCGAAGCTCGAAGCTGCTGTTTATCCGATATTTCTGAGGCTAATTTGTGAAGGAATAATGGGTACCTATTAAATAAAGGTAGTAAAGTTAATAGTTAAGTAAATAACGATTCGTACATATAAAATTAAAGTTCGTAAGAAAGGCAATAATTGCATACAAAAATTAAACAAATCTTCCTTCACTTTGTTCTGATTGACAAGGTTGTCTAACATAGTCGTAAAATTACATGATTTTTTGCACAATTTTTATAAAATTAATACCTTTGGTTTTATTTACTCGAAGAATTAGTAAATTTACAATTTTCCATTCTTGTTATAAATGAATATGATCGCAATATGATAGATGATATTCAATAAACAATAATTGAATAATTATCAAATTAATTTTGGCAGCAAAACAAAATAATTTTCTGGAAAAACGGCTTTTCCGCTTTGAAATTTATAGCGAAAAACTTTGAAGTTTCAGCTGGTGTCGCCATCTGTGGTCCAATTAACGCTGTAATGTTATTGAGTTCTTCTTTAACAACTTCAGCAAGTATTTGTAGTATGCCCTTTTTCTGCAAGATGGCTGTATCTTGATATTATTTATTTAAACAACCTGCCTATAACTTGTTTTATTTTCAAAAAGAGGAAAAAACCAAAAAAGTTGAGGTTTTTATGAAGCATTTTCGATAAATATCCTATTTACCTACAATTGAACACAGTAGGTGTAAAATTATTTTAAAAGCACACCAAAACTTTTGCAATACCCTTTAGATTTTAATTGAAAATATGCATAAAATTTTACTTCTTTTAATCCTTATAATAATCCATAAATCGAGTGAGCACGTTTTAACTAAAAAATCCATATTCGGTGGAAACGAAAAGCTCGATAAATCTTCAAAAGATTCCTTAATTGGTAAGTATTATACTTTCAAAATAACCAGCGCTTTTAATTCATACAAAATTTCCATTACAGGAACATGCAAAACCGGCTCAAAATGCGTCCCCTTCATCAGCTGCCCCGGCCACATTTGGCACGAAAACAAAGAATTATGCAGCACCACAGTATCCAACACAGGAATTTGCTGCACCACCGGAAAAAACATCTCAAGTAAGTACCCTCTTACCACCAAACTTCCTTCATTCACCCATCATATTCCAGTGACAAACGCATCGAAAGAGAGAGTCAACTACAACCTGCATTTAGACTCCGAAACGATCGGCGTGATCAAACAGCGCACCAAGAACTCGATGAGCCAGCTCCAAGCCAAGGAAGCCCAGCTTCTCGCCGCCGGCGGTTCGGTGGTCTTGACGCGCGATTCCGCCAGCTACGGCCACTTCAGGAACTCCAGGCGCTTCAGCCGCTTCGACTCCTATGAAGTCACCGACGCGGCCAGCAGAGCTCTGGAGATGTCTTTGGCCACCAAGGCTTTCAAAGATCGGTAGATAATTCGGCTCGTTATTTTATTGATTTGTAAGTGTCTGATTGTTTCAGGGAAGGCTTGAGCAATTTGGATTTAGAGCAAGGTCTGCTCATGGACGACCTCAGCTCCACGCCGCTCGGCCATTCCTGCGCCACTCGACCCCAGTGTCCCGTGGTGGTGGAAAAGTACAGATCGATAGATGGTTCCTGCAACAATCGCTACTACGCTCTATGGGGAACCGCCATGTCGCCCATGTCGAGGTTGATGGCGCCTTCGTACGATGATGGTAATGATCGAGTAATTTGATCGATAGAAAGAGAATTTAGAAGTTTTTTTATAAGGTATCTGGTCGCCCAGAAGGTCTGTGGTGGACAATGAACTGCTGCCGAGTGCCAGGCGTGTGGTGACGACAGTTTTCACTGAAGAGAGCGCTGTTCAGCCGGAATTTACGCTGCTTCTCATGCAATTCGGGCAGTTTATCTCTCATGATATCTCCCAAGGATTGGATTTTACATACGGTAAGTACATCCACACTTTATGAAATAGACTGTAATTCAATGAAGTGATTTAGGGAACGGCAGCGCCATTTCCTGTTGTAACAAAGATGGCACAAAAAGTTTGCCTATAGACAGCCGCCATTTCGCTTGCATGCCGATTTATTTGCCGAAAACTGATTCTTTCTACGCCGGCTACAACCAAAGGTGCATGAATTTCGTAAGGACCGTTCTGGCTCCTCGGGAGGATTGCACTTTAGGCTACTCCCAACAGGTCTCTAATGCTATTACCTTATAATTATTATCCCTTGAACCCAATTTTTATCACACGCAGATGAACAAAGTTACCCACTTTCTGGACGGTTCGACCATTTACGGCTCATCTGCTGACCAAACGGCCCAGCTGAGGACCTTCGAAGGTGGGAAATTGAAGACCTTCAACGATTACGGTAGAGAGCTCTTACCTTTGGCCAAAAACAAGGATGCTTGCCTTAGCAACGAAGAGGGAATGGCTTGTTTCGAATCAGGTGCACTTTCCCGCCTTTTCTCCCTTTCAAATGGTCTCAAACATTGTTATTTTAGGAGACACGAGAACCAACCAAATGATCACCCTGGTCGCTTTACACACGCTGTTTTTGAGGGAGCACAACAGGATAGCGGACGTGCTGTCCCATTTGAACCCCACATGGGACGATGAATACGTTTTTCTGGAGGCCCGGCAAATTGTTGTCGCGGAAATACAAGCTATTACCTACAAAGAATTTTTACCGGCAATTTTAGGTGAGTACAAGTTTGAGATGGTAGCCTCGTTAATTTGTTAATTTCACTTCGTTTTTTGGTGCAGGGTACAAAACCATGCAAGAGTTCGATTTGAATTTGGAGAACGGGTACGATTACTATTTGGGATACGATTCGTACATAAATCCGTCGATAATTAACGAATTTTCTACAGCTGCTTTTAGATTCGGCCATTCCATTGTAGACGGACGACTCGAGTGAGTTATCTGATAATAATTAATAATACCTCATTAAAATACTATAAATAATTATTTCTAGATTATACGAAGGGCGTAAAATGGACCAAACGATCTTCATTCCCGAAGTCATGTTCTATCCATCTCAGATGCGTCGAACTAAATTTCTGGATATGATATTAAGCACGTTAACAGGAAAGCCCATGCAAGCTGTGGATAGGTCATTTTCCGAAGCTGTAAATTCCCCAAAATCTAACACTTCCACATATTTACTTAATATTTTTTCAGTTAACAAAATACCTATTTAGAGGAGGTAGCCCGTTCGGGGTAGACCTACCCTCCATAAACATCCAAAGAGGCAGGGACCACGGTTTGAGGCCTTACAACGACTACAGGCAATTGAGCGGCTTGCCCAGATACAATTCATTCGAAGACTTCGGATCGGAGGTAATCTCTAACGCTAATTTGTTCAATTTTCCACGCTTCGTGGTTTCAGGTCGGGGAGAAGCTGGCCAAAGTATACCGAAGCGTGGACGACGTGGACCTGTGGGTGGGCGGTTTGCTGGAGGAACCCATCGAAGACAGCCTGGTGGGGCCCGTGTTCCGGGATATGATAGCGGAGCAATTTTTGAGAACGAAGCGAGGCGATCGGTACTACTTCGAAAACGATCCCAGCGTCAATCCCGGTCATTTTAGTCCAGGTAAGAGATTTGATTCTACTCGTACGCTTGATGGTTGGTCTATATTTTCTTCTGATTATGATTCAGATCAACTATTTCAATTGAGGAAGGCGAGTATATCCAGAATCATTTGTGATAACAACGACCATATTCTCATTTCTCGGCTCGCTCCAAACGCTTTCCGAGTACCTAATGTCAATGGGTAAGCTATTTTATTAGAATCTTGAAGGGTTTGAAATACTCTTCTAATTTTTTTATTGAATTACGTTGTAGGAATGATTTCGTGGATTGCCACAGCAACTCCATACCAAGAGTCGATCTAAGATATTGGAATTACGCCTAAATTTCTTTAATATTGTTTTTAGATTGTTTGTGATATTTTTGTTACTATTTGTTTTAATGTAAATTATACTTATTTTATAGAAGAGTTTAACAAATAAATCTATTATTATTGATTATTTATCTATCTCTAATTAACCAGCATTACCAACACAATTTTCAACAGTTACTACCAACATCCTAAAAACACCTTTCATCTTCAGCCCTCCCGCTATCCTTGTTTCGCCCTATTAAAATCAATTTGTAACAAAACACGAGCAGCTCGTTGGCAACCAAAAATAATTGCTAACGGTTACCATACGAATTATTATCGCTCAAACCATCGTATTGCTCGATAGTCGTTTATGCTGTTTACACATCCCGACGCACCGTAGTCGCCGACAGCTTTTTGCACCCCCCCTGTTATATATCCGTATACAAGTTTCTACAATGAAGACCTTCGGCGTTTGCACCCTTATGTTGGTATGCTGCTTCCTGCTGGCGTTGAGCGGCGTCCGGGCCGACGACGAGGCCGGCGGAGCACCCGAAATGGCGAAGCCCCAGATGCTGGTGCTGCTGGCGGTGCCGCTGTTGCTGCACGCCGTAGGGGCGAGGCTCTTCGCCGCCCATTCTTGAAATGGAATTGTTGCATTGAAAATGTAAGAAATTTAAGAAATTGTCTTTTGCGCTTATTCTAAATAAATTTTGTAAACTTATTGGTTGGTTTTTGTTCGTAATGAATTGCTTAAGTGTTGAAAATTGTTGCGGAAGTTCCACATAGAAGGTACGTATAGATTTATTTTGTCAATTTCTAGTTCAAAAATTGGTAAAATTGATGAAATTGACGTTGTCAAAATGTATGCAAGTATCAAATATAAAAATTTGAAATTTGGTAAGCTAAAACTGTAAGTACACGAAGTTTTGGAGTTGTAGAATTGGTAGAAAAAATATCCTAGTCTGGTAAAATTGCGAAAAAATAGACAGTCAGACCGAGGAAGATTGTTGTTCCAATTAAATTAATCGATTCATCTTAACAGGCACAAGATTTATTTAAATATTTTACGTGACAACATTGATATAAAGGAGAAAATATCTACTAGTCATTTTCCAGCCTAATAACGAGTAGATTTACAATGGATCTAAACATTTAATTCAGTACGACGATTTTCTTAATTGAGATTATGGATAATGACGAATATTGAGCTCAATTTCTCCTAATTCAATTTCGTTGATCGCTTGTCCTGAAACAAAATAAATATATCTAAAAGGTGTTCGTTTATTCCTTTACAAGGGCTCAGTCAATTGACATTGGAGAGCTGGAGAGACTAAAATTACTGGTAACATTACCAATAACTTCTTTCTTACCAAGTAAGGTCTAAAAATAACCAATAATTTAATCTGTAGACAATCAATCACTCGCCAAATACAACTGGCTATTCAGCAAATTTACAATTTCTTCTTTTTTCTTCTAATTGGAAAGCTTGACATGACCTATGTAAATGAAAAAATCCTCATGGACTCACCCTAACCCCAACCACTCCAACATTCCCTCCTTATCTAACCCATTACTAATAATATAGGCATCCCTTTCTAAAACCATCCGAGTACCTTGGCAACCGGAAAAACAACCGCTCAGTTGCCACCCAAACAAGTATATAATCATATAAAATAATTTTCTGACGTTAATCGCATCTCTTCGTGGTTCCGATCTACATTCGTTCTATAATTTTAATTCTACACACTCGTATACAATAGCAATGAAGTCCTTAGGCGTCTACACCCTCCTACTGGTATGCTTTTTGATGACCTTCGGCTGCGTTCTGGCCGATGACGAGGCTGGCGGAGCCCCTGAAATGGCGAAGCCCCAGATGATGGTGTTGCTGGTGGCGCCCCTGCTGTTGCATGCCGTCGGCGTGAGGCTGTTCGGTGCCAATTGATGTATTTGTTACATTGGAAATGTAAGAAAATTTCTGTTATTGTATGCATTTATTTAAAATAAATTTTTTTTAATGTTAATCCTGCTAATTTCTGATAGGGATTTAGGGGTTTGGTAAGCTGGAGGGCAATTCTGTGGGGTAGAAATGGAAGGTTTTTTCGTATAGTATTTTTTTGACAAGTTGTCAAATTAAGAGTGAATTTGCTTGGATAAATATTTTAGCTTTTGCTAAATTAAAAAAATTGACTTTCCGAATATTAATTTATTATTACTAACCCTTCATTAACATCAGTGGAAATGTTGAGAAAATGTTCTATTTAGGAAGCGCTTAGGAAAATGTTCCGGGAAAGTCTGAGGAAGTCAAACCTGCGGACAGGCATTTAGGAACCCCGATTTTAATCCCAAAAATAATACCTCCGTAATTAGGCTAGCTCGGAAATTCGATAAAAAAAATATCGGCAGTTTAAAGAAAAGAAAATTTTCGGCTACCATTAAGTGAAAGAGTGCTTTCCACCTTAAATGTTTAGATAAGATTATCCTGGAGGGAGCGAGGATTGAAAGCGAATTGCGCCCCCAATTTTCCCCTGATAAACAAGTAGACTTTTTTAATTATACGAACTTTGAGTAACAGTGGAGGAAACAATCTCTGTTCCGGTTTGCTCGCTTTGTTTTGCTTTCGTATTAAATCCAAACAGTTAACGGGCTCTTTTTTAATTAAACATCACCTATAAACACCTTTCCTCAAGCGAAATCCCGTCTGTACGTCCAAAAAAAACGCTAGATTCGTGTAAATTAAACGATTAGGTACCAAAAAAAAAGCCTAGCTTCCAGTCAGAATAGAAATTTTGAATTTTGCGAATTTCCAAAAAAAAAACTATTGTCATGTCATATGTCAGAATATTATGAGAAATTGACTTATTGATTTATTGACTTTTGACGTTTGAACGAAAATTTCTAAATTCGATTCGGAATTTTCTGGAGAACTAATTCAGAAGTTTTCTCAGGAAGTTTTCACTTTACATTACTGTAAAATAATTACATTTTACTAGTAGTACTATTTTACTGTAGTAGTAAATTAAAATAATCGAGAACTTGGGAAAATTAGGCTTGACAACTCACCAAAACTTTGGGTAATCGTATCCTGTTGCTCTCGACTCCATTTAAAAAGCTGTCTTCGAATATCTGATCCGCATTTTTACGCAACCTCATGTCCCTGCAAAATAACGTACGTGAAAAAATAAAACCGCGCATTCCTGTAACACACTAGTATTAAATAACGAGTGTTTACGAAAGTTCCCGCAACAACCGGCTAATTTATGGGCGCCACATTTCCGAGCGGGGGTCACCTTTCGATTGCGAGAAGACCCCTAAGGAAATTGCAGACCGTAGTGTATTTAATTTCAAAGGTCGAACTCGAAGCCGGTTATCAAATTTAACGCAAATTTGCAAACAAACTGTGCCGAATTAGTTCGGTTTGCTCCCCGAGACTTTCTAAACGAATTAAACGCCGGAATATACCGATTTAAAAATGAACTATTTCTAAATTCGCAAAAGTAGATTTACCCCGTGGGATTCTCCATTTCTTCGTCCGGGAACAAACGGTCCCCGCCGAGCTTGGCGCCGCCATCGAAATCGTCTCTTAGGTAACGAAAATCCACTGGGCCCTGTATCAATTTGGACAAGAACCATCTGGTTTGTAGGTTATTGGGAACCGGGACCTCTTCGGTATCCCGGGAAGTACCGCTTCGTTTTCCGTGAGCTGCGGAAGCCAAAAAATGTTATTAATCACCTGAGTATTTTTTATTTAGGGGTATTCTTTTTTACCTCCCCAACAGGCGTGTCCGTAATTTAGGCAGGACCCTGTAACAATATAAATTCTAATTTATCTGAGGTCTGGGGCTCAATTCTCGACTTATTATTTAAGAAAGATTATAACAGTGGTTGAATTGAGAAATTTGCAATCCTAGAATGCCTACCTATCAATTTTTCTTTTTCCTTCATATGAGATTAATAGTTGTCTTTGTTGCACCCATATAGCCTATATTGCAAACTATTTTACATCTATATGTATAATTTGAATCTAAGCACTGAACCTAGTGACTTTTTCACTCTGCTCAAATAGTTGGTACGACATGATTACCAACTGAAATCGGTTTTGACTTGTTACTAGATGGTAGTTGGGTATTTGTAATTTCTATTACAAATGTAATTACATTAATGGAAATAAAATAACTCGTATATATTTTCGCGTTAAATTAGCGCGAAATCAAATTTATTTTTGCTTCCATTGAATCGATTGATTAGATTGGTATCCATTTAACGAATATTCTTGGTGTCATGTAACTCATAAAGGTGTGCTAACAGGAAATTAATTTTCTTCTATAAATTACATTATGTTCCTTCGGTATCATCGATTTAAAAAGGTTGCGGGTATATTTCTTGGAATCAAAATTTTATAATTAAAAACCCTTTTTTTGTTCAAAAGTTTACCGTGTATATCCAATGAACTAAATACCGACCTAGTTATTACTTAAATGTATATATTTTTTAAATTTCGTTAATTAAAATTTGTTTCCCTCATGGTTGATTTCATCATGTTTTCAACGATGTTATTAAAACTTCCAGGCACTTTATTAATACACTTAGTTTAATAGATTTCCGACGAGCACAGAGCATGCAATTTTTTATTAGTACCTGTTACAACTTGTTTATACCTCATGCTATTCAAAGCACACCAACAATTAGTTTAATTTCAATAATGCACAATGCATGTAACAATAAAAATTCGTGTACCAAGGAGTTTTCTTCGGGGAGAAATTTGAAATGTGTGTAATCTACAGGGACATTCTAAAATCTTCGATACGTTGAAATAACGATATTTCAAAAAAAATCTTAACATAACAATGTTATTACAGCCACCTCGCATCGTTTTTTTCTCTCGTCTCCAAAAAGGTACTAAATATACCCGAAGATGTTGCCGAATTATTCTTCGCTTGTCAATAAACTTTTTATACGCATATTTCACGTCTGCCATCAAAATACGCGACTCTTTTGGGGATCACCGAAAGCAAGTTCGGCTTACTAAGATATTCGCATGAAATATTCCTTCCATTAAGTATATCTATTCCCCATAGATGAGGTGGTAAAAGCATGCAAATCGGTGCAAGAAACCAAAAAAGTATACAGAGTGATACAGTATGCCGTAGGGAGTGTACCCACAGAGCAAACTAATTGTAAGTCTTCAAGATCTTAGTTCAATAAATGTGTAATAACTTGACAAGTCATTTGACCTACGTCAAGCGACGTTATTTTTGCGTAAACGCAAACAAACGGGGAAAAGTAATTTCGAGTCAAATAAAAGGAAATTACAATGAAGCGGTTTGGGGAGGCAAAACGAGAAGATTACTTAATTCTTATTAGGGGGTTGCACTGTGTTTGTAATAATAAAGCATTAAGGATAGGAAAGTTCCAAGCGACGTGAGCCTGAGCTAATATAGAGTTTGAAATCCAATAAACTCCATTGTAATAAGATATCGGCAACAGGTAAATATAACACCTAGTTTAAATCATCAGTCAGCGAAGAAACCAAATATTCCTTTATTAAATGTTTGCTTTACAAAACTAATTTTCCAAATTTACGTGGAAATTCTTTATGGCCTAAACGATTAGTAGTTATTAGAGTTATTTTTAATCGAAAATTAGATACAAAGCCGTTTGCAGCGTCCTGTTCACGATTAACCGATTAACCCCTAATTATTAAATGAGCGTAAACGTAATTAGATATTGCCAATACAGTCTCTTATTACTTGTGACAGGCGGCAATTCGAAGATGATTAAAGTCCGGTGAAATTCCGGTTGAGTCCGGTAACGTTTCGAGATCAACCCATCAAAAATTAATTTTCGAATAGTAATTAGAGAGAATTCTCTAGTTTATCCTTTCTGAAATGCACTAGTGCTTTTTTTCGATAAATTTGTGTACGTGTATGTAAAATACAAGGTGTTATTTAATTGAGTGCCGATACTTCAGGATGTGAATATTTGGATGATTTTAACAAGAAAAGTTTATATCAATATATGTCCTAAACCTTAGTTTTCAAGCTACAGGGTGGTACATTTAAAAAAAAAACTTTTCTATCATAATTTTCTTATTACACTCCAGATATTTTTATGAAATTTTGTACACACTTTTTAATTAAGGGGCATTTTTTGAGGCAAAAGATTTTTTAAGTTTTTACCAGTGATGTCCGTACGAGGTTTGAACAGAATATGTTTGAAGAAAAAATGACACACCACTGTTTTTGTTAAAAACTAAAATTATTTTTAAAATCCTCAGTCATTTTGGAGCAAATTCGGTCCAAAGACTTACTTTCGTACGACGCACCATTTTCGCGTAAAAAAATAAAAACCAAAACAATTTGTTACCAAGTTCATTGGGACTGCCTTTGACATTTTGTTGAAATTTGGTAGGCGCCCACCATGCATGGAAACACTTTTTTTTTTGAAAAAATTATTTTTTTACTATTACCAGTGACGTCCGCGTCCGAAATATCATAAAAATGTATCAGCAGTAATAAGAAAATTATGAGAGAAAAGTATGTTTTTTCTAAAACAGCAACACCCTGTAGCTCTAAAACTAAGAGGTTTAGGATAACTCTTGACATAAACATATAACATTTTTTCTTAAAATAATCCAAATTTTCACATCATCAAGTTTTTTTATTTATGTATATACCATTATATCATATCAAAGTGTTAATGAACAAATTTTTGAGTAAGAGTTGATTGGGGTTTTTTTGTGCGTGCAGTCGAATAAGCAAGTGAAATATGACGTAATAAAAATTAAAATTAAATTCGAACTTGAATTTAAATTCCAAATTTCAATTACAATTCGTCTCGTAATTAGAATGAGAAATGGAATGATGTTTTCTGCCGAGGTTTCCAACCTGAATGTCGACGAATGTTTAATAGAATTTATTCATTTTCAGGTTTCCGTGAATTTGTTTTGAATTATGCGAGAATTTCAACGATATTTCTAAACTTTCCAATATTTCAAAAAAATGTACCACCTCTTTCCTATATAGGAAAATATCAAAAAAAAATCCAAAATTCCAAAATTCCACTAAGAAATTTCAAAATCTCCTATGCACTCTTTACTCACCAGCAGCGCATTCGGCGAAGCAGAAGACCAAAAAGGCCGCGACGAACTTAATCGCGATTTCCCTCCGGAGCCTCGGCATCGTCTCGACGAGATTTTCCGCGTCTTCCCAAAGAAAACGCACTGTTACAAACAAAACCTCGACTCGACTTTACCGTCTGCCGAACAACTTGTTGCTGAAGGACCGCGACGCTCTGCAGCTCTTCAACACGGTGGGGCTTTTATACCAAAAACTCCGCACTGCCCACGCAACGAACGGCGTGGTGAGTCTTCGCCGGGAAAATCGTACGTTGAACGAAGGAAAAACCAAGCCGAAAACCCGACAGAGACTTTCTGGTTTTCATCGAGTGATTTCTCTTTGCACAGCGGACAGTTTGTTTTGTACTTCTCTTGAATATTTCTTTGATATCCACTTAGATATTTTAAGTTTTTTTACCGGTAATGTCGTAATAACGAAGCGACATCGCGGAAAATTCATTTCTCCTACTTCACACTATTTCCTTCTGAGTTTAATGGGTTTTCCACTTACAATCATGCGGCGAAAACTTCATCGGCTTTCATTGAAGAAAATGCGCGTAAATGCTGCCGTCCCATTGTCGGGTTTTCCTTTTCTCGTTTTACACCTAGGAAAAATCATTAAGGAAATGTTTCTGCTCGAATTCTGGAAATATGAACAATCGGTTTCTGTCCGAATTTAATGGATATTTTTCTTGTTCTCGACGTTATTTTCGACACATGCCGTGATGTCGCTTTTGTGCATTTAGTTCATTAGGAAAAGTGTAGGATTAGTTTCCAACTGCATATTTCAGGTGCTGCGAGGGTCACCGAGAATCCCGCGCAATTTATTTAATCATCACCCTTCTGTGCGGGAACTGTAATTTTAATGATAAGCCATTGATTGATACGTTGAATTGGAAAATCAGTTTAAGGTCGGGGCAAACGGGTGTAGGATAAACAAGTCAATAGAGTCGTCGAGAAATTAAGAAAAATTGAAAAAAAAAATTAAAAAAGTTGTTAATTGAACTGTATAATCACTTGTGTACAGACCCAATACAAAAAACATCTTTCTGTGTTACATTTCTGTCAATGACATAAATGTCAAATTCATGTCAAAAATTTACTGCCACACGTCAAAAAAATTTGTACATTTAAAAAATTTTATATAGCTTTAATTAGTTTATATTGATATATTAATCCACTTTCAATACATGTGGATATGTTTACCCTTACATCGGCAGCTCACAAATTAATAAATTAAAGTTTTTTCGATTACTTCAATATGACAATTTCAATATTTGCTCGTCCATTGAGCATTGTCGAAGAGTCTTGCTTCCATTCTAAGTAAGTAGCTCTATTCTACTATTTTCCGAAAGCGTTTTGAAACAAATTGGCAATCGAATTCAATTTCTCAATTCCTCGAATCTCGATTCAGGCAAATGAACAAAGTCCTCCCATCGCAATTGTCGAAAATCGTTTTCGAGTAGGCCATGTATGCCATATTATTTTTTTGTTACATTATCATCGCAATAAAACTGAGTAGGCGGCCAAAGGACGTTCAAATAACACGGTCGTTTAACCGAATCTGTTCGAATACGAAATAGCACCGTTTATCATTTGTAAAATCGTCGAAAGTCCTTCCTGAATATCCTAATAAATATGGTTTTGAGCGCCGGTTTTTTCGCACTCGGGTAATAAAATCTAGGTCATTTTGTCCTGTCGCAGTAATGACGTCATGTAGAAATTCGTTTGAGTTTACCTGTTTACCTGTTTTTGGTGGCAAAGACGAATGTCGCACACGGACGGATCCGTCTTTTTTCATGATTCGTAATACCGTATGCGCGTGTGAAGTTCCTCATAGCAAATTATTATTTACTTAAAAAAATAATAACGATTCGTTAAAATCACGATACGAAAAAAAAACGAATCGTCGCCATGTGAACGAGCTGTTAGTAATTCGAACTGTAAGGAATGTGTAACTGTAAGGGAAAACTGGTTTCAGGAGGGGACATAGAAAATATTATCTTCCAAATTCAAAATTTGAACATTTATTTAGTCCCTGAGATTTTGTCATGAATAATAAAAAAATTGACATAAGCAAAAAAATTAGCCCTGTCACAAATGTCAAAATGTCAAAATTGTCAAATGAAAACAAAATTAGCACAAAAGTAGCTCAAAATTACAATTGAGTGTATAAAATACAGGTAATGTACATAATTCTTTTAGTATTAAATTTAATTAATTACTCCCTCTAACGTATATTCAAGTTTCCACTTTATTCCGCGCGACACACCGGCTTTTCAAACGGAAAAACTTAGACGTTACACAATCGAATTTTCTCCTTTTTTTTTCTCGGTCTTCGGTCCGTCCGGAGCGCGACCGGGCGCAATTAACCGAGTAGAAATAACTCATGTTGCTCGGGCTAATGAAATAATTACATGCCAACGTGCGACCGTTGGCTTCTAATTCGAAGCGAAAGCACCTTCGAGGTTAGAAATGGGATAGTCGTGTCGTGGGTGACCGTTTTGGGCTATAATGTCGTACCGAAAAGGTGTGACTTTTGATACATTTGTATTTAAAATGAGTTAAATGAGAACCAGTTAAGCCTTTTTTGGATGCTGGGATGTTTGTAAAAGGAGCTTAAAAGTTTCACTTCTACTGCTACTTCTTTTAGTTCTAGTTTTCCTACTTCTGCTTTTTCCAGTTCTTCTAGTTTTTCTTCTTCTAATTCTTCTAATTCTTCTAATTCTTCTACTTCTAGTGTTGCTCTTCTCCAAGTTCCTCTAGCCTTTTATTTCATCTAGTTTTTTTATAGTTTTACAAATTCTTTTAATTTTTTTTAATTTTAGCTCTTTTAATATTCTTTTAATATTCAAAATTTCCATTTTATGGACCATTTCAAACTTTCATATTTTGGTTATTTCGATAATTGCATAATTTTTCAAACATACCCGATTTTATAATAACTAATAGCAAAGAATTGAATATAATGAGAAATCCACATCAATAAAACCATTCTCTCTACAAATCACACATATTACTTCTATAATTTAGCGACTATTTCAAAAATTAAATACGTTTCCAATTCTCACCTGTTCGATGAAATATTGCAATAAATTTGCCGTATCCATCGAGTTCATATTTTCCTGTGATGTTCAATGTTCAATTAATTGACTTGGGAAAGAACAAACGTTTCCAAATTTAATGAATGCCCCGTATAAAATAGCCTCTAAAGTGACATAATAACGATGTAATAGGACGCGGAAAAAATGATCTCCCAAACAATCGGTCGATTGAACACGTACAAGTATCATTTGATTAAAGATATAAAATTCGCATGTGGAGGAAGGGTTTTTATCGCTTTTGTCTGCTTTGTTCGAAACTATATAAGGGTGATAAAAGCTTTCTGTGATTGAATGCAAACATTTAATAATAATAATAATTTATGTAAATACCAAAATAAACTTAAACTTCTTGTGTAGGTTTCTTATTTGATGAATAGGGTACATTTTGCGAATAATTTAATAGATGAGTGTGTTTTTGTGTATTCTAGCTTCATCAGCTTCATTTTTTGGAATTGTAGCTTCTGTGTAGAGTTACTAGCATTACCTGGAGTTGTAGAACTGAATAAGTTTATTGAAGTTCAAAATTTAATGACCAATTACACTTATTAAGCGTTATATCCTTCAATCAAATTCGCACAAAAAAGGCTAATACATAGACAATTTTTGCAGACAAAATTTAGCAACTTTTCACTCTGGTTAACGACGCCGTTTTCGTAGTAATTATTAGCAATTTAGCGAAATTTACTCAAAACGATATTAAATTCCCTCCCACTGTTGACGGCGAGTTAAAATTTTTAATGAAAAAATTTAATATCGGTCGCTCATATAGCGTCTAAATAACACGAAGACGTTCTGTTTACATGGCACCCGACCATTTGCCTGATGAACATCACACACAAAATGTAATTTAATGACTTTAATTCGGGCAGGGGCGGCGCTCTTGGGGGTCCGAAAGACGATCCGCCACAAAAGGGATGTACATTTTACATAAAGTATAAGCAGAAAAACTACAGTATAACTGTATCATTTTTGTGGAAAAAAGGTATACCTACTTGTTGTTAGTCTCAAAAGTTTCTAGTTTCCGCAATAATCGCATTTTATGAACCAAGTATAGGTACTCATACTTTGACGTTTTACTAAAGCAAAAATTATGAAATTAATAACTTTTATTTAAGAAAAAGAACAAGGAGGACAAAATTAATGACGAATTAATAATTAATAAAAGGACAAAATAATGAAAGGACCCAAATAATAAAGTAAAGGAATTAATTTCCCTTAATAAAAGATTTTTCTTTTTCATTCAAGGTATTTGATGAAATGAAAAATCTGTAGTGTGGTTCTTAAAATGCGATTATTGCGAAAACTAGTAACTTTAGAGACTAACTATAAGTATACCTTTTTTTCACAAAAATGATATTGTTTGAATATTTTTTAATAAAAAAAAGTTAGCTTTAAGAATAAAAAAGTTAGACGTACATTTACATCAACGGTATAGCTCACGGGGCGCCTTGTAAAAAATATCTCTAAACAGATATCATATTATAACTTTTTATATCTTAAAACGCCTATCTCCAAAGTTTCACGTTCGTACATCCAAAATCTTTCGAACTGCTGCGAAAAATCTTTATTCCCATTATAACTTTACCACTATGTTTCTTTTATGTTTTTAATATTTTATTAAAACAAGTTGAGTTAGATCGTAATAATTTGAGGCCGAGCATCTTCCCCTTCACGTTGGGCCATTACTTACAGACCACACTGTATATAGACTCTCTGGTATAAGCTCGAATTAATTTAGCAAGCCGAAATCCTTTAAAGGAATCTCTAAAATTCTCACAGCAGGAATACATACTAGATTTACAGCTTGGAAATTCTTACCGAGGATTAATGCAACTCAGGCTTAACAATAACTGTCTACCGGACAGTTCTTAACCAAAATTTCCGAATCGTTTGTTGTGTATGTTTCCATTTTTCCATAATGCCAAATCCTTTAAAAGCCCTTAACGAACATTTTTTGTACAACCACAAACTGGCTATGACCTTGCAGCAATTGTTGCACGCCAGCGGTGAGTTTCGATAGGCGCAATTTGCCGATATATATTTTCAATTTGTTCTCGTTTCGAGATCGCGGATTAATATCGATATGGTTCGACAAGCTAATGGACATGGACAAGTCGGTGGAGGAGATAATCATCAGGAGCGATTACATGTGGTTTATATTGCTAATGATGCAAAGCAAAAGGATTAGGGAACCTTTCAACAGGCTGCCGCCAACTAATGTGCAGCCGTTGAAAAAATTCGTGGTAACTTATTATGCAAAAAATTGTTTTAAAAGATTATAGGAGATAAGAGGGATTAAGAGACTCTTTAAGTTTGTGTTTCGCTTATGGATATTTCGTTTTTTAGCCACCTCATGTGTACGAAGAAGTGCTTATTGCTAACGAACCCAATATGAAATTTGTTAATCAAAAATTCCGTACTAATGAACACAGGGATATCTAGCATCAGGTACCATTTTTGCTCGACTTGCGTTAGAACTAATTTCTTTTGCCCTCTGTAAGTTTTCGCCAGCTGTATGAATAAATAAAATTGAATAAAGTTCACCTATGTCAAACCTTATAAGATTTCCAGTGAATTAATGCGCATATGAATTCATCTACTGCAGCAAATACATACTAATCCAAAAATATGTTTTCATGCAAAGCATAAGTAAGTTGGTAGAGTGCAAAATTCACCTGTACAAGAAGTCCTATTAGCTACGCCTACGAGCTCATTTTTAGAGCAATTTAACTTTAAATTGTTATGCACCGAGAGTTACTGTAAGACACTTCCGACTAACGAGAACGTTTAAGCGTATAAGCGTTTTCGATCCAGTTAAAGTCTAAAGGATAATTAGATTTTTTATTCGATTATAAAGAAAGTTTGGAAAACTGTAATTTGAAATGTAATTGCCATAAAAAATTGAATCGGCAGGAATAACAGAGAGATAAATCTTAAAAGATTTTTCTTCTCGGAGGAATTAAATTGCTCGTTAAATAATTGTCTGAGTAAATTTTTGTACGGGGGTAAATAAATTAGGTATGTACGTTTGGTGTATAAAGAAATAACTTTCATAATGTAAAAACTTAACTTGATAAAACTACAATAAACTCTTGATGAAATCCTTAAAGATTTCGCCCAAAACCAGAAGAATCTCCCTAACTGGCAACACTGTTGACAGTGGGACATTGTGTAGTAAAACAGTCACAAAACTCGAAAAGAAAAAAAACTATTAAACGGTCCGTATTTACATTAGATCAACGCTCTATTAACATCATCATTAAAATTCGCGCACCCATAAGCGCCGAAAAAAAATTGATACCTAATAAAATTAACAAAAACTTCTTTCTTCAACAATTACGGAGTATTTTTACTGTAGATCCCCTAAGAACATTCCAGCTCATTCGAGAACCCTCCAAATAATTTATGCGCTCACAATCTAATTAATTATGCGCTACATACTTAATTTTTATTCTCTTCAAACATAGTAGGTCAGCGGTATATTCGAGTAGCGCAAAAATTCAGCGCATAATTCTGCACTTTTTACTCGCGCATAAATACAGCGTATATTTTGTTTACTCCTCTCCAACTAAAGCGTGTAAATTGTCCCGATAAATCTTCGATTGACGATCCATGATCGATTTGGGCGCGCCACTGGCCGGTGGGGACCACCGAGGTCACCAATAGATGTATGCACATGGTGTAGCTGGTGGCGCGGGATTCCGATTTCGTATCAAACGACTTCTCATCGAAAGCGCAACAATTTCGATTCCATGCAGAATCGGTTTAGTGATTTTTAGTTAGTCGATATAAATCTTTTTTTATTCGTTTTTCTCGCGTTAGCGGGGACGCGGCGAGTTCGAGTTCGATTCCTGGCTGGTTCAAAGTAAGTGGAGGATTTCAGGATTTGGGTTAATTTTGACGGGCGATCGTGGCTCGGTAATGATAATCGTGATGCGCTAGTTTTGTTATTGTTCTGTACGCAATATAATTGTTATGGTGAAATGATTTACGCTTTAGTCGCGAATTTTGTTTTCGTTCCTTCTTAACTCTATTGCTGTGATTGTTAGATAACGAAGCGAGTATTCTATTGCCACCCGTTTAATACGTTAATTTATTTACTCTATCTTTTGTTAATTCGACGCTATAATTTATTAGGTAGAGATCAAATTATTCTATTGTGAATGGTCCTTGTATAATACATTTAGTTAAAGGTTGTTAGTTATTGTTATTTTAAAACAATATCCTTGTCGAGTTGGTACATATACCTAAGATAAATTTTCAATGACGATTTTCCTTTTTTTTTTATTTTTATATGATCTTTCCAGACGTTTCTACTGAAAAAATAGACCTTATGAGTAACATGTTTGTGTATTTGTTTTGTAAATGAAGAGAGTATTGTGAATGAAGGATAACTGGCTTACTGATTTTTCTTTAGATTTCTTCTTGCATAAATTTATCGAAAATATTGAAGTTGGCCATCTGCAAAGGCCTTTTGTGCGTCTCAGAACAGTCCGTATATTTCGTTATGAATTTTAAATTGTTTTGTTAAATGTTTGATTTCATAGAAAATGGGAAATTATTATGCTGGTAATGATCGTTCAAAAAAATGGAATACCAAACTCCAAAAAATTAATGAATTCTAAATATTTATTACAAGTGTAAATAAATAAATATTCTCAAAAGTTAATTAGATAAATTTTTTATCTATATGTGTTGCTAAAAAGTATTTTAGTGATTTTTGCATTGAAAAAATATTTATTTGACCTCCTTACTGGAATTAACAAATTTATTGATTCCCAAAAATAAACTTTTGCAAAATTCTTCTAAAAAAACATTTAGTTTAAACGGTAATTAAATAAAGGATTTATTGCGGTCGTATTTTTTGGAAAATCCTAAAAAAATAAAAACCGATCTCGTACTAATTATTCAATATAATAAAAAACAGTCGCAATTTCCAGTTAAAGGATTCGTTTAGAATCCGTTTACGTATAGTTTCCATTTTCATGTAAATAAAATTATAAATTACAATGCATAACAGGAAATTCCCAATATCAATTCCGCTTAAATTTAACAATATATCTTAAAGCTTAGCAATACCTACGATAAAATATACCAAATGACGACAATTCAAAACAAATTTCAGACAAAATGTCTCACTATAATTGCCCAATATTGATATTTTTTTCGTTCGTCATTTTAAACTATCCCAGATAAACAAGGATAAAATTTACATTATAAATAATTGGAGGTTACATTGGTTGATAAGAACGATAAGATACATTTTTCCGGTATATCCGTAGGAAATTGATACCGACAATCAGTTTTTGCGTTTTTTAATTATCTGACCATGTACCTCTAGGTGTCTCTCATTCTTCTAATAAATCAATATAATACAAAAATTGTTATTCCTGTTATTAATTGATCTATATTATTGCTTGTTTCTTCACGTATAGTCACCTAATAACAGTTAATTATCCATTATTTACTCTTCAAATTATAGATGTACAAAAATGCAATAATCATCGCATCGATCCTAATACCCCTAACAGTGTGCCAAACTTACAATAATGACGCGTTCAAAAGACAAATCTACTTTCCCGACGATGCCATGGTTATGCCAAAAAGACCGTCAGCCAACAGATTTCCAGCTGCAGCAGCGGCGCCCCTGTCTAGTCAATACATGTCCTACGAACAGTTCGTTAATCAACTATTATCCCAAGGAATCGGCAACCTAAGTTTGAAGATCAACAAAGCCTACCAAGACCAAACGGACGATAACGTGGTTTTCGCCACTCTTAACATAGCAGGTTAGATACATTTTATTATTATAGTCCGTTCGCCATCAGGAGATATTAAAAAATAAAAGTTTCTTATTCTCGTTCGAGTCCTAGTAATTCGTCTCGATTCGTTTTAGCGGCGTTGGCGTTGGTTCTACTGGGTTCCAACGGGAAAACCTTCCAGGAACTAACCACAGTTCTGGGTCTAGCTACGGGTTTGGACATAGAAAATCGGTCGGTAAAAGTGCACGAGGGGCTCGGCAAGATGATCAGGAAAATCGAAACCACCGCAGGGGTGATCATAGGCCAGCAAGTTTCGTTTGCAGGTACGTTTAACCTACCTAAACCTGCCGTTTATCTGATCGAAGCTTTGTTGTAGACGCCGTTTTCGTACAGAACAATTATCCCATACGCAGGCTGTATAAGGAGTCTGCTGAAGCTTTGTACAACAGCGAAGTGGTTAACGTGGATTTCCAATCGAATCCGGATAAGGCTGCGCAACTCATCAACGCCTGGGTGGCTGATAGGACCAAAGGGAAGATCATGGATATTGTGGACGACGTGCCATCCGATACTAAGGTGTTGATAGCGAGTGCGATGTACTTTAAGGCCGAATGGGAAAATCCTTTTATGGAAGGCGTGACAACAAGGTACACACCATATTCATTTACATTTAACTCATCGTACTCATAGCATAATAGAATCCATTTGTGAGATGGTTCCACTTAAGCATAATTTATGCTAGGTCCTTGATAAATGGAATCCTATTAGGTTTCAATTAGTACCATGATCATATGCTTGGATAGTAAGATAAGCAAAGCAACTCCATTTGGAGTTTATAGAATAAAATGACCGCAGATGGTAGAAAAAAAATCCTTTTAGAAAAGAGTATAACCTTTATTTTACAGTTTATTTTAATACATTTATGTGTTTACCTAAATACCTACATTTATGTTTGCGACTATTCAAAAAACCGAAGTACATTATTATCAATTAAACCGTTAACTGATATTTCAGAATTTAAATAACCATCGGTGTAAGGTAATCAGTTTTTTATATAATTGATGTTCTTACACGCACGAGGATTTTTTACCTAAAACTTGCACTTCCGTTTTTTTATTTATTTCTTTCTCTTGAATTTCCTTCTGTCGAATAATTGATCGATTGTTTCCACCTTAAATCAATACATTGGTTCTTTCTCAGATAAGATACAAGATTTCTGTTTTTATTTAGACGTAATTACGGTAAATTAAAACCTCGAAAAAAAAATAAACGAATAATCTTGTTACTTGTACATATTTTAATTATAAAAGCAAATTAAAGTATGCATTATTCAACTGAAAGAGAAAACATTAAAAAGCGACGTATATCTTCCGGACTTAGAAAATAATTTTCCTTTTATATCCACAATAACGAACCAATTTTTATACAAGAAAAAATTAAATTGTTATCTCACCGCTAGCTAATTTCAAAATAATATTTAATTTTTTTCTTTCGATTATACAGTGCAAAAAACTATTGATTAAACTAATATGTATTTACAAATCGTTTTTAATTCAAACAAACTTTATGAAAAAACTGTTTGTTCCGTTTAAAAATATAACCCTTAACGTATTAAATAGATAGGTACACAATAAATTAACATTGTTAGCGATACTAAAACATATATTATAAGGGGTGAATTAAGTCTAGGTAATGCATGTTTTAAGTAAACTACCCTACAGAAAATGCCCCCGTCGATCGGGGGAAAAACCAAAAAAATAGAGAACAAATAAATCAACAATAGGTTTACAAGCTGCTAATAGCACTACTTTACTTTTGAGAAAATCGTAAGAGACAGACAGTACTTAGTTTAATATGAACGTCCCTCAGGAAATCGTTTAGCACAATAATTTTTTTTCGAACAAGTCTAGTTGCACCAGTAATACATTATTTTTATCGATTATACAACGCGTATAATTTGGAAAAAATCTTTAAGGTTTCAATCGAAATCGTCTCCGAATAATCACTACAGTTAATACAATTATTATCATTAAGGTTAGGACGTTCATCACAATAGACCTAGCATAAGATAAATGGTGCCTTTAGTAGGAATCTTTAGCATTGCACAAACATCTACCTTTCGAAAAGCGCGTAAATTCAAAACACAAATTAAAGTAATTTTCTAAATCGTGAACAAATAACAAATAAAGAGGATGTCACTTACAGTGAAATAAAGTAATAGAATAATAAAATAATTTACATTGTATCGAAATCATATTAGATAAAAACAAAACTCTATTCGAATGTCGGCAAGCTCGTCGATATCCCACTATTTCGAATTCCATATTGCTAAGCATTTTCTTTTAGTTCACAACAATAAACACTTATAAAATTTTAAAGTAGGGACGCGACGCGTCTTTTTTCGAGATATGTCCATAGTTAGTCAATCCACTTTTACGTATACTTTAACGCTAAATATTTGTGTGAAACGATCAAAGTAGGCTGTTTATTTCATAATCCTCATTACAATGACTAAAAACTAAAAAAAGAATCAATTAAAAACACACTAATATTCAGTACCTTATAAAACACTTCCGTCGTATTTCAATACTAACATAGTACGGGAGGAAACGCGGTACTCCCTCACCATCGTCGCGCTCGAATGCCGGTGAAAAGTACGCGTTACTTCGAAAAAATCTCTTGTTAGCTCGGTTTCTATATCGATTCGCTTTATTCGGGTTCGGGCAAATACTGCACTAGGTTCTGAAGAGTTCCTTCGGGACGGTTCGAGAATTGTAAAATGTATTAACAAGATTCTAGAACTATATTTAACGAGTTCTTTCAAGTGCTAACCATAGAACAATGCAGTATTAGACCACAGAAATGCATTTTCTATTCCATTGCTCTTATTCTTCTTACATGTTTCAAACGCGTTTTGTTCCAAGTAGTTAGTGGGTTCCAAAAGTACCACGAACCCGAATAAAACTATAAAATACTACACGTTTTCGCATCCGTATCAACATTTCAAATTTACCAACGGATTTATACGCTCCCATTTAATTAATCTACAAATAAAAAATAAAACGAAATTTTTTTCTAATACAGTTTAAACATCGACGTTTCCAATTCAATCTCTTAAAATTAACAAATTTTCCACCGTTCTCCTATTAGTTTATTATATGTATATTTATTAAAAAAGCCGTCAAGCGATTTTTAAGAAGTGTCGAACAAAAGAGAAAAAAAAACTAAACCGTAAAGATGCCTCTAATTAACCATCAACGTATGAGACTCCATGGGCGCTGCCGAATCGTAAAGCGTATCGGTATCCTGCGTCGGCTCGCCCTGCAATTGACATTGATTGGTCAACGTGCCGGCGCCGCAATCGCAGAAAAATCTGTCATGTCTGATGAATTCGACGTCGTGCCCGGCGTGGCAGGTCTTTATGCAATTCACGCAGATGGCGTTGCGATCGGTCGTATTGCACGTCTGGCACCTGTAGAAATCGTGCATGGGAAACGATGTGTACGACGATATTTTGTACAAGCACTGCCCGTTGGCGACGGCCTTCTCCACGGCGTCCTGATTGTTGAAGATCTTGTTGCCGCGCACCGTCGGCTGGACGCCGCTGGCCAGGCACAGTCCGCCGAAACGGTTGTTGAATATCTGATTGTACTCCAACGTGGCCGTGGCGTTGTTGGTGATCTCCACGCCGGCCGCGAGCCCGTCGAAGATCCGGTTCCGCTTCAACACCGGATGGCTTTGCGTGGAAATCAGCACGCCCGCTTGGGCGTTGCGGAAGATGTCGTTCTCCTCCAATACGCCTTTGCCGCCGTTGAAAATGCATATGCCGCCGTCGCGTCCGTCGAATATCTTGTTTCTCTTCAATGTCGGATTCGAATCAGTCTTAATCCAAACGCCCGCCATGGCATTGTCGAATATTTCGTTTTGTTCGAGCAATCCCAGACCGCCGTTGTACACGAGCACGCCGCCGTTTTGTCCGCCCCAAATTTTGTTGCCTCTTATCACCGGGTTGCTGCCCGTTCTGATTTGCACGCCCGAGTATAGGTGATTGAATATGTCGTTGTCCTCCAATTTCCCGTGACCGTTATCGTAGAAGTACACGCCGACTTGTTTGCCCGAATGAATTCTGTTCCTTCGCAACACCGGCGTGCTGCCGGTCGTTATCCAAACGCCGGCCAACGTATTGGCGTACACCTCGTTCTCTTCGATCAATCCCTGGCCCTTCTCGTGCACGTAGATCCCGCCGTGTTGTCCGTGATGTATCTTGTTGTGTCTCACGATCGGATCGCTATTGGTGCGTATCTGTATGCCCGCCAAGGCGTTGCCGTAGATGTTGTTGTGCTCGATCAGACCTCGCCCTTCGCCGAATATGTAGACGCCGCCCTGGTGGCCGTTGTAGATTTCGTTGCGACGTATGGTCGGATTGCTGTTCGAAGTGATCCAAACGCCGGCGAAGTTGTTCGAATGGATCTTATTGTCGATGAATTGGCCGAGGCCGTTCTCGTGCACGTAGATGCCGCCCGTTTGGCCGTGGTGTATCTCGCAATGCACCACCGTCGGATTGGCGCCGGCCTTCACCTCGAATCCGGCTATTCGATTGTGATGGATGTCGTTGGCTTCGAAGTAGCCCAAGCCGTTGTCGAAGGTGAATATGCCGACGTCGCGACCGTGGTGTATGTGATTCCGGCGCATGATCGGATTCGCGTAGTTCTTCACCCAAATGCCGGCCAGAGCGTTGCGACTGATCTCGTTATCTTCGTACGTGCCTTGGGCGTAATCGGTAACGTATAATCCTACATTTTCGCAATCGCTAATATCACAATGTCTAATGACCGGATTCGCTCCCGGGCCGCTCACGCATACGGCCGCGCCCACCACCGAAGTGCTCCGGATGATGCAGTGATCGATGGTGGGACTGCAATTTTCGCCCACCTCCAAGCAGTAGTGTTTGTGATGGGGCACGTTGGACGTGACGTCCGGCGAGAATTTCAACGTTAAATGTCCGGCGTACGCGTTCTTGGCGCCTTCCACGAACATCACCGTCGATTCGGATTCTCGTTCGAGTATGACGGATTCGGCCACGTTGCCGGACGCCGCTCCTATTAAAGCTATGTCCGAATCTATGACGAGAAATTCGCCGCGATAGGTGCCGGCGTGTAAAAATATCAGAGCCCCTTGGGAGGATCCTTCGGCCGAGTGATTGCTACACGAACCCGATACTGAACTGTTGGAACCGCTACGTTCGTCGGCGTAGTCCAACGCCCCTTGAACCGTATTGAAATACACTAAATTGCGACCCTTGAAAATAATATCCTGATAACCTTGACGTACGTGTATGCCTCTGTACAACTGTCTGAACGATTCCTTCCAAGGATTGGCCAGGTCCGATTCCTCCGGGCTGACGAACTCGAAACGGCACGGGGCCGGATTGAACAATGGCAAATCGTATTCGTACACGCTTTGATACAAACGCTTCCAAATTTCCGTATCGTTGGCGATGGCTTGGAAACGTTTACAAACCTGGCTGACGCGACACAAATCCAATTCCAGCAAATAGTTGAATATGGTGAGCAACACCTCGTCGGGAAGCTCGTATTGCAGATAGTGAGCGGCGGTGTTGGTGCAACTCTCGTACGTCGTCGAGCACGTTCTCCTCGGTCGCTTCCGGGCCGGCAGCATGGCCGACGTGTATCCTTGAGCGGGAATCGTCGGCGTAGCCGGCGACGTCGGCGAACCGGCCGTAGCGGCGCTAGTACTCGGTCCCGGACCATCGTGATGGGACGGCGACTTCCTTCGCAGATCGTACGGCGAATGGTGCGTGGGCACCGTACCGACGACGCCGTTGCTCGTACTGGCGCCGGACGGGGCCAAGACCGGTATGGCGCCCGTCGCCACCGCCGGTATGTTCTGGTTGGGGTGAATCGGACAGGACGATTCGCATGACGGTTCCGCGGACGTCGTCCTCGATGGCGTCGGAATCCTGTTGGCACCTTTCCTGCGAGACCTCCTCACATATGACCTGGACGCCATAAAAGAGGCACTGGGCATCTTTGTGGAACGCAACTATTTAGATATTTCTGTTTCAATTTTTGGTTTTGAAATATAAATCCGTCGCGACGACTACTATTCTTATCCGTGAGTTTACAGCGAAAAACCTAAAATAAGAATATTTTTTTTTATATAAAACGAATACATGTTTATTTTGCGCACATTTTTTAAACGTATCTTTTAAAATTTGATAATATTTCCGAAAAAAATCATCTATTTTCGTATAATATGTATAAAAATACGTATCGTTCACAACTTACTTCTAATTAAATCCAAAAGCTTTGTTCAAAGCTTCAGCTTCCCTGTTCGAAATGGGTTTCAACGTAAGCCCTTCGATCCTCGGCTGGTGTTCCAAATCTCTCAACTGTTGCGATTTCGAGCGAATCTTGTTCCGCAAATCTCTCAAATCATCATCGGACTTGGCGATTTCATCCTTCAAAATGGCCGCAATCTCTTCGGTGGGTAACTGGACGTAAATCGAGCCTTTCTGCAACCAAGAATTCCTTTCTTCCGTTTGCTTCAAAGACGACAGGGCTTCCCGCAATTTGTTCTGAGCGTTCGCAGCTTGCAGCTTGTCCTCCTTTAGAGTTAGTATGTCTTGCGCGACCGTCTCGACTTCTTGCAAATATTTGAAGGATTTCTGCGTTTGCACATCTTCTAAGGGCATCCTACGATTGCTCACCTAAGCAGATGTAAAGAGATATTTTAGTAATTGGTGTAATTTTTGTTGTTTCAGGAGAAACTTTTACATAGACGGGAGGAAATCGAAAGCGACCATCGAAGTCGATATGATGGCGAACGCCGGGGAATTTCCCTATTTCAAGGACCCCAATTTAAAAGCGGAAATTTTAGGTTTACCTTACAAAGGTAACGCCACCGTTATGTACGTAGTGATGCCTTTTAACTCGAACAAACGAGTACTGAAAGAGTTCGAAGCCCACATCACGCAGAAAGACTTGGACTATCTCGCGGATAGCACGCAAACTAGTCATTGCCAAATATTATTTCCCAAAATGAAAATAGAAAGTACGATACATTTGAAGCCGGTGCTGACCAAACTGGGTGTTACGTCTCTATTCGATCCAAAGCAAGCCAATTTGGGATTACTATCACCGGGAATGGGACCTATAATAAAAAATAACGCCGAAATCAACCCGTTGGGCTCGTTCCAGGGCAATCCCAACGACGTGTTGATCTTCAGCAGAACGGGTGAGACTTTGAACTGTTCGGCTATCTTCGATCCGGCCAAAAACGTTTCCACGTGCCATGATACCGTCAACAACAAAACAGTGGCTTATAAAAGATTCGGAGAAAAAGTGGGTCGAAGAATTGTTAAAAGAGACACCGTAGACATGCTAAGAAATCTGATTAACCAACAGTCCACCGACAACAACTACCAGAACCCGGGGCTTTACGCTGAAGACGTTATCCATAAGGTTTACATGGATATAACGGAAACTGGCACGGAAGCAGCAGCTGCGACATTCGTTACTCTTTACAGGACTGTCAGAGGGGTTACCTTCAGAGTGGACGTTCCTTTCCTGTTCTTCATTCGACATGAAGAAACAAAGACTATTCTATTCTGGGGATCGATTTACAAACCCACACCGAACAATGTAAAGGTTTGAAATATGGCCTGTTAATTATTTAGCATCAGTAAATATTTTACGAAAATAACGCGTTTTATTTTATAAGCGATTGTGCTGCATCTGCATTAGGCAATAGAGTAATAAAATTGAAAAACAAGAGAATCAATAATCCAATCTAAATGTTATTAAAATACTTAAAAATAGTAATAAATTACATGACAAACTTGTAAATTGTTTATTACATACAATCAAACTATATTTCGGAATTATTCTTATACTACTCATAACTATTCAAAATATGACAATATGTTTAGATTTTTCTCCGCTTATGAAGCGTAAATTCAGTTGACCTTTTCTCCATTTCCAAACGCTTTTTTAGAATAAAAAAGCAATGAGCTATCATGAATTTGAGAATATAAATTTACGATCGGCATACTAAATGAACTGCATGTAGTTAAAATCGAACGGAAAAATTAAAAACCTGCTTATGAATTTTAACGAAGTCGTTCCAATCCAATCCAACCCTCCACACCAATTAGAAAAAAAAATCACAACAAAAAAGCAGATTTCCACTATTATTAGTCATCAATTAGCGAATAATATCAACAAAACATTAAAAACACAAGAAATATGCCGTTTACGAATCGGAATTATCGAATTCCGGGACCTTATTAAGATAAAAAAAAATATGCATAAGGTTTACATGGCTACTACATACATAGCGGAAAAATCGGATCAATCGGGTTTATTCCATCCACCATCATTATTAGTACGTTCTTTTCGACTGCAAACTGTAAAATTGATAATCGGTTTTCGATTTTAGACCATACATCGAGAAACAAAGACTACATAGTTTAGAGGGTCGGTTGACAGACCAACTCCGAACTCCAGTAAAGGTTATCGCTATGGAATAATTTTTGCTTTCTAATCGCGGATAACATCGAATACAACTACAATATCGATGAAAATACGGTTTTACTCACCTATTTTCCATTTGAGAACAGGCAAAAGCCGTAGCCCCTTAATCCAACTAAAACAAAAACACAACTACCAAAAGAACCAACGACAGATGACAAGCAGATAAAATGACATATTGACATTTTTAGAAAGGGATAATGTTGTGCTTCAGAATCCATTCACTGCTATGTAACATATTATTTAACACATAGAAATCTATAATAGTCAGGATTATTACTATTTTTAATTTTATTAATACTGTTAGCTTTAAATAATAATAATGAATCAATAAACAGAGCAATTAACTGTGAATTTGGCGAATGTTATTATATACCCGTAGTCGTCAGTAGAGACAGGATCGCTAATTGTAAAAAGAATGAAACATTTGGCTATCTTTCTCTCTTTATAGAATTTGATATTTGACCTTACTTGAAAGAAAAGAGAAAACACAATTCTTTATGACCTATTTTGTGCAAGTAACGTTACGAATAAAACTTTTAACGACTATTTAAAATAAAATATACAGGAAATATTGGTAAAATGTACACTTTTCATAGCAATAAGATTAACAATCTAATTAAACAGTATGTAGAACCAAAATATAAATTACAATTATTGATATGATTGTCCAATGATGCCAAAAATTGTATTCATGACAACTGACAACATAGCAAAATACAAATACCTATCTGCAGTACAACGAAATCAAAGGCACAATCGATTAAGTAATTCTTCTTTTTCAGCTACAAAATAGGTTATAATTAAGAATTGTAAAAAAATATTTATAAATTAAAAACTGTCTTTAATGGCTTCGAAGGTAGGTACGCTAGGTAATCACGCTCGCATTATATAAATGATAATATTTTCAGGTTCTCAGGACGTTCGGAAAATTCCAACATGCTACATGCCTAGAAAAAGGTCCAGCAGCATTACTGCCAGAATCTTACAAAAAGTTTTACAGGGAATGGAAGCTCACAACGCCTACAGCAGTCCATTACACGCCCGAAGACGGCAGATGGAAGAGAAATGAAGTTACTGGAGAAGTGTATGTTTAAGATGCACCCCTTTCGCTGCTAACTTACTCATCGATGTCAATTTCAGTTCTCCTGTACAGAACATACCGATTCCCGTTTTCTTCCCTAAGGAGTCCGACGATCAGTTATGGGGAGGCGAAGGAGTCGTACAAGGTTTCCAGCAGAGAAGTCACTTGAGTAGAAGAGTTCCTCACTTTTGGATTCCCATGTTGAAACGGAGTGTGGTGTATTCGGAGGTTCTGGACAAGTACATTTCTGTTGTTGTAACGGATAGAGCCCTTCGTTTAATCAACGCTCATTACGGTTTTGACCACTATATACTGAAAGTACGACTATTAGTTTATTTTATTCACGTTTCTTATCATGTTTTCCGTAGACCCCAGCGTGCGACCTGCAATCTTTATTAGCTGTTTCTTTGAAAAGGAAAATTCTTCAAGACTTACAAAATGGGTGTCCCTCATATGCAGAAAGGCCGGACAAACAAAAAGATGTATTAGATCAATACAAGAAATATCTAGATGCTGTAAGTTATCTTCATTAGGTATTTAATTACCATTAATATCCTCTTGAATCTTTCCAGTACACCCCCGAGGAGATAGAATGGTATGGATATTCTCTTGCACAGGCTGTTAGCAAATTCAAAGTCCAACAAGAAAAAGAAAAGGAAGAATCCACAGTTCCTTTCAAACAAATATTTAGAGCTCAATTAATCGAGAAGCTGAAGGCCGCTTCACTAGACGAAAGCAACAACCAAATGAAAGAGTTAGAGTAAGTTTGAGCACCTAGCTCTATCTAGAACAATAATAATGAAATTTCATTTTTAGGGAAGGTAACTCGGCCACTTCTTGGCTATCGAAAATCAATCCTTTTAGCAAGAAGCAGGAAACTTAAGACGGTTGTTTTGTAGGATATCAAATAAAATTAGTTTTGTTTTTAATAATTTGTCTTATTAACAAGTCTATTAAAACTTATCTATTGTAACAGTCAAATTTGAACTAATTGACTAACTATTAAAAAATCACATTGCATTTAAAGCACAATAATATATAACATACAGGGCGATTAATCTTTACTAGGCGAAAGTAGAATCAACCTGTATGAATCCGTTGTCTATACTCTATACTTCTTCATTTTGAAGCAGAGCTTCTTTCTCCGCCTTATGTTGAACTGGTTTCGGTGGATTTTGCACGGGATTTTGCGAATACAAAAACGTAGCGCACATCACCGTTAAAATACTCAATACAGTATTCAAATAAATAGGAATACTGAACAGCAAGTAACTCAAGAGAGCCGTAAAAACTAATTCTAAAGCGCTCGCAAACGTTTTCAATATCGAATTGAGCGTTTTCAAGAAAAAACTGGTAACGATTCCAATGGCTGCGTTATTAATCATTACAAGTATCACCTTGTAATGGAACAGCTTGGCAATATTGTCGTAAGCGAACGAGTAAAACAAATTCCCGTTTAGGATCAACAGGAGCAAGTTACATATTATGGAATCTAAGTACATGAATACGTTTTGAACGAATATATTGATAGAGGCACCTTGTTTTTTCAAAAGATATTCGTTGTAAACGCCAGCTAAACACGAACATATTATTTGAATAAATATAAAAATTGCGTCTAGTCCAAAAGATACAGAAGATGCTTTATTTATAGCTTGACTCGAATTGTGCTCCTGAGTAAAGTTTATTTGTTTCAACATGCAACCTAACGTTAGTATTATCAATGAAATCCATTGTTTTATGCTCAATACTTTTCTAAAAATTACCTAAAACAAACATACATCATTAATTTATTTATTATTATTTTTAATGTAAGAGTATTAATTTCCTTTTTGCTAAATGTTTGAAGTTTAATAAATTTTGTTCAGTCCTTTCAGAGTTTATACATGATAACAAAACTACAAATTTAAGTTTCACTTATTTATCAGATTATTTGTTATAAAAGTATTAATAGCACACAAAATTTATCTTTTAAATAAAGTCTGTGAGTAATGATTAATGATATTACCATCAATCGTATACATTGAGGTCTTGTAATAAATGGCGTCATCAAATAGAAAGTTAGATGTATCCTTAAAAAGTCAGGGCCATTTTTAATGATTAATTTGCTGACATTAATTGCACACCTATAATTTGGAGGTAAATTATTAAACAACAGACTTACCTGAAATAAAATTCCGGTGACGACTACCCTAAATTGCAGTAATAAGTAATAAGTCGTGGGATCAAACGATGACAAATTTATAAAGGCTAAATTGTTGTAAAAACAATATAAGAAAGCTGGCACAAAATACAGCACCAGGACTTTCCTGTTGTTCGCAATGTCTTTTATTAATTGTGATGAAGTATTTCTGAAAATTTACTAAATGAATTATCGTTTAACTGGAAACAATTTAAACTTACTCTCTTAAGTACAGAAGGCTAGAAATCACCAATTTCAAAATTTCGGTAAATAAAACTACTGTTACAATACTGTAGTCATACTGATTATTAGACTTTTGTGATGCAGTTACAAGAATTCCTGTTGGAACATTTTTTTCGTGAATTAATAAATTAACAATAATTTACGAAACTCACCTTGGTTCACAAACAAAAATATGTACCCAAAAAATATAATAAAACTTAATTTAGATGGGAACAACTCATTCCACGATAAAGTTGACATCGTGAAAGATTTAGTCTCGTTACATTGTCTCATTCGCGTTTACAAGATAACAAATATCGCATTTCTAAAGCCAATTTTAATATTTATCTGAAAATGAAGCGTTTGTAATTTTACATTTTGTTTGTATGTCAAAGTCACCGATGACAGATGTCAATACCGTCAATTTTGAACTGAATAACCGAATAGGAGTGGGTACGAGTTTTAGATACGGTCTCTAACTGGTTATACCAGTAGCTATGGAAATTTAGGTAAAATTAGAATATAAAAATAGTTTTTTATTAATCGTTTATTTGTATTACCAATGTAATTCAAAATCCTCCTGTTACATTAATAGAAGCCCCAGTTATGAAAGAACTTTTGTCTGAAGCTAAGAATGCTATTACTTCGGCAATTTCTGTAATAATAATAAAGTATTTATTAGAACAAACCGATTCAAAAACAATTGTACTGTACTAACCTTCGGGTTCTCCAAATCTACCCAATGGAATCATGCTTTTAAATTGCGCTTTAACCTTATCAGGTACTGTTTCGATCATTCTAGTTTTTATCATGCCGGGAAAAATTGTGTTTACTCTTATACCCATTTTCCCAAACTCCTTGGAGGCTGTTTTCGTTAATAACTCAACACCAGCTTTGCTAGCTGAATAGTTACTTTGTCCTATGTTCCCATATTTACCAACTATACTGGAAATGTTAACTATCGAGCCATTTGTTAGGCCGTGTTCAACCATTGCATTTGTAAATGTTTTCATTACAAGGAAAGTACCCTGGAATTTCCAAATTTGTATTTAAATGCGAGTTTAAAGAAATGATTATTGTGTTTACCTTTAAATTTATGTTAAGTACTTCATCGAAATCTTCCTCGGATAATTTCAATATGAAATTATCTCTAGTAATTCCAGCGCAGTTGACTATTACTGTGGGAGGTTTCGAGTACTTTTCTACGACTTTTTTTAAGGCATTGTTAATGCTTTGGGCCTTGCCTACGTCCAATTCAACGCCCAAGTGTTCGCCTTTCTGTTCTTTGTTGATTGTTTTCAAAGTTTCTTCTACAGTGCTCGGAACTTTGTCACCCACAACTACCGAAGCCCCTTCTCTGGACAATATTCTACATGTCGCTCGACCAATGCCCTGACCTCCACCTTTAAGATAAAATCATAATTAATAAGATGCTGAGGTAGCAACATTTTTGTATATAAATATTAATAAGAAGTACTAACCTGTTACAAAAGCAAGTTTTCCTACTAGAGACATTCTTATGGTTACTAGTATTGAACTTTGAACACGTTATCATGTTAGTAAACACCTGCTTTAATTATTTTAAAAAATGTGTTTTCTTATCATATGTAAATGTAAAGCACACGAATTAAATTTTTTTATAAATGTGTGGTGTTGAAATCGTTTCCTTAATTTTAAATTAAACTATTCACCTTAACAATAAACACAAATTAAATTAAAAAAAGTTAATTTAAGTTTATCTAAAAATAGTATTTGTTTACAAAGAAAAAGGCCAATGACAAATTTGACAATTGACAAATAGTGTCATGGATAAATAGAACCAGCATGGTGACCAACCACTATTTGTTTATTTATAGTGGCCACACTGATACCTTTTAATTTTTGAATTTTTTGTTTTGGATTCAAAACTGATGAATATGTGTAATATACCATGTAATTTACATTTTATCAATGAACTTAATAGATAACGAAACATTAACAGGTTAAAATTAACTACTCATTAAAATAATCGTTAAATCAAGATCAGTGACCTAAAAAATATGATTATATTATCATAACTTATCTCTCAGACTTACATTTATTAGATGCAATAATAAAAGCGGGCAGAAGGAGTAAAAAAAATCATTCGGCTCTCATTTTTATTTATTATTGATTAAATATATTAATGACGTAACTACCGCACTGATTTTATCGGTCCTGTTTTTTAAATAGTTGAGATTTGAATCTTTTATTTCACAAGAACAACACATCAGTCAGGTATGTTCCATACAACAGTGAATTTGAATATATATTGACCATAAAACATTTTAACATTTTTTTATTGTCTCGAATTTCAGAATGTTTTCGTTGAGAGATTCTGCTTGGATTTTATCGTTGTTTTATAGCGCCATTCTCGTTGCGTGTGAAACCAGAAAACCGAATATTATTTTTATAGTAGCCGATGATTTGGTAAGTAAACCTATACTTTTAAATCCATCGATTTTTCTCACAATAATAGCAGTAGTTTCATGTGGCTGTAGCCAAATGGAAAGAGTCCTAATTTTAGAGAAATGTAGTTGGCAATACTATATTTTTTGAGACACCCTGTTTATTATATTTTTTAGGGTTGGAACGATGTCGGCTTCCACGGTTCTAATCAGATTCCCACCCCAAATATCGACGCTCTAGCATACTCAGGTCTAATTTTGAACAATTATTACGTGACTGCGATATGCACCCCTTCCAGGAGTGCTATAATGACGGGAAAGTACCCTATCCATACGGGCATGCAGCACACGGTACTATACGGAGCAGAAGCTCGCGGTTTGCCGCTCAAAGAGAAACTATTGCCTCAATATTTGCAAGAATTAGGCTACGATAACCACATCGTTGGCAAGTGGCATTTGGGCTCGTACAAAAGGGAGTACACACCCACCTTTAGAGGGTTCAAATCACACCTTGGTAAATAAACCCCATCGATTTAATTCTCTATACTAATTTATAGTTTCTTGCGCTATAATTTCGAAGGCTATTGGACCGGGCATCACGATTACAACGATCACACGGCCGTGGAAGCGCCGGGTTGGGGTTTGGACATGAGAAGGAACCTCTCGGTAGCCTACGACTTGCACGGCAAATACTCCACGGACGTTTTCACGCAAGAGTCCGTGAGAATTATCAAAACTCACAATGTAAGCAAACCGCTCTTTCTGTACCTGGCCCACGCCGCCGTCCACTCTGGAAACCCCTATAATCCCCTTCCCGCACCCGACGACGTTGTTAAGAGCTTTTCCTTCATAAAAAATTATAATAGGCAACGATTCGCAGGTACTAACATTTTGTATATACGTTTTTCCGCGCCTGATAGGCGCGCTTTTTTGCTCTAACGCAACGCGAATTGATGTTTAAGCTGTGCTGAGCAAACTGGACCAGTCGGTGGGAGCTGTGACCCAAGCGCTAGCGGATAGAGGGATTTTATCTAACAGCTTGATAGTGTTTACCACGGATAACGGGGGCCCGGCGGAAGGGTTCAACTTGAACGCGGCCTCGAATTATCCCCTTAAAGGGGTGAAAAATACTCTATGGGAGGGCGGCGTGAGAGGAAGCGCCCTGCTCTGGAGTCCTCTTATACGAAAACCCAATCGAATAGCCACGCAAAGAATGCATTTGGTGGACTGGTTGCCTACGTTAGTAGACGCTGCTGGTGGAGATTCTTGGTGAGGAAATCTCAATGTTCGATAGGCCGGAAAATGGGGAAATCATTCTAAATTTTTAGTCAATTATCGCACATAGATGGTGTAACACAATGGAGAGCTCTTTCAAATGACGAGCCATCTAATAGAACTGAGATACTGCATAATATTGATGATATTTACGGCAATGCTGCAATAACCGTTGGTTCTTGGAAATTACTAAAAGGTAACACTCAGAATTTCTCTATCAGGATCATTCTATACGTATTATATTGTAGGTACAACGTATAATGGCAGTTGGGATAACTGGTATGGACCCAGTGGCAGGACAGGTTACGATTACGATATACAACAAGTTATCGATTCCCCGGCGGGAAAAGCCCTTCAGCGAATAAATAAGGCAGCCACTGTTCAACAAATTTTAGATATGAGACCTAAAGCTACCATTAACTGCTCGATTTCTGATTTTTTGCAAGGAGACAATTGTAACCTTCTGGAAGAAAATTGTTTGTTCAACATAGAAGAAGATCCATGCGAATTTAATAATATGGCCAAAAGGTAAAACTCTATAAATAGTTACTACACGTTTGGTTCCCAATGAGCTTATTACGAGCCTATAAAAACAGTTGTGTAAGAGAAAAATATCAGTTCAATTGCTTGTTGGCTCGTTCGTGAATTGATTGGGAATAAAACTTATAGCATAAAATGTAAAATATTTACCTTTTTTTGTAGTTATCCTGCGATAGTAGCGCGTTTATTACAAAAATTGGATTCTTACAATCAAACGGCCATACCTCCAGGAAATCTACCCCTTGATCCTCGGGGGAATCCCAAGTATTGGAATTACGTGTGGACTAATTTTGGGGACTACTTTCCAGATGGTGATGTCACTACTGTAATAAATATTTGATTTAAAATTGACTAAAAAGTAAGTTTTGTAAGTACTTACTTCAAAATAATCGACATCTCAAGCCATATTGTGTGAAAAACCGGTACTTATTTAAATGAAAGAATCAAGCTAGGTAAATTATATATTTATTAATGTCTACCTATTGTATAAACACGTTTTCAAGTAGTTTAATTGATTTTCAAACATATGAGTTAAAAATTAACTTGTTCTTATACAAAATAGTTTGGTTAAATTGTTAGTAATTATTCTAGATTTATCAAAGTAGACATTGATGTTGTACTTAACCTGATATCACAAATCAAAAATTAGTGAATAAAAAAATAGAGCAACTCTCTGTATTTCATAAATAATCGGATTATATACAGTTGTTAACAGATTATATTATCCAGCAGAATTACACGGCCTGTTTATGGATATTTTATTTGGACAATACATGTTCCTTATGTCCATCCTAAAAATATTTAAATAAATAAAAAATTCCTGCCAATATTACTGATTAATGCTTACTGAATATTCGAAGGTAGTGAAGATTCATTCAAATGGTATTTCCTGACGGCCATAATGCATAACGTTTTTAATGTAGGCTTGAAATCCAAAACGTACATATCACTATGATCTATTAATTTGTCGTCTATGTTTCTGCTGTTTGCATTCGAAGTTAGAGACAAATGCGGGCTAAAATATATTCAGAAAAATATCCCACATACCGAGAGAATACTGTATATATTACCTAGTGCCTCCAAAAATAAATACCCTATCTCCAACCACCACGCAAGCCTGTCGTCTTCTCTCGCAAGGCCTTTTCCCAACTATATTCAACATCCTCCATGTACTATTCCTCGGATCAAATTCGTACATGTGATTGTAATGTTCTTCCCTCACCGAATTGTATCCGCCAAATATGTACATTTTTTCATCGTAAACGACTACAATAGTAGAATTAATAAGTTCTACGCGATATTAATAAGTTATTCTTACAAGCAGAATGACTCCTTCTCCCGATAGGCACATCGCCGCTGACTCTAACATTATGCCACATCCAAGTATTCAGATCTAAATACCACAATTCATTGCAATACAGCACCTGCGATGTGGAACTGCTGAGTAAAGGTTCGATCGTGGTGCCCCTTCCTCCAAATAAAAACATTTTATCATGTATCACGACGGTGCTATGAAAATCCCTTAGAGATGGTTCGGGACCTGAAAGTATTTCATGTTCATCTGCATACGAGTATCAGGGATTCGGTTACCTAAAATATGTACATAAGTCCAATGCATATTTTCCAAATCCAAGTAGTAAATAGACTGAGCAAATGCATCGGATTCTTCTTCGTAGCCGCCGAAGATAATCATGAAATTCTTCCATACGCAGGCCGAGTGTCCGTCCCTTGCGGGCGGGATGTTGCCGGTAGTTTTCGGAGCTGTCCAACAATGCCAGATTGTATCAAAGCAAAAGAGAGTCGAGCACGAAGCCCTGTCGTTTCTGCCTCCCCATATGTAAACTTTCTTATCCCCGTATACGACAGCAGTGTGACCATACCTGCAGTTTCAAATCTTTAATCTCTAGCTCGTTTAACGAAAACTTCTTTTAATACTGACCTCTTATAAGGTAAAATGTCATCGTTTTCGAAATAAGGCAAATCACTAACTGGATGCTGAACCCATCGAAATGTTGCTGTATTTAACACATGAACGTCCATTGAGGTGTATTCTCTGGAGTTCTCGCCAGTACAGTAACCGCCGAAGGAATAAATTTTGTGTCCCACAGCAACAGCTGCATGATTAACCCGCTTCGGGCCCCCTTCTAAATATGATATCCAAGGCATTTTATACAGTCCTGAGAGATTATTAGGTCAGGCAAGGTTGTCCAAAAATAATGTCAGTAGGATGAAAACTAACTGCATAAATTTAACCTAGATAAATTAGTCTTCTACAGCAACGGTAACCTGCAAACTGTAACTATACTTAGTACTGTGTACACTAAATTTCTTAGAGTGTTAAACTTTATACGAGTATAAATTAATTCAAAAGTTTACTTCAAATATACAAAAAATGATAAATTTCAATAAGAAAATTGAAAATGAAATGACGTATGACGTTTGGAATTTTGACAGATGTCAACTAGCAAAAACAGTCAAAAAATGAGTAGAATGTTTTAAAATGATAATTCATTACATTATAATTTAACTTATATTTTCAATCAACAGAAAGACAGACACATTACATGGGTGTATTATAAAATCAATAATTGATGAAAAATAAGAAATTAAAAAGCTCCGTTCAATAAGTGGACCTGGTGGACGTGGACGTCATATATTTCAAAACTAACGTCAATTGAACAAACTATTATGTCATTATTGTCAAAAAATCTAATTAAAAAAGAAGAAGAAAAAGACCTCGGTTAACTTTTGTTTTTTTTACAATAATTGTTTATTGATTTTTTCGCATGGTATTTGTATATTTTGTGTAAATACTGTTAAAGCTACTAATGTTGTAAAACCAAACAATGCTTCAACCAAGTGGTGTTTAATCATGAGCAACCAGTGGTATAACTACCCACCGCCGAATGCTCAGTGCAATCCGCAGTATCCTCAATCAGCACCGCCAAATCCATCTTGTCCCCAGTGGGATAATTCGCAATATTCTCAAAGTGGCCAATACAATTACCCGGTAGTTCCTTCATACCCGCCACCGCCCGTTCCAAGGGCCCCGTCGGGAGTTTTTTCCACACCACCACCAGGAGTCCACCCCCAAAATTTCGGATACAATTATCCCCCGCAACAGTTTCAGTTTGTTCGCCCGCCTTGCGCTGTTAACGATTACGCCAAGGATTTGGAGAATTACAAGTTCATCAAGTCGAAAATCAGTGGCACTGAAATTGAAAAGAGTTACGAACAACTTGATACAGAAAGGTTAGTAAATTTGAAATGTTTTAATAACTTCTTTGTCGAAATATTCAATCGCTTTATGAATATATTGTAGTATTTAGCGGTGCCTATTTATCGGACAGTATAATAATAACCGATTGTTGGAATATTATTGTAAATGAGCACAGCTGAATACTTGAGTATATGACATGAATGAATAATAAAAATGTCAATAAGATCATGCAGAATATAAACGAAATGTCTACACTTATGGAAAATATTCGGGATTATATGTTTATAAAAAAATGTTCTGGGTAAATACAATTCGTGTAGTTTGTACCAGAAACGTAGAATGTTTTTTATATGCGAGGTAAATTCAATTTTGAGGCAAATAAGTAGAACATTTTTTTTATTACGTTCATGTATGTTAAATCTTTTAAGAAATTATTGTATACTAGGTATATTTTAAAGTTCACAATTAATAATGCAATATAGGTTTAGAAATTTATTAATATTAAGTTTTATATTTAACTAGGTAGTAATAATAAATTCCCGTTTGTTACAAGTTCTTGTCAAAACATTTGCACTAGAGATATAATAGATTTACAACATTATGTATACGTAAATTGATAGTTGTAATTTCTTCGTAGCCTTAAAATAGAATCAACCTCGCTCGTATCATTGTGAAATAAAGTAATAATGCGATTTTTGTATGCAGCATGGATCTGAATGGTAATGGAATGCTTGCAAAAGAGTATGCGCCCCCAGAGAAGAACAATTTCTATGAATCTAGCGAAGATCTAGATTTCACATATGGTGATTGCGATACGCATGTTAACGAAATAGCAGAATTATACAGTTATACCGAGCACGAGGATTTACACCTGAATCTCTCGTCGTTTGAGGAGCAAATGAAACAGTACAATATGACTCATATGTGGAGAAATTTAACTGAAGCACAAAAGTGTTCTGTCGTTTTGAAAATACTGGATCAATTGGAACTTAGCGATAAAACTAAGCGGATGAAAAGCGCACGATGTATACTTTATATTGCTCAAGGTAGTTGGTTAGGAATACAAAGCGATTTAGACCAAACGAAATGTGCCAAAAAGAATTGCATTTTACTGTACAAACTAGGCACTTTTAACGCTTTCGTGGACTTGCTGAATCTCGAAATAGAATCCAGCAAAGCCTCTATTAATAGCTCAACCATATCAATGGTAGATTCGGAAGATTTACGAATCATACTGTCAGTACTATACACAATAACCGAGGTAGTACGAAGCGAAAAAGACACATTCCCCGAAATACACTCCTCTTTCTGCTATGAATTGCTCAACTCAGACGACATGCTCATCGTGAAACTATTCAACATGCTGACGAAATTCTGTTCGGGCTCCTCCTCGCATTTCCCCGTCAAAAAAATCCTGCTCCTCTTGTGGAAACTCATCCTGCTAACCCTGGGCGGCGTTAAAAAAATCGAAGAGCTGAAGAAGCAGGCGCGGCGCAAGCACGGCTTGCCCGATCTCAAAGAGGACGCCGGCAGGATCGTCAACGAGATGCGCCCGTCCTCGCCGCCCAACCTCTCCGACCTCCTCGACGACCAAAACCAGCGAAAGAAGCGCGGCCTGATCAAGCAGGGCAGCTTGGAGGAGACCGAGCCGCTCGACATGGAAATGGTCGAAGGCGGCGAACAGCTGTTCTCCAAAAACAACAAATCCCTTTCGTTGAATCTCATCAAACCGACGAAGCTGCCGTGGAAACCGAAGGTGCACAAACACGAGATCAACGCCTTCCTGAATTCGGCCAGAGAGAAGTTCCTGGGGTATAGTCTCGAAGACGACAGCACGCTGTTCGGTTTACCCAAGCCCATACACGAAAGCGTGCACACTCTACGAGAACACATCTACACGTCCGTAGCAGAAGTACAAATAATGAAAGAAGACGCCATCAACAAGCACCCTCTAACCGTCAAAGACGAAATCGATCTCGTCCCCACGGAGATTCTGTACCAATCCCTGTACCCCAACATGCCGCAATACATGATTTGCTTGCTAAAAATCTTATTAGCTACCACGTCGAGAGCGAGAACCGGCAGCGATTCCATCAACATTCTAGGCGACGTGCTCCCCAAAGAAATGCCCCTCACGTCCTTCCAATCGATGAAGCTCGGCATCGACGTCAACCGGCACAAGGAAATCATCATCAAAGCCATCTCCGGCATATTGCTGCTGCTGCTCAAGCACTTCAAGCTCAACCACGTCTACCAGTTCGAGTTCATGTCCCAGCATCTGATGCTGGCCAATTGCATTCCGCTGATCCTGAAATTCTTCAACCAAGAAATAATGACGTACATCAAAGCCGGTAATGATATACCCGTGTTGGATTTCCCGTCGGCGGTGCTGGGCGACGGCGTGGATATGATAACTTCCACGATCGAAATCGGCTGCGACACGAAGCACTGCTGGCGGAACGTGTTCTCCAGCATCAACCTGCTGCGCGTGCTCAACAAGCTGTGCAAGTGGAAGAATTCGCGGATCATGATGCTGGTGGTGTTCAAATCGGCGCCGATACTGAAGAAGACGTTGAAGATCCGCGACTCGATGGCGCAGCTGTACGTCCTGAAGCTGATCAAAATGCAGGCCAAGTACTTGGGCAGGAACTGGCGCAAGGCGAACTTGAAAACCGTCAGTTTGATCTACCAGAAGGTCAGGCATCACCTCAACGACGATTGGGCGTACGGTAATAACTTGGAGGCGCGGCCGTGGGATTTCCAGGCCGAGGAGATGGCGCTGCGAACGGCTGTGGAGATATTCAACAATCGCAGGTACAACAAGAACGTGGAAGTGGATTCGGAATTGGTGCCGGTCGATAATAATTTGACGAGCGTGTTGGGACAGGAGTTCGATTTTACCGTCGGTTTCCGGAAGAATTACTGCCTGTGGTTGGAAGATGAAGTTTTTCAAAACGAGATTCAATGGGACAGTTTGTTTAGCAATTAATTAATGTAGATTAATTGGTGTCAATTGTTGTGAAGACTGTAAATAACGTATTTAATCAAATGTAGCGAATTTTTGGATGCAGTAATGAGCTCTTTTTGCATATCTTGCGTCCAAAAATCGAAATAGAAAATATTGTATTAATTCAACGAATAAATATTTAGCATTTAGATTAAACAAATTTTTTACTCTGTCGATGGAATAGTGCAAATGTTTTGAACAAAACCATTCATAGTAACTCCAGAAATTACTTTATTTTATTAGCAAATAACACCTTTACAGAGAATACAATTCTACATCTAATAGGCATTGGAGATCTTCTAGCAGCAGTAGTTATAGAAGCACCAATGATGGTAACAGGAACAAAAGAGACTCCAGGTCCAGGAGTAATTCTAGAGGTAATTGAACTATTGCGCTTTTCCGTAATAAATGTTCTCCATCGAGATTAAAATTATGAAATCTTAGAAAGGAGATATCGAAGGGAGAGGAGCGTTTCTAAAAGAAGCCACCGAACGAGATCGAGAAGCCGATCGGAGTCGCCTCATCGAAATGCAGGAGGTTTTAAAAGAAAGTGCAGATCGAGGTCTAGAAGTGGATCGAGATCACCTTATCGCGCTCCATCCAGCTCTATGAGGTAATACCAATATTTTTGTTTGAAGAGCTAGATAGACATTGAACTTGTTATGGAACTGCGTAGTTCCAAATCGCTCGAAAGATCCAGGAATCCCCCTACCGAAAGAGACCAACTGCTGACGAAATGGCGAAGGAATTACTGCACCACCAAGCAGCAGCTCTCCAGCAAACTGGAAGAACTGGCTTCCATGAGCATAGAGGAGATTCTCGAGAACGAAAAGACCATTTGGACCAGATCGACTCCGGCCGATTTGTTCTACGTCAGGGACGTCGATAATCCCAAAATCATGATCGCCACCGACCGGCTGGTCCAGCTCTGCGACAATTTCGAGGATCAACTGGTGACTAGGGCTCGACAAGTCAACGCTCTGAAGCCCAAATACGAGCCGCCGCCCAGGAAGAACCGAGCCAGGTTGTGCAAGCACAAGAGTAAGTTAGAGTTTACTCCGATTATCGCCTGAAATATTACGTATGAATCGTTTTTAGCCGAAGCTCAGAGTAGTTCTGATAGCTCGGATGAGAATCTAACGGACGAGGAAGATTGCACTATGGAAGAATTGCACCGGAAGCAGCAGCATCCTGATAGATTGCATCCGGAAATGTGGTATGCATTGCGCTTTTATTGCAATTGTATGGTGTTATTTAAAGAATCTGTAGGTTTAATGAACCGGGTGAGATGAACGACGGGCCTCTCTGTAGATGTTCGTTAAAATCGAAGAAATCCGGTATTCGACACGGGATATATCCGGGAGAGATGCACCTTGAGATGTGCAACATGAAAAGTAATAATGCCGATAGATTGCATCATTACAGGATTACTATATCGCCTCCTACTAATTTTCTAATCAAAACCCCTACTATTATTCACCATGACGAGCACGAATTCATATTCGAGGGGTTTTCGCTGTTTTCTCACCATCCGTTAGAAAAATTGCCCAACTGTAAAGTAAGGCTAAACTACAAGTTTTATAAGGAACAAATTATTTTAAAATCGTTCGCTTTTAGGTTATTCGCTTCAATATCGAATACACTATTTTATACATAGAAGAAAAAATACCGGAAAATTTCACCGTGAGGGAACTAGATCTGTTTAGTAAGCAATTCTCATATTTTACCACTTCCCATTCTAATTTTCTATTACAAAATTCCAGATGAATATCTGTTTAAAGAAATCCTGGAACTTGTTGATTTGGATTTCAAGGCTTCTGGGGATAAAGAAGGATGCGCCCAGTTCCACTTCATGCCGAGATTCGTCAGGGAATTGCCCGAAAACGGAAAAGAAATTTTATGCATGAGCGAAGTGCTGCATTATTTATTAAAGAACTCCCAGCCTTTAATCAATCAATCGGAATTGCAGGGCATGATGGGAATGTCGCAGTACGAATGGCAGAGTTACGCCGATGAAATCAAAGTGAGAATTTATAGTTGTACACAGCATTTTTTCCACGACTCTTCTACTCATCGTTAAAATGTATTTTATAGGGTATGATTGTAACGTATCCAGGCAAAAGACCTTGCTCGGTGAGGGTCGATCAATTGGACAGAAACATCGATTTGCAAAAGGAAGGCAAGTACAAGTTCCCGGAAATCGTTCATTTCGGAATCAGGCCGCCCCAATTGAGTTACGCAGGCAATCCAGAGTATGTATAAACGAATTCCCGAATTTCGAATTTATTTGTATTATTTTTTTAAGGTATCAAAAAGCTTGGAGAGACTACGTCAAGTTCCGTCATCTCTTAGCCAACATGTCCAAACCGACCTACGAAGATAAAAGAAAGCTGGAAGCCAAAGAAAACAAACTACAAGAAATGAGAACCCAAGGCAAAATGAAACGGGACGTGACCGTTGCCGTATCCTCCGAAGGTTTCTACAGGACCGGTATCATGTGCGATATCATACAGGTACTAAACTCCCGCTAAATACAAGGCCTCGTAATCGATTGTAACAATCATTGCAGCACGCCATGCTGATTCCTGTTCTGGTGTGCCACCTGAGGTTCCATCACTCGTTAAACGTGCTGGAGGAGTCTGTAGAGTATACATTCGCCAATCGCGCTCTTCTGCAGCTCGCTTTAACGCATCCATCTTATAAGGAAAACTTCGGAACGAATCCAGATCACGCGAGAAACAGCCTGACCAACTGCGGCATACGCCAGCCCGAGTACGGAGACAGGCGTATACACTACATGAACACGAGGAAGAGAGGTAAAGTATAATTTATCGAAGCGCATAATACTCAGTAGAATTAATTTATTGCAGGAATAAATACGCTGATTAACATAATGTCCAGATTTGGGAAGCAACAAGAAACCGAATCGAATATAACGCATAACGAGCGACTGGAATTTCTGGGCGACGCCGTGGTTGAATTTTTATCTTCGATCCATCTCTTCTATTCGTTTCCAGATCTGGAAGAAGGAGGTTTGGCGACTTACAGGTAGTTAATCCGTTTAAAAAGCGTCGTAATCGGTCATAAATGGGCGTTTTGTGTTCGTAGGGCAGCTATTGTTCAGAATCAACATCTCTCCGTATTGGCGAAAATTTTGAAATTAGACCAGTACATGTTGTACGCGCACGGATCGGATTTGTGTCACGACTTGGAACTCAGGCACGCGATGGCGAATTGTTTCGAAGCCTTAATGGGAGCGTTGTTTCTGGATGGAGGAATAGAGGTACGATTGTCGCTCGCCCTGCATTCCCGTTCCTTTTCTAGTACACCCACTTATATGGGTATTAAAAGAAGGGGTGAGCGATAGCTCCGCCACCCATGAAACCTTATGACTCGTGGTGAAACAATGCAAAATACTTATCATTTTAGGTGGCTGATAAGATTTTTTCGGCGACGTTCTTCCACAGCAACCCGGAGCTGCACGAGGTGTGGGTGAGCCTGCCGCCGCATCCGCTGCAAGAGCAGGAGCCGCTGGGCGATCGGCAGTGGATCGAAAAATTCGACATTTTGCAGAATTTGGTGAAGTTCGAGCAATCGTTGAGCGTGGAATTCAAGCACATTCGGCTCTTGGCGAGGGCCTTCACCGACAGGAGCGTGGGGTATACGAACCTGACGATGGGGTCGAACCAGAGGTTGGAGTTTTTGGGGGACACTGTGCTGCAGTTGATCGCTTCCGATTACTTGTACAAATATTTCCCCGAGCACCACGAGGGTCATTTATCGGTACTTCGGTTTTTTTGGTACGTTGCGATGAAAGGCGTTAATTATTTATTTTTTAGTTGTTGAGAAGTTCTTTGGTGAATAACAGGACACAGGCTGTCGTTTGCGATGATTTAGATATGTCGAAATATGCAATTTATAACAATCCTAAAGCAGAGTTGAAGACTAAAGATAGAGCGGATTTGTTGGAAGCTTTTATAGGAGCTTTGTATGTTGATCAGGTATTTAATATAATTATTAGTTTCTTGCTAATATCTTTAATCTTGTTTAATATTTTAATAGGGAATGGAATTTTGTGAAGTATTTTGCCAAGTAACGTTATTTCCTCGTTTACAAGACTTCATTATGAACCAAGATTGGAATGATCCCAAATCGAAATTGCAGCAATGTTGTTTAACTTTACGCACTATGGATGGAGGAGAACCCGATATACCGGTTTATAAGTAAGTTTTAAAAAATTTTAAATAATATACATATAACGTATATTTACAATTATTTGCAGAGTAATAGAATGTAAAGGACCCACTAACACGAGAGTGTACACAGTTGCTGTATACTTTAGAGGTAGAAGGTTAGCCAGCGCTATGGGCCATAGTATTCAACAAGCTGAAATGAATGCTGCTAAAAATGCTTTAGAAATATCGCAAGGTAACGAAGTTGTTCATTTTATTGAAACAAAATCGACATCATTTCATTTTTCTAGATTTGTTTCCACAATTGGATCACCAAAAGCGAGTTATAGCTAAGAGTATGAAAAAACAGAAAAGAAAATGCCCCTCTGGAAGAGGCAGGACTAATCAATCTACATCAAAGTCGCCTGAGAGATATTCAAAAAACAGATTCTACAGATCCAGATCAAGGTCCCCTGAAGCTTACGAAAGGCGACCGCAGAGCAGTCACCGCACAGGGACATAATTAAGCAGAAATGTATTATTACAAAAATTTTGAAAAAATAGTTTAAGCCAATACGGAATTTATTTTACATTTATTTCGCCTTCATCTATAGTGTACTATAACGATTTTACTTGTAAAATTTTATTTGAAATATTTTTAACAAATTAGTAGCCATAATCAACCGCATTACTCAAATAAACGATTTGTTAAAATAACTCTCCGAATGATTTTTTTTTCAAAATTTGCTTCTTGCTGTTAAAAGAAATAATAGGCTTATTTAAAATTACATTTTGTCCATAAAGTGAGGTTGTCCGTTTTTTTCCAACCTTCTGGTCAAAATCTCACAGCCAGTTTCGTTTACCAACAAAGTCTGTTCAAACTGAGCTGACCATCGACCATCTGCTGTCACCGCTGTCCATTTATCCGGCCACATTTCATCCCTCCATGTCCCTTCGGAAATCATCGGTTCAATTGTGAAACAATGCCCCGGCTTCATCACGCCAACTGCCCTATTTTCTGAAACAATAAGCATACTCTTAAATAAACAGTATGAACTGGAGTTTGGTGCAATTTTTGCACCTGGTGGATAAGAATAGTTCATACGTACTGGCATAATGAGGTACATTTGGTGATGTATGGAACAATCTATGTATACCATGTCCACAATAGCTCCTTACGACAGAATAACCGTGTGCTTGAGCATGTTTCTGAATAACATTACCGATTTCTCTGTATTTCTCGCCTGGTTTAACAATCTCGATAGCTTTCATCAAACATTCGTGAGTAACCTGAATTATCCACATATTAATAAAGAATAAAAAAAACATACAATGTTTATTATACCTTGACTAAATTTTTGTTCTTCTCACTGACATTGCCAACGAAAAACGTTTCATTGAGATCCCCATGAAAACCTCTGTGATATATCGTTACGTCCACATTACACAAATCTCCATCTTCCAGAGGACGAGTATCGGGTATCCCGTGACAGATAACTTCGTTCACGGAAGTACAACAAGAAGCGGGAAATTCGTAGTAATTGAGTGGAGATGGATAGCAATCTCTTTCTATACATGCTTCGTGTACTGCTCTATCGATTTCGTCTGTGGTGACACCAACATCACAAACTCGGGCCGCCTCGTTGAGCACTTCCCGGCCCAACTTGCCTGCCACCTTCATTCCTTCGATTTCTTCATCGTCGAGGACTTTGATCAGGCCAGAGCCTTTGACGGCTTGTTCGCTTAGGGGAAACCCTTGAGGATGATCGGCGTAATCAGGTCTCAGAATTTGAGGAGGTACAGATCTTTTCGGCGTTTGAGGGAAGGGCCGGAGTTTGCCCGTGTAGGAATAATTCGGCCATGGGTTATACGTGTCTTCTTTACTACCGTCTACATTTTCTCCTTCTGTAAAATTCAAATGGATGAATCAAACTTATAGGGTCGAATTATAATTAAATTCGTACTTATGTAATTGATTAGAGAATAAAAATATCTTGACATTTTATAATTTAGTGGTAAGCATGACTTTTACAGTACCTACCTAACCTTACTTACTAGCTAAAGAGTGAATAATTTTGTGCGTTTTCCAATTGCTCTTAAAGCAATCTTGTGAACAATAGAATGATCCTGGTATTCCTAATTTTATGCAAGTAGGACATTGCAGTTTTGCCGAATTCGAACAGTTAGGCGTTTCGCAATGCCCCAAACTTGCCATTTTTTCAATTAATTGTAAAAAGAAAAATGCCCGTTATGTCATACGTCAAGTGTCAGTGTCAAACCATTGTTGCCAGATCAAAATTTAAAATATATTTTTTCAATGTTTTAACAAATATTAATATTGCAATAAACGGATGTGAGGAATGTTAATTTAAAGAAATTACCAAATAACATTTACAAAAAAAGAAAAAATCTTCATTTAGTGAAATTTTGTAAGATCTGGTGGCACTATCAAAAAAAATTTCACCAACTAACCAGTTTGGCCAACTCATTTTAAAATATAAAATATTTCAAAAAATTGTCAAAAATCAATTTCATTTTAAAAATCGATAATAATATTTAAATAGGCACCAAAATATACGACAGAAAATCGCTAAAAATTTCTTTAATTCGTGTATCATTTAATTAAAAAAATTAAAATTCAACAAACGTAGGGTTTTTATTTCACGTAAGTTGGTAACAAACAGTTCTCTTCTTTCATTCCGACATTTTGAATTTCTCGATTTCACGCGTTTTTTCTAGTGCGGTGCGGCTAGCGTTTTGCAGATATTTATATTTGATCGATTTTTTTCGATTTCCTTTCTAGTTTAAATAAATTTGAACATACCAAAATGTCAAAACGACGTATTGAAGTATTGGACCCCTTCATAAAGAAAAAAAGGTAATCACCATAATTAAATCCTACATACAAAGATTCTAGTTATCAAATTTCAGGGAAGAGCGAGGAATAACCACCACTGTTTCAACAACACCAACCACCATTGGATCCGGCTCAATTAACCCTTACACCAGTTTACCATACACACAAAAATACCACGAGCTCTTTCGCAAGAGAATAGGACTTCCAGTATTCGAATACAAAGCAGACTTTATGCGATTACTCGACGAACATCAATGCATAGTACTCGTAGGAGAAACGGGTTCGGGCAAGACCACCCAAATTCCCCAATGGTGTGTCGAGTACTCCCGAACGGTGGGCGTAAAAGGTGTTTGTTGTACGCAACCCAGGCGTGTGGCTGCCATGTCAGTTGCTCAAAGAGTTTCAGAAGAAATGGACGTTCAGCTCGGACAGGAGGTCGGTTACAGTATTCGATTCGAGGACTGTTCATCCGCAAAAACCATACTAAAGTATGTGCAATTAATCTCTGTTACATTACATATTAATGAAGGTAATTAATTTATAGGTACATGACAGATGGTATGTTACTAAGGGAAGGAATGAGCGACCCAATGTTAGACTCTTATCAATGTATATTGCTCGATGAAGCTCACGAAAGAACTCTAGCTACGGATATTTTGATGGGTGTGCTGAAAGAAGTAATTAAACAGAGAAAAGTAAGTGATTTGGTAATGATTATTTGGCGAGTTTTATTAAATTATTTCTATTTTTCAGGACCTGAAATTGGTGATTATGAGTGCTACATTAGACGCTGGTAAATTCCAGCAGTACTTCGACAACGCGCCTCTTATGAACGTACCTGGTAGAACCCACCCAGTGGAAATATTTTATACTCCTGAACCGGAACGAGATTATCTCGAAGCAGCAATAAGGACTGTTATTCAAATACACATGTGCGAAGAAATAGCAGGTAATGTCAAATTTCTATTAAAATCTAATGAAATTATTGCTTCGATTTGTTCATAGGTGACATTTTGCTGTTCCTCACTGGACAAGAAGAAATCGAAGTAGCGTGTAAACGAATTAAAAGGGAAATAGACAATTTGGGACCAGAAGTCGGCGAATTAAAATGTATTCCTTTATATTCTACTCTTCCTCCGAATCTCCAGCAAAGGATATTCGAAGAGCCCCCGCCGAACAAGCCGAATGGAGCCATCGGAAGAAAAGTTGTCGTTTCCACAAACATTGCAGAGACTTCTCTTACTATCGATGGTGTTGTTTTTGTTATAGATCCTGGATTTGCGAAACAAAAAGTATACATTGAATCGATTTTATTTCTTTTGTATTAATATTTTAACTATCTCGTAGGTGTACAATCCGAGGATTAGAGTTGAATCGTTATTGGTGTCTCCTATTAGTAAAGCTTCCGCCCAACAGAGAGCTGGTCGTGCTGGTAGAACGAAGCCCGGAAAATGTTTCAGATTGTACACGGAAAAGGCTTTTAAAAACGAAATGCAAGATAACACCTATCCTGAAATTTTAAGGTACGGTTTACTATTATCGTAGAAGAAATATAATCATAAATGACTTTGCGTAGGTCGAATTTGGGTTCGGTGGTGCTTCAATTAAAAAAACTCGGTATCGACGATTTGGTCCATTTCGATTTCATGGATCCGCCCGCTCCGGAAACTCTAATGAGAGCTCTGGAGCTGCTCAATTACCTAGCCGCTCTAGACGACGACGGGAATCTGACCGATTTGGGCGCAGTCATGGCGGAATTTCCGCTCGATCCGCAATTGGCCAAGATGTTAATCGCCAGCTGCAATCACAATTGCTCCAATGAAATATTGTCTGTAACGGCAATGTTGTCAGGTATTTACTTTTTGGTAATTTTTTTTTTTCGATTAATCAAAACGATAATTTTAACATGATTTTTAATGAACATGTAAAATTTTAATAACGGTTGAATAAGTATTTAAAAAGCTTATCTTATTACTAAATAATGCTATTTTTATAATTGTATTTTACATTTTATTGTAAAAAAAGCGTAAAAAAATTGATCGGACGAGATTGAAATCGAAGAACGTTTGACACAGACCAAGAGCGCAACATTATTTTTTATGCGAAATAATCGTTTCGATGTCTTCAACATTATCCGAGATTTGTTTTTTTGCGTGTTGCTCTGTTGGCCGGCAAAACGTTTCTGACTAAGGGGTAGCTCTGTAGGAAGGGGCTTGAGTGGTGCACATCTACTATATCGGTTGGATACGGGCATTGCCCTTTTGGTTGCCCGCTCCAATATTTAGTCCCGCAGTGTTTCGTACGACCCAACGAAGCCAAGAAGGCGGCCGACGACGCCAAGATGAGGTTCGCCCACATCGACGGGGACCATTTGACATTGCTAAACGTCTATCACGCTTTCAAACAGAGTAAGTTCTACTTTATGTACTTTATAAAATAATATATCGGTTGCTTCAATTCAGACCGCAACATGGTCGTTTCTATGAGTTGAACAAAGAAAGATTGATAAAATAACAGTTGTCAGAGTGAAAAGTTGCAATGACACAAATGTCTTTCTTTCCTTTTCCTTTGAAGTGTCTAATGGAAGTTGTCTTTATCGCACCCATGGCCTATATAACCTATGTTGCGATCAAAAATGGAGCAACCTGTATATGTATGGTATTAATTAATTGAGTGTCGATACTTCAGGATGTAAATGTTATGATTTTAAGAAGAAAAGTTTCTATCAATATATTATGTCCATAGAAATCAAATATAATAACACTTTATATTGTATTATAAGTAGATAGCTATGATTATGTCCTAAACCTCTTAGTTTTCGAGCTACAGGGTGTTACGTCAAAAAAAACTTTTCTATCATTATTTTCTTATTCTGAAGTATCGGCACTCAATTAACTAACACCCTGTATAAGAATTTGATTATATTCATATTGATGTTTGAATGTTAAATGTAGGCATGGAGGATCCGCAGTGGTGTTATGATAATTTCGTTAACTATCGTTCCTTAAAGTCGGCTGATAACGTGAGACAACAGCTGTCGAGGATCATGGACAGGTTCAATTTGAAAAGGACCTCTACAGATTTCACTAGTAAAGATTATTATATTAACATTAGGAAAGCTCTTGTCAATGGATTTTTCATGCAGGTTGGTAAAATTTCTTAATAATATTACTTTATAAATTATTATTATTACTCTTAATTTATTGGCCTCCACCTAGTCAGTATTTGGCCAGAGCAGGTATTTGCTTTGTTATAATACTTGTTTATATCAAAGCTAGCACTTCACACATTAATTATATATATTTTCAGTCTTAGGTTCCACTTTTCGTGTTGTAGTTGTATATTTTCATATATTTCAATTCTTCTTTTTGTAGGCTGTATTAGACATGTTATATAACAAAACAACATAGGTATTAGACTTTTCTCGCTCAGGGGGAACAGCTGAGCATTACAAACCCCCGAAAAGTTCCCTCGGAATTCAAGTAGGAGCACCCAGATTATTAAAAGGAGGATATTTGTATTGATATACAATTTTAATATCAATTTTAAATATATTGATAAATTTAATTATTAAATTGATAATATTGTATTTATATTCTATTAAGATAGAGGGTAACGAAATGGGGGTAGGCGTTTTTAATTCTATAAGTTTATTATATAAGTCAAATTGCGGTGAGTGATTTATTGGACAACCAAAAAATATATGGTGTAAATCTTCCACTTGATCGCATATACAATATGGGTCATCTTTGCACCCAATTCTAAATAAATGTTGTCCATTTAGACAATGCCCAGTTCTTAATCTAATAATTACTGTCAAATGTCTTTTATTTATATACGTACTATTTGCAAAAAAGGGGTCCTAGGGAAATTTTCTTGAAATAAGTGATACCACTGTCCCTTTGTTGTAAATAAGTTTATAAATTATTATTTAATTTATTTAAGGTCGCACATTTGGAGAGAACAGGTCATTACCTAACGATCAAAGATAATCAAATAGTCCAGTTACATCCATCGACCTGTTTGGATCATAAGCCCGAATGGGTCATCTATAATGAGTTTGTGTTGACAACCAAAAATTACATAAGGACCGTTACCGATATAAAACGTAAGTTTTTTGCTGTTTTTATTATTGTTTATTATTTACGAATTGTTTCGTTTTTTTTTTAGCTGATTGGTTATTGAAAATAGCACCTCAGTATTATGACCTCAACAATTTCCCTCAATGCGAAGCTAAACGACAGTTAGAAATTCTTCAAAATAGATTAGAATCTAAGCAGTTTCAACAAGGATTCTAATTTCATGTTTTTTACGTTGCTTATTTAAAATTTATAATATTTGAATGATTATTATTTATATAATTGAGACTCTTATGTATTAATGTTTTCATTCCATAATAAATAGTTGAAATCAAATGTATTTTTTGTGTAGACTACAAATGTCTACAGATATCACGTTATAAAAGTGTTTTTCTGAAATTGCAAATTTCTGAATAACCGCGATGGTAGAGTAAGATTACAAAAAGTGGCTAGATTCTATAATTGTGGAGGTCCTTAAAATATATGTAGTAAGAAGAACTGAAACGTCAACGTCATAATTGTCAAAAAATCAAACATTGCGTTGCGAACGTTAAAAATATTGCGAAAAATTTGTATTTTAATTCTCTTTTGTTTGATATAGTTGTACATTCGTTAATTTAAACATGAATTCAAGAAGCGCGAACACTACAATGAAGAGGAAAATGATGGGTAATTTGAAACGTGCCAGTTCTTTAAATGTCGTAAATACAACAAGTGTTGATAATAATCCAAGTTACGACTATGATAAATATTTGCAAGCTCTACTAAAGCAAGTTTTAATAGACAAAGAAATAGAGCAGTATACTAGGGTTGTGGAAAATCAGATTTCGCACCAGAAAGAAATTATTAAGGAGAAAGAAAACCATTTGAAGGAAATCCAGCAAGGCCTACTGTTACAGGAGCAAAAGGAGAAACTAGTAATTATGATTAATAATTTAGAAAAAAACATGACTACTTTCATCAACCTTACGAACGAACACGAAATTCAGAAACACCTGGAAGCCATTCAGGGGGCTTTAGAAGAAGCCAGTGGTACTCTAACTTTAATAAACCTCAAACTAACCGAGGGAGACCAAGAGCAGCTAGCAGAATCTGTAAAGAAACTTCTTCTGGCCAGCGACATTATCATGAAAAGCGGGCGAGATTTCGAAGGCGTTCATAAATTAGCAGAGAAGAGTCAAAACCTATTGGCTATTATGCAAGAAGTCGTCGAAATCACCAACGAACTAACTACTATGGGTACTCTTGGTACTCAAAATGTTCTCCAAAAATTATCTGATGAGTTTGCAAAAGATTACTAACATAGATTTACTATATTGTTATTACTTATTACTAAATTGTTTTTTTTGTTGTATTATTGAATAAAAACTATTGAAAAACCGACAGAAATATTTTATTAATTCTCTGAATAATGTAAACACATCATTTTTATTTAAAAAAAGAACGGAAAAGTTAAAAATGTAACAATGTAGAATTTAAGTTTATAAAGGTAACAAGTTCCAATATTAACAAGTAGGTTGTTTACAATTTAGTCATTTTATCATATACTTATAAATTGATTTGAAAAAATCATAATGTACAACAGTTAAGTAGTTAAGAATTATTAAATTTACAAACACTAAATACATCTCATAAATACAAAGACAAAAATATAAGCAACATAAACTGCAATAAAAAATTCGCCACCATTTTTTTTATTTTCTGGTCGAATATATTTATCAAGGATTTTATTATTTAGACGTTTATCGAGAAAACTTTAGCCCTCAATTCTCCATCGTAACTTAATCAAAGTCTATTTTCAAACATAGCAAAAAATTTGATCAAGTAATGAAACATTTGTATTTTAGTAGCACCTATATACTCTGATGTGCAAATACTGAATCCATATAGTACCGTGCCCCACAAAATCCTAGGTCTAACTAAAACCTAAGTAACCCTAGTTTGCTTAGTTTTCAAAACTAAGACTTGGCAGCTTTCAGGATCATTGTCTCCTACAAAAGTACTTGATATGATGATTGCAGTGCAAGGAACAATAGGAACAAAACCTGCGCTCTTTCAACTGGCACGAACAACTCTTCATCACACAGAACAACCCTTTAAATACGAATAATATATGATAAAATGACGACTGATAATTTAGACAACATTATCCATAATCATACCTAATATATTCAACGAAAGATTAACCGTCGCTCGAGAGCCCGCTCGCCGAAATCGCCCAAATCGATCGATAGCTTATACTTAAAATCTATGAAATTCTTCGAAAGTGATTGATGCCATCGAAGCGCGCGATTCCGTCGAGTACGGTTGAACTTCTCTATAAACAACTTATTTATCGAATCAAAAATTTACCACTAACTACTGACACATTTATACAAAGGCGTTATTTGTTGTCGGTTTTCTTCGATTATTATTGCGCAGATCGAAGTCAGATTTAATTCGTTTTAATGTATAGTTTCATGGCACCATTATATTAGTCTTTTCAGTTTTAAAATACTTATTGGTTTCGTAGTTATGCGCTTGTCTAGGTACTTCATCTTGGAAATGATATTTAAACGTTGTTTAATAAATGTGTGTTTTACGTTTCGTTTTGGATTTTCTCGCTTAATCCATTTTTTTAAAGCAATAGAAATTCTAATCCAACGTTTTTCAAAAGTATGGCGAATTATTGATAAATCTTTCACTCGCCTATTACCTTATTTTTTAGTTTTCATTGCTTTTTCTGACAAATTAAATCCGACTTTCCAACAGTTCAATCTACGGTACACCGAACACTTCGTAAATAATTCCTTTAGGACCTAAATGACAAAGTGTTGGGAAGAGTTTTTGGTTTATACGATTACTATATAGAAATAAAAAACACTGAAAAATATTCAAAATGTTTGGAATAAGTCGATTCTTAAGATATTTTCGGAAAGGCATTTGGCGATTCGGGAGATTGGTGGTCGTCCTGAAATATAAAAAAAATGTCCATAAATCACCTAATTTATACCCTAACTTTCAAAACATTTCTTTCACTTCGTTAGAAATAAAAAATATACCTGGGACGCAACACTAGACCTATTGCTGGATAATCCTAAATCACTGGTGAATGGAGTTCTTAGTGTGAGCTCTTTAGCACTAGCCTCGTGTGTATCAATGCTTGTGCTCAAATCCACTGAAGAATCACTAAAATCAGAAACACCAATTTACCTATATACCTATACAGGTCGTACGAATTATTCCGCTGCAAGCATACAATGAGAATAATGAGATAGCTAATTGAACTTTTGCTATGTAAGGAATAAAGAGAGCATACAAAATAATCACGCCCGCTATCCCCGCTATTCGCTAGTGGACGAAGCGAAGCGAATTGACGAATTCTAATATCGGCCGGGAACCGATAAACAAGTTTCTGTTCTTTACTATCTTATAGTATTGATTGAGATTCTAATTCTAATGCTTGCAGCAGATCAGTTCGTACGACCTGTATATGAAGTTGAAATGCCACTAGCCATTTATTACTTGAAATGACTTGTTAAATTGTTTTTATCATATTACGATTTTTCATGCATTGAAACACCTGTCTTCAAATTTTCACTACTGTCTGTACATCCAAAATCTTTCAAACTGCTGTAAAAAATCATTTTTTGATTTCAACTTTGACGCTCTGTATCTTTTTTATTTTCAATATTTTACTAAAGCAAGTCAGATCGTAATATTTTGAGACCCAGAATCTTCATCTTCACTTTCAAATATTTGTAAAATTACTCTTCAAAATTAGTTTCCAAAAGGCATAAACATCATTTAAAATGAACAATAAAAACAATTTAACAAAAGACATTTTAAATAATAAATGGACAGTGGCATTTGAACTATACAATATGCAAAACATTTTTGAGTATGTGTAAATACGTGTCATACGAAATAAACTACCTAATAATACTTCTACAATCCGACACGGAGACGTCGAGTTTAACCCTCTCGGTACCATCCGTGGCCGTCTTATCATCATCAACATTATCATCGTCGAGCAACGGCAGCTCGTCCTCCTGCACGAGCGGCTCCGGCTCTTTGGGCCGCTTCTCGCGCTTCTTCGCGTTCAACTCGTGGCACTCGCACTTGCACTCGTCCGGATTCACGTAGCTGTAGACGACGCTCTCCTGCAACACCCCCTCGGGCACCTCGATGTAGCCGCGCGACGGTATCGTCTGGATGCGCTTGGGCGCCTTCCGCTTCTCCGGTATATCCTCGAAGTTGATCCACGACGTCTGGACGGCCTTGGGCGGCAGCGGCGGCGGCGGCGTCGGCGTATCGCCGGGCGTCGCTCGCGACGCTATGCCGCCCTCCGCGAACTCCGACCAGTTGGCGTTGAACTCCTTCTTGCGCGGCGACTTCACCTTGGCCGTTTTGTCGAAGGACTCGTTGCGCGGCAGCGATATGCGCAGCTTCTCGATCGTCCTGGTGACGCTGTCGACGTTGAAGTTGCCCATCACCTCTTCGCAGTACTCCTCCAGGCAGCTGGGGTTGATGGGCGTGGTGGAGCGCGGCCGTTCGATCGGGCAGGTCTTCATGTCGAACGTCGATCGCTGCTTGACGGGCACTATCGGTAGGGCGGCGGAGCGTTCCTGCGGCAGTGTGGTCGGCACGTAGGGCAGCTCGTCCTCGAACGAGTCCTGCTGCAGCACGATGGCCTTCCTTTCGATTTCCGTAACGTCCAGGTCGAGTTTCAGTTCGTTTTTCGCCTTGGCGTTGTCGTCGACGTCTTTCTCCGATTCCGACGAATTGTGGTCCTCCGTGAGAGAGCTCACCGAACTGACGGCGCCTACGGATATTTGAGATATTTCAGATATTTGGGATATTCTCTTATCTTTAATAGGCTCTTGGTCTACTTCTTTTACGCTACTAGCAACAGCTTTTTCTTGTATCTTCGGCGGTTCTTCGGGTGGCTCCTCCACGTGCAACTCCACCACTTCTTTGATCCCGTTGATAACTTTCGGCGCGTCATCGCTGGGCAACTTCTTCGGCAGCTTCGTGGTGAACACCTCGTTGTCGTTGCCTAATTTCGTCGAGAAAACGATATTTTCGCTGCTCGTGCTGCTCTGCCTCACCGTCTTGCCCGTTTCCTCCGCTTTCGGAACCTCTTCCACCGCCACGTTCGCCCTTTTACTGACGTTCTCGATGACGGTCTCCTGCGAGTCCTGGCTGGACGTCTTCCAATCGGAGATGCTCCGGTTCTCGTAGTACGTAGGCGAGTGCAGCGGTATGCGCACGGTGGCGCAGTCCAAAGGGTTCTCGTAGTACGACGACTTGGAGGCGAACTCCAACTTGGCGGGGCCGTCTCCGCTGCGGATCGTCTCCTGCGAGCTCGTCTCCGACTCCGACTTGGGCTTGTCCTTCTTGCCTTTGAACAGCGACAACACGGACTTGTTCTTGGACTTGAGGTCGATGCTCTCGGTGGACGAGGGCGCCGTCGAGACGGACTTGTGGCTGTCCCTGTCGCGGCTCTTCGACCGGCTCCTCGAGCGCAGATTGTCCCCGGCCTCTTTCAGTATGCCGGTTATGGTGGTTTTGCGCCGGCTGGAGCCCGGCACGGACGGCGATTCCGGGCTGATGATGGCGTCTTTGCTCTTGAAGAGAGAGGCGAAGGACGATCGCCTGGAGATGGAGGGAGACGGCGTGACGGTGTCGATGCGCTCCTCTGTTGACGTCGTGATGATTTTCGGGCTGCCGTTCGTTACGGCGCTGTGTATTTTATCATCGGCTTTCGTGATGAAGCTGTTTGAATCCGGTTCGACGGAGTCGAGTTGCAGGGTGTCCGGTTTGTGGATCTCCGGCTCGTTCGGGTAGCATCTGTCCGGCTTCAGCTTGATTCTGATGTATTTCGGCTCTTGGGTTCTGCTCCTGGTGGGCTCCTCTTTTTTGCTGATGGAAGGCGATGGAGTCGGAGTGGCGGATTTACATCTAGGTTTCGATTCAGGTACTTTGGATTTGCCACTATGCGTCGATTTGGATTGGAAATTGGCGGATTTCACTTCGCGGAGTTTGGTTTTAGAGAGTTGCGGGCCCGTCGCCGGTTTGGGTAGGTCCGGTGGTAGAGGGCCTTTCAACGGTATGTAGTAGTATTCGACGCCGCTTTCGGCCACGAACCGGCTTTTTACCTTAGTAGTATTATTGCTTTCGTTTCCCGATTTGTCCACTGTAATGATAATATCACTGGTTATAATCTCCTTGGAGTCTTGCTTTCTCGGAGGTTTCTCCGCTCGGGTTTTCGCTGTTAAAGGTTGCGCCTTCTCCACTAAAATTCCTGCAAACAATTGAAATAATCAATTCTATCGAACGCACTGTTACGATTTCGAACCTTCTGCTAATATTGCTTCAGTTGGATCGTGCTTTCTGGAGAGCAGAACTTTCTCCAACACCTCGCTCTCGACTTTGGTCCCTGTGTAACTTTCCTCGGCCTTCTCGGCCGCTTCGCCGGCCTTGTAGCCGCAGAACGACGTCTCCAGCAGCATCTTGTGCGGCGACGAGCACCTGGATATGCCCGACTGGCCGGAGAGGATCGACATGTGGCTGGCGTTGGACAGGCGGCTCTGATTCGAGCCCTGGCTGCCGATGCTCGACAGCCGCGACGTGCGCCCCGATATCGACAGCAGGACTATGTCCGAGCACTGCGAGTCCTTGCGCGTCGCCTGCGGCTCCTCCAGCACGGACGGCGACGCCGGCCTGGCCTTGCTGCTGCGCCGCCTCTCCATCGACGACATGTCCTGGAAATCCAGCTCTTCGGTGGAAGACCGCAGGTCCAACGCGCCGTCTTCCTTGAAACCTGTGCACAAGAGAACCGGTGGTGATCGAGTAAAGCGAGGTTCGGGCGCGTTTACCTAGCCCCAGCTTGGCGGTGTTGGGATCGTGCGCGTCGTAGATTTCCCTCTCCGGGCTGCTGTCTTTGCTGTCGTGGTGCGAGGAGCTGCTGGCCCTCGAGATGTCTATTCTGGGCGTCGCCGGCGGCTTGATGTTGTTCTTCTTGGGCGGGTTGGGCGAGCGCGCCGCCGCCGTCGTGCCGATGAGGCTGATGCCTTTGCAAGGATGCGCCGGCGACGGCGATCTGTCGGTCATCACCGGCGTGGTGGGTGTCAGGTCTTCCCTGATGCCGGGCAAACGCACCACGGACCCCGCCACGCTCTTGTCCTCGGGGCTCTCGAGCTGCAAGCACAATACTGATTTGCCAAGGGGAGAAAGCGCGATTAGTTTTAATTAATCGTCGGACGTTCTGATAATAAAAATATTTTTGTAGGCGTCCCTTTGTTGGGAACGTGTGTATTATAATTTAACGAAGCAAATTGTTGGTGTTGTGTGGTTGATTGAATGGAATGGATCATGCTGGTTTACGGACGAAATCGATTGAAGATTGGAGTGATATGATGAATGAGTAATGGATAAGATACATAGTAGGAAATTATGTTATGGTTTTTCAACAAAAAACATTCGTAAAAATGGGAAATCTAGCTTTGAATTTGGGTAAGGGAAGAAATGTTATCTATAGCTTTGTTGAAGAATAAATTATAAGGAAATATAATGTTTCTATTGAAAGAAAATTTAGCTATTATCAAGAGTATTTTATCTACTATTCGATATATTGCAATCTTATAGTTGATACAATCTCATAGTTTACATGCTACAGCAGCTACAGGTATTCCCTTTGCTTCGTTTTTTTAGGAACAAACAAGTACTATAATAACATTTAACGAGCTTATTCGACAAAATATTTTCATTAACCACTATCCACGCTTCTTTTTAGATCGATACAATATAAACACACAAAATAGGTGAAAAAGTACAGTTTACAGATAGAAAGAAAGAGGTGTGATACGTACACGAGATCTCACCTCGTCTGAGAGATCCTCGAAGGAGGCGAAAGGAGCGGGGCCCATGCGCTTCTGTTGTCGCGACGACGACGTCCCAGGTGCTGACGTCGACATTTTTTCGTAAAATCTACTGGGTGTTACGTGTACTGAAGGCAAGCGACAGAAATCAGGGTCGAAAGTCACACTTTGTACACTCTACTTGCGACAAATGCGATGCAAATATGATGATTAGTATGATCGTAAATCGCTCGATTAATTCGATTATTAACGATATATCGCTAATTGAAGTACGACGAATGATTTAAAAGAGAAAAACTATGCGTGTACAGTGAGGCGAGAATAGTTGGAGACGTGACCTGCGCGAGTTTTCGTCGAAATTGCTGTTAATGCGCATTGGGTCTACAGCTATTCTTGTCGGACTGTACAATAGTTAAAAAATACTTAATATTTTGTTTTTAAGTCCGGTTTTTAATTATTTTATTGATGAACTTACATAAATATCGTGCATATAGTTTTGCAATTTGTAATTGTTCCAAAATTTACACAAACCAGGCCTGTTGATTGTACATATACTTTTCTGTACAACACAGAATAATAATTACATGTACGATATATGTAATAAAGAAAAAGTATTTATTATTGGTATTGAACTGTGTTGTGTATGCGAAGAAAATGCCGAGTATAGGTAAACACACCCTCTAGTAATATTATATCTATTTCACTCAATCATTTAGGTCAACGGTTTTCAATCAGAGGGGTGCAAATCAAATCGATTTTTTCGGAAAAGCGACCACAACGAAACGCTAGGCGAATTATTTATGCACCGCAATGAGGCGTTTAATTAAAATTAAATGCATTAATAATCGACAAAACGTTACCTGTTTCGGCTCCGTTCCTGAATGGACGTGTCTCTCTAATCGAACATTTTGCAATCGTCGAACTTATCACAAATTTTTAGGGTGCTACATTGTTATTTACATGATTTTTTGTTTTACAGTTTTTTTTTTTTAAATAAGGCAGAAACTGCAGCGATTCTATCTACATAACTACGTGAGGGAGCCGTAGCCTCGTTTCTGTTCGTCGTCGCGGCGTTCGTCGAATCGAAGGGAAATGTGTCGATTTTCCTACCCCTGAAAACCCGCCGGAGTGGGGGACACGGGCGGTTCCGACTGTCGGGTGGAAAAAGGGAACGATTTCACCGTTTACCGTGCGTTTCCGCGTTCTCCCACGACTTGGCTTTTCCGATTTTCAATTATTCAGTCGAAGAAACAATTTCCTTTTTGCGGTTGTGATTTTTTTTTAGAATGCGCGGTTATTTCCTGATGAAAACGCGAAGGGTATTACGCTCTTGGCGACTATTGGTTGATGTGCTCTTTGATTTTTAACCCTGTTTAAAGTTGCAGGAGATTATTAATTCTTTTGCTTTTTTATAGGTATTTACGGAGCGACAAAGATAACTGTTGACGTGACCTGCGCGAGCTAAAAATATTTAAATATCATTGCGCTTAATGGTACATTCTTCAGCTGTTTCTGCCGGACTATATAAACTTAAATTAACAATAAATATAGTAGTAATCTTATTAAAATTATACATTTATGCTGTTTACTAAATTTACATATATTTTTATTCCATTTAACGCAAAAGAATTAAAAACAATTAAATTAATTTTGTGTCCCTTATTTTAAAAATTTCCCAAAATTCTTCTTTTCAAAAATTCTATTTATTTTGAATGAACCGAAGGAAAAATAAGAACGAGACCAGTAAACATCTACAGTTATTTTAACCAAATACATATGATATTTAGCAGCTAATTAATTAAAAACTGATATTCACATGAAATTGAATAATTTAATTTTTCTTATTACAATAGTATAATATAAAAATTAAAAACCACAAAATATATGATACCGTATTACCAATAGATTATAGTCCATAAAAGAGAAGAATTTTTTGTTGACAACCTCTGACAGAGTTGTCAGTCCTTCAGTTTTTAAGATCTCTAAGAATATGGCTTCCGGGGTAAATTTCTCTTTTATTTTAATAATCCTGCATGATTTTGACATAATCCTTAGCATTAAACATTGTCCGAAGGTTGTTTAATAATCTATCGATGTAATTCCCGGCGTATTTTTTCCAGACACTCTACACTTATCCAGAAAATTTTCGTGCCGCAAAAGCTCTGATTGCTGCACAATATGCAAAAGCAAACGTCAAAGTAGCACCAAATTTTGTTTTCGGCGAAACCAACAAGTCTAAAGATTTTACCAAGAAATTCCCCAGTGGAAAGGTGAGTGTTTGCCGTTTCGAATTTCATTTAAATCTGTTTTACTTCAATGTTTTCATCGTAGGTACCAGCTTTCGAATCGAACGATGGCAAATATCTTCAAGACAGTAACGCCATAGCCTACTACGTTGCCAACGAACAACTTAGAGGAAAGAACGAGTACGACAGAGCTCAAATTTTGCAATGGATCGGCTTCGCCGAGGGCGAAATCTTGCCGGCTGCTTGTGCCTGGGTATTCCCCATACTGGGAATTGTCAAGAACAATCCCCAAACGCAAGACGTAAGTTCCTTACATATCCTTTCGATATTAGATTTACAATTCGTTTATTCCAGGCTTTGCAGCGAGCGAAAGACGACATTAACAGCGCCCTCGCTATCCTCAACGGCCATTTGCTTACTCGCACGTATTTGGTGGGCGAGAGAATCACCCTGGCCGATATCGTGGTGGCCTGCAATTTGCTCAATCCCTACAAGTACGTGTTGGATCCGAGTTTCCGAAAGACCTTCCACAACGTCAACAGATGGTTCACCACCTTGATCAACCAGCCCCAATTCAAGGCTGTCCTTGGCAACGTCGAATTTTGCACCAAGGTCGCCCAGCCCGGAAGCGTCACCGTCGCTCCTCCCCAAGAAGGTGAGTTTCCGTCGTGAAGTTTTATTTTACTTTAAAAATGTGGAATTATTCGTTATTAAGAAGTGGCAACTGGACATTTTGTTTATAATTGTGATTGGTGAAAATTGTCATGTTTGATTTATATTCACGCATTTTTTTACAAGCTAACAAAAATAAAAGTAAAACTGCTGGGAATGGTGAAAATACTGAGAAAAAGAGTAAAAGAGGTAAGAAGTTGATTTTTGAAATGTTTTGCGAGAGTAGATGTATTAGTGAGTAGTAGATATGTAATAGCACTTATAACCTGTAATTATTACACAAAACTCTCTCAAAGGCAAATATTGATTTAAATCAATAAACGTATTTGTAACAAAGAGAGTGAAATTAACAGGAAGATATTATTTTCTTAATTTATCGCCCAATTTAAGCGATACATTTTGGATACTCCTTACATGTTTTGTCTCATTAAATCTATTTATTATTAAATATATGTACAAGAAACTGACATTATTTTCTGTTGAATAGGAAAGGGTAAGAAAAAGGAGGAGAAGAAGCAAGAGAAGAAACCCAAAGAGGCCCCTAAGAAGGAAAAAGAACCTGAAGAGGAACTCGATGCCGCCGAAGCTGCCCTGGCTGCCGAGCCCAAGAGTAAGGATCCTTTTGGAGAAATGCCGAAAGGGTACGAAACGTTTATTTCATCATAATTAAATCATCTTTAACTCCTTTGTACTTGAAGGACTTTTGTAATGGACGACTTCAAGCGCGTCTACTCCAACGAGGACGAGACCAAATCCATCCCTTACTTCTGGGAGAAATTCGATCATGAAAACTATTCCATTTGGTATGGCGAGTACAAATACCCGAATGAGCTCTCCAAAGTTTTCATGAGCTGTAATTTAATCACTGGAATGTTTCAAAGACTAGATAAGATGAGGAAGCAAGCTTTTGCTTCGGTATGTCTCTTTGGGGAGGACAATAATAGCACTATTTCAGGTATCTGGGTGTGGAGAGGACACGAATTGGCGTTTCCAGTAAGTTTTATTTACACCTCGTGTAGTTAACTTAGATGTCATTTTTTTATTATTTTTAGCTTAGCCCTGATTGGCAAATCGATTATGAATCTTACGATTGGAAAAAGTTGGATTCATCTTCTGCCGAAACCAAGAAGTTAGTTGAACAATATTTCTCTTGGAGCGGTACGGATAAGAATGGTAGAAAGTTCAACCAAGGTAAAATCTTCAAATGACCTAATTTTTCGTTTTGTTTACTTGAAAAACCATCTTTTACTACTGCATTGATGTTGTGAACCAAGAATAATAAATACACAACCACGTTTCGTTACGTTTACTATTTTTATTTAACTTTATTATAACTTTTTTTGATACTCTTCCCAGTTACGGTTTGTATTATTGTTTGGATTTAAATGTGTACTATAATTTAGTAGAATGTCTTGATATATTATGTTTTGTCATTTTTTTTACATTTCATTTCTTGTTTAGTTTGTTGAATATTTTTTTCCTTTTCTTTAATAAAACGAAATACTCGACTTAATTTGGCAATATGGAATAATTTTCAATTCAATGGTGATATTTGTTTCTGTATATTTTGGGTTGACGGTAAGTATTGAACAAGTTTTAAATGAAACCTGAGCGAAAAGTAGAACATTATTTGCATTATTTTTTTATCAACTTGGTCTAAGTATTAGTAGGCGACGAATCTCAATCATCTTTAAAAGTTAAAAAAAATACATTAATTTTATACAGTTCAATAAAAATGTATATTAATAAATAAACAAATTATACAATTTTTGTGTATATAAATTACTAGCGGACGAGGCAAGTAAGATAAGAATAAATATAAAAATCCATGAAAAGAAACTTACAATTAGCTGTGTTGGTTGCCATTATAAACATAAATAAACTAGCAAGAGTAGATAATTTTTTGATCAAGGCTATAAATTGAGATTCTGGTTATAAATTAAAGTTTGATGGAATTAATCAAACATACATAAATGAACTACCTAACGTTTCAAAAGTAATCTAAAGAAAGTCAACTAGTAATATGAAAAGACTAATAATAATAATATAAATAATACATAAATAGGATAGGTATACATAATTAACATTATTTTTACTCATGTTTGAAAACAGCATGTGTCGAAGCCTAATTCTGATTAAAAAGTAAGGAATAAATGTAAAAAAGTAAGTATTATCACAAACTCATAAATTATTGCAAAAAAATAATCACACAGAGCACTTGGGGCGGATTTTAGTTTATAAATTTGCTAAAATATATTACTAATTCGATAATTGTTAATCAGTCTCTTACGTTAGATGTTAAATACAAACCTTATACGCTTATTAAAGATAGATTCGTCAGTTACATATTCAAAATCGACCTTTAATTGCGGCTAAACTTGGCACTACTGTACTTTATCAGCCACAATAGTGATTGCGAGTTTTTTATCTGGCCATGAAAATGTTTTCGGTAAAGACAGCGCCTCGGGGTTTGCTAAAACCTGCAAATTAACACAATAAAATTATATCCACAACTATTTGGTATGAAAAGAATGTAGCATACTTGAAAGGTAACGGCCATATCTTGCGCCAAATCGTCGGAAATCAACACTTGCAGCCAGGATCCCTGAGCAACGAAAGGATGCTCACTTTCTACTAATGTCCCAGTCACGGAATGTGCCACTAAAGTTATAGCAGTTTCTCCTAACACCGATTTAAATGTAAAATGTCGACCGTGTCTCACTCTCCCCCTAAAAATAATCGTTTTATTCATCTTCTCAATTAGATCTTACAAAATTTACCTTATTGCTAACGGCAACAAACTACCCGCTTCCAAATTAAAAACCAAATGAACCGCTTCCAGTTTCTTTACGTGGATCAACTCTGCTGAATCAGTCAAACACCTATTACCTAAATAAATAATTTGTGAATACCTTCAATAACAAGCAATAAAAATATTACTTTGTTGCAGCGGCGATTTAAACCTAAATTCAGCCATGTGATCGTCGTTCATCTCCTTCAATTGCGCCACGATTGTAGCCGAGTCCTGTTCCGACCACGAACATCTGGCGCTCACGCCGCTCAAATTCGATCCTTCCAATTCGAAGCCCCTTTCGACCTCTTCGTGCGCGTTCACGTCCAATTCGAATATGCTCTCGCCTCTTCTCATATCCGTTATGTGCCACAATCCGCCCGCCCTGCAACGCTTAACGTATCAAAAACGTCCTCACATGCTGTATTAAGCCACTCACGAAGGAATCCTAGTGATCATATCTAAAATTCCGGCCCCGTTCCACTGCTGTGCAGCCTTTAATTCCTCGGTACATATCCCGACTACTTGTATGAAGTCTACGGTGCCGAAGGGGGTGTGGGCAGTTTTTAGTTGAAGGTCTGTTGTCATTAACATGTGCTGCATTCTAGATTCGCTGTTGTCTAATGCACAGTGCCATGAAACATGGTCCCCGGCACATAACGAGTTGCCTATTTGAATAGAAATAATATAGCAAAAATGAGTAGACTATTTTATAATGGGTGTACCTGACTGAAAAACATATTTTGCCAAAGACTGCATTAGTGTAGCGGGCCATGTAGGAGGAGCTGTTTCCTCGGGTTCCCTTTTAAGCCTAAACGTTAATTCGAAACCGAACCCGGAAAGCCCTTCTGGTCCGGTAACATCGTGGACTCTACCGTCTCCGTGTAAATCGGACAAGCCGAAACTAAAACCACAAAAATATTAATAAACATGTCCTTGTACGTTGACTTTAATGCGTATAGAAAACCTCACCTAATGTAATGCCAATGGGGAGGAATATTCTCTTGAGGTACACCGGGATTTGCGTACATTGATACGTAATCTAACGGATCTGGGCCTCCCAACCTAACAGAAAATATTCGTGATATAATTAACGAGTTGAACTGAATTAGTAATGGTACTTACCAAAATTTTAGTAATGCTGTAACTTGCAACGGATTAACTTGGTCGGGGTAGATTTTCCTGCAAAGGGTGTACAAGCTTTCGAGGCCTGCTGGAGTTGGCGGAAGTATATTTAAGGGAGGGCCGTGAGAAAGTCCAGCCGTTTCGTCCATGGTCGAATGTACAAAATAAAACTTCTACTACCTGCAGGGTGAGTAAATGGAAGTAGAGAACAGCGGTACACATGGAGGAAGAAACTTACCGTAAAATATCTAATTTAAGAAATAAATAGGAATGAAAATGTATTCTTGTAAGGAAAACTAAAATAAAAAATAAAAACAACAAAAATAAATTATTAGGCAACCATTAGAACACTAATTAGTTCGTCGAAAACGTCAAATCTTCTTTTGATTTTATATTTTAAACGTTACCAAATAACTCTTGCAGACGAGGCCAGGAATCGAAATTATTAATGTCATATGTCATTTATGTCAAAAAACTTTTAAAGGTTATGTTTTGAAAAATTAACGAATGTTTTCAAGTTGAAAATCACTTAATTATTAAATCGGTTTTTGATAACTAAAATGACTTCCAATTTCAGCGTGCACGTAACGTTCGTCTCGGAGAAAATCAATAAAATTCGTTGGAGGCCTGACTCGTACAATGATTGCCATTTTTTCGTTACCGGTAGCGTCGACAATACAGAAAACAATTTAAAACTATGGGACTTTTGTGAAAACGTAGACGAGGATGATATTTGCCCCTTTTTAGTACATAATCTACCTTACTGTGGAGATGTTACTGAAGTTAAGGTGCTTAATAATAGAAATTAAGACAGTGTCTGGTATTCTTAGAAAAAAAAGACCAGTTAATACTCCCAGAGAATGTTCTAATAGAAATAAGCAAATGTACTAATTCTAATTATTGTTTCAGTTTATAAATTCTGATTTCTTTGTAAGCTCCTCATCGAGCGGATCTGTACACCTGACCCGAATCATTCCTTTATACTCGGAGAATACGAGTATGAAAAATGAAATAGAATGGAGCAAAATCCATCAATTCAAAAACGGCGATGTTAGTCCTTGCACGTCAGTAACAGTCTACGATAGTGATATAGTTTCCGTCGGAGAAGATGGGTCCATTAATTTATTAAACGCCAAATCATCAAAAGTCCTCAGAAAATTGGGTACAATCAAACAATCATTTGTTAATACTTTTACTGAGTAGTTTCATTTGCAGAGGGCGCTGACAGCTCATCTATACAATGCGTAATATTCTTGAAACACAACGAAATTTTAACAAGTAACTTGCGGGGCCAAATGAAAATATGGGATTTGAAGCAACAAAACAACAAACCTGTCAGTACTTTTATGATGAGCGGTGATCATCTCACCCCTACATGCCTCACTTACCACCCTACTCAAAGACACATAGTTTTAACAGGTGACGATTTAGGTAAGTCGACTCGAAGTTTATATTACTGGAAATCAATAATGCATATTATTGTCTTCTAGGAGCTCTAACAACCTGGGATTTGCGTCAGCACAATTACCCTATTAACGTTCTCAATGCCCACGAAGGAGCTATTTCGGAAATTCAATTTAATTCCGAATACCCCGATCAGTTATTCAGTTGCTCCAGCGCAGGTAACTTATACATGCATTCAATAAAACATAAATTACATTATATATCTGTTTCGATTCAGGCGAAATTTGGAATTGGAATATCAAAGGCGACACCACCCCTACGCTATTAAGCAACAATATCGAAAGCAACGTTTGGCTAGCCCCTGAAGTCAAAAATAAATTGGAAGTGTTCACGTTGATGCCAGCATTGGGAAAACCGATCAATTCCTTGGACTTAAACAGGAATAAAGTAATTTGTGGAAGCGATAACGAAGCTATCTATTTGATTAATAATAATAAGTAATAATTTGTATACTCTTTTCTCTAATAAAGTTATAAAAACACTTTTCTTCTCTCTTTGGCTACCTCTATCAGTCCAATCCTGAACATAGGTCTCCCCTTAGGTCTTCCATCTAGGAGTTCCCCATAGGTTTTCCCTTATGTCTCCCCATAGGTCTCCCATTTTACCCATTTATATCTCCCTAAAGGTGTAGGTTTTGGTCCCCCCAAAGGAGAGACCTATAAAAGCACTTACATTTGTGTTAATTTGTAAACAATTTTGCATTAAAAAGGAATTTCTAAAGGACTAATAAATTACTGGAAAATTAGAATAATCATGCATCCATTATTAAAAACGCGATAAAAAAAATGAAACCCGAACCAGCGAAACGTATCCATTAGATTTATTAATCTTGGAATTCGCTTATTGCAGCACAGCGAGACCTATATAGGTAAAAATAGCTCAACCAATTAGGGTCAGGTGTAAATATCAATAGGGACGAAATGGCATTTACGCTGAACAAGTCCTTGCTATCGCCCTCCGAGCTGACGGGCTTTCTTTAGAACCGGGATCGAGGATTATTCGGAGCGATTTTACGATTCTACGCCGTGAAAATGCCAGATTTATGGACTTTCCGCACGTACGCGGTTCCCGAGAATTTTTAAGCGCATTTTCTTGTATTTGTTGGCGTTCGTATGTAGGACAAACGGAATGAAAACCGATTTTTCAACTAAATCTACGCAATTTATTATCGGGCTTTCGCGTAAACGAATTCATCTTGCTATAGTTTCTTCGATGGATTCATTTACAAATTCATCGTAGGGTATACAATTAACTTCCCGAAACAATTAATAAATCATTGTACCGAGTAAACGAAGCTCATTTTCGACCCCGGTAAAAATTTGGTTACCAAATTATTAATTTACCAGGTAGGGTATATATCTATTAAGCACGCGTTTTTCCATTTTATTAGGCTAATAGACCTAAATTATTCCGCGTTTCCATTCAGCCCCGTCAACAAAATTGCTTCGTATACCACCGTTCATTTTTTATTCAACAACCCCGCACCGCCATAATGACAAATCACGGTTAACACGAAATTATCATTCGATGTTAACTCAATTATTGTAACTCGTTCAAGTAATGTAATTGATTTTGTATAAAATAAGTTTGTTCCAGAGCGCTAAATTTACAAGTTTATCTTCTATTAAGAATTTAAAGTTTGAGAAAAGTTTCCAGAGCTTAATGCCTCTCTTACTAAATTATATTTTTGTTATCCTCCTACGATGGCTTTCCGATGAAAGGCCAATAAGCAGGCGAATCGGTAATATCTCGGCTTGGAAAATCGCGAAAAACTTTCGTCGGGAATTTCCCGCCCGGCGGAGTCGCGCGCGCCCCCTCGCTGGGCGCTCGCGGCGACTGCGCAGCCGCCGCTCCTTCGGGAGGACCGCAACCCAGCGCCGGGCCGAAGCCAAAGGGCCAGTTTCCAGTTCACGGTTGGAGGGTCCGATAGCGAGCGAGCGGGCGGATCGCGGGCGCTGCACTCTCACCTGAACGGGCTGTCTTCTCTGATGGTTTTCTAAATGAAAGTGTCGCGGACGGACGGCGATTAGGGGTCGAAGCGCCGCGGCACGGACGTCGAGCGCCCGCCGAGGGGTCGGGGGTCCTTCGTCGAGGAGCGTTCGCGTCTAAGGGAGGGTTTTATTTCTTGGTAAGTGTGTATGACATAACTTGTATTGTACTGGAAATTGGATCGTTGGTGGATGGTGTTTGATTGATAATGAACGGTTTCGGTACGATTAATTGCCTGTATAAGGATTTTCTGGAAATTGGGTTTCGTAATCTTGGTGTATCTTCAAGATGTTGGAGATTTTATGGTTGTGTTGATGAGGTGTGATGATAGTATCGTTGATCTAAATATATTCAGTGTGTTTGTAATATATCGAGTATTACTGAGTTTTTTTTAAGGGAAATTCTAATATGGGTTGATTTGTTACATTTAATAATTATTATTTTATCATAAAATTTTGATACATGGTGTAGTTCATATAGAAGTATTGAGTCATGTTTCGTGTTTAAAGTTTTATTGGATTTTTTATATTCGAATCAATTTCTTTAATTATTAATGTTTCTTTTAATAAATCATTAAAAAATATTGATACAAAACTCTTAAAGAGTTCATAATATTAATGTAGGATAGAATATTTAATAACAACTATTATTAAAAGTTAATAGATATAAAATCCTCCTAAAATTCTTTGAAAATTAAAAAATCAAATTGATTTTGTGTTAAAAAATCGTCCAAAATCAACCAAAAATAATTCTTAAAAAAATAAGAATCCTCGTGATGAAAGCAACAAAACAATTTGAGGAAAATTTTGATCGCCCTGGGACCGACCCTGCTCGCAAATAAATCAATCTAGCCTCGTCAATTTTTTCGTAATCCCAATTTATCATGATCCGGGAACATGGATTTCACAAATAAATTGGCACTCTCTCGAAAAATAAGTCGTCTCTCATTCGACTGCATGCCCACCTAGTATCTCTGCTAATTTATTGCCTGGAACTCTTGTACACATATACCTATACAAGTTTTGATACAAACATTTATTTATATTTATCGAAAGCCCAATCGCCTTGCCAAAAATACTTTAGCGCACGGTGTTCCAAATAAGTCAGTAAAATTAAACTTATGCTTCTAAAATAATTGAATTGACCAAAAAGCAACAAAAATGTGTCTCAAAATTACTACACGTAATTTCAGTTGATATAAATGGGCTCTTTTTGGTAGAAAATCGACTCTTTTAGGTAGATAGATGACTCTTTTAGGCATATAGATGACTCTTTTAGGCAGATCAATGACTCGTTTAGAAGGATAGATTACTCTTTCAAGTAGGTAAATGTCCCTTACAATTTGATGAATGATTCTTTTATGACTAAATGAATCCATTAAGCAGATAGAAGACTCTTTCAGGCACATAAATGACTCTTTTCAGCAGATAGATGACTCTTTTAGGCAGATTAATGACTCATTGGGTTGATAAATAGTTCTTTTACGTCGAAAAATCTCTTTTAGGTAGATAAATGACTCTTTTGAGTAGGTAAATGACTCTTTTAGGCACATAAATGACTCTTTTGGGCAGATAAATGACTTTGTTAGGCAGATAAATGATTCATTGGGTAGATAAATAGTTCTTTAAGATCGATAAATCTCTTTTAGGTAGTTAAATGACTCTTTTAGACACATAAATGGCTCTTACATAGACACATTTCACCCTTAAATGATACTATTATGTTGTTTAATAACACTTTCTTCAAGTAAATCTTAATTTTACCTTGCTTTAGACCTAAATTTATAGCATTATTTTAGTCCTTTTTCTCTAGTTCTCAGTAATATTCTTTAGTATATTCTACCCATTACAGTAAACAGTACAGCCAACGGGATAATTACAAACAAAATGTCTACCATTTCCCGAACATTATCTACCGAAACTCCATCAGGAACCCACCCGCCTCAATCCCAATCCGCTCGACGATTCGAATAATCCTCGCAACAAACGACATTCCCGCAGAGCTCGCTCTTCGAGCGACATTCGCAAAGGGATTTCCTTCGATGGCGGATCGCGCGATCCAGACCTACCGTAACCGAAGAGAAAGCGGCTCTTCGATTTTTCGCCCACGCTTCGCCGCTGGTTTAACGCGCTTCCCCAATATCGGCCTAATGAGCGTGCCGTCTAATTATAGTGCGAACAATTTTCTGCATCCGAGCGGACTGGATACTGGATAGACAACGCAGTCGTCGGCGATGCGTCGCATCCAGAGAAACGCGAACGCGCGACCGCGGGATTACTATTATCATTATCGTTTGGAATGTATAATGTATGTATTTGCAAATGAAGGACTTCGTTTGTGGAGGAATTACGGAGAAAGGCGATGTTAAAGTTGATGGGGTTTTTCAGTAGGTATATAATGAATGTTGGTTGATGCAGCTTGTATACAAATAAGCTAAGTGGTTGTTAGATATATTAGGTAGGTTTTATAGTCTTTCTATAGTCGATACAATATAGAAATTGGCCTATATCTGATCCAACACACGTCAGATATTCGGAGGATTGAAACCGCTTTGCAATGTTCGAATATAAGGGATGGATTTGTTTGTTTACAGGGTGTTTCGAAATTTGCGGCGCGAGTTAGACCGATCGTAGCCAAAATGGGTACTCCGTCGGACAGCCCCGTCGAGGAGGTGATGTACGAAATCGAGCCGTCCAGGGTGCCCAAGCCGGTTCCCGTCGCCCTAGAAGACTTGTGCCGACTCACCAAGTTCACCAGACAGGAAATTCGGAACATATACAGGGGATTTAAAACGGTAAGTCCGCGGAAATTCGCTCACATCTAGATATACTCCGTTCGCCATCGCAGGAAATAGTAATAAAACTTTTCTGAAGATCCTAGATCTAGGTGGTCACGAGGCTAAAAAGACTTTCTCCCTAACAACAACAACATCTACCTGAAATAATTACTGGTAGTATACGGATTATCGATTTTTAATTTTATTATATTCTTATAGTATAATCTATCTAATATCTTAGAGGCACCACTGTGAGTCTTCAGTGCCATATTACCTGGGATTAGAATAGTGTAGTGGCACTATACATCAAAGCAAAACACACATTACTATTTCACAATGGTATCTAATATTTTATGTCCTGTTGGCGAACGGAGTATAATAATTTCGCCGACATCCATAACTTTCTATACTGCATTATTTGTGTCCAAATTATCCGTATTTTCTTCCCATACACTTGTCATCTACTGATTTATGTATGTTTACGCGGAAGAGTAGTTTTATCGACGCGGGTTTTTCATATCCAATCGACTTTGGAAATACTACACGAATCCGTTTCCTTGCAAATTCCAGCAAGTTTGCTCGGCCTAGGAGATTGATCCGACAGTACGTAATATCTTATTTACCTTCTCCGTGCCTTTTTCTCGTGCGATTCGCGCGTGTATCGCTGAAGGGTTTCGGTTTGGGGCTCACAATAGGCAGAAGCGCCGCCCTTTCTGGCAAGCCAGCCCGACATCTCGTCCCTTTCAGTGACGATGCACGGGATCAAAGCTCTCCGGTTCTACGTCTTATTCCTGTCTGCAGTACCAAAAGCTTCAAGTCGCGTGGCATAATGCCTCCCTATCGACCCGATTTCGGGTTTTTGTTCGCGTACGCGGGAAACAGATTTCAAAAAGCCCGTGTTCTCGGCCGTCGAATTTAAACTGTAACGCAAACTGTCGTCGGGAAGTTTTCAATCGTATCGCAAGTCGCGATCTAATCGGGACGGTTGCGGTGCGGACGCGATAGTAATATTCCGATCATAAAGGGAGTTTTTATGCCATGTCGTTGGTTTGTATGGCGCTGTCTGAAATGCAGGTACATTACTTTTATGTACTCGCCCGTTTCGATAGGAATGCTTTATGGACGTTTAATGGTATGTACGCTAGCTACCTATATTATTCAACGAACGTTTAATGATAGCTATTATTTACGAGGTACAATTTTACAACGCCGGCTAATATACCCAGCGAATATAATAACCGATATGTAGGGGTGGAGCATAACACTTTATCTACGACGTCAAATTAATTTCTAGGGAATTTATGGGAGTCGTGACGTGTATTGCGTGTAGGATATGAAAAAAATGAGCACGTCACTGCCGACAATTGCTCCTGGATGTTATTTGGCAAATATTTACGTTCCTATATTTCACCCGAAAATGTGCGCATCATGTTTTTATATCGTTTAAATTGAAATTACGGACTGGCAACTCGTTTTATGACAGTATCAAATGACAAAAATAATAAAAATCACATATTTATTTTCAACGCGTTAACATGCGTTTCGTTTGGATCTCGAAACAATGCCAAAATGCTGTCATTTTATTTAACACGCTGAAAGCTCGGAAGGAGCTCGTCCCCTCGCTAGCTCCGTTTATGTAATTACCATTTCCTTAAAAACGAATCGCCCTGTACTATATTTCAATTTTAATGCACATAATTTTTCATTTATGGTACAAAAAATCACACCGTATATCAATTTTTCTGATTTCCTTAATGAAAAAAACACCCTGTACATAAAATTAAATGTCAACGTATCCCGTAGTCATAGACCTATTAACTATGGACGCGGTTTAGACAAAGAGGTAGTGTTGTCGATGAATGAGAGAGATGCAGCTAGTTTGGACAAATGGTAATGAGAGATTGGACAATGCATTAGCCAATAGTAAGAAAGAAAAAGACCACGTGAGTTACGTTTTCAGAAATGCAAGGTAGTTGGGGTAGAGGAGGGCAGATTATGGTAGAATAGGGTTGAGGATTTATAATTTTTTTACCGAGCAAAATGCATTTTTCAGCTGAGCCTAAATTCCCACACATTTGCAAATACAGTTCTTATTTTGTATTGTTATTTGGAACCTCTTACCTATTAGCCTGTACAGATTTCGCAATTTAAGACCTAGCTGTTTTCTCTTGTAAAAAATATGTTTCTTCCAGGTCATTCTTCTGTCCAAGTGAATACCAAGATAAAAACAATATTTAAATATTAAGCATATAAATAATTTAGCAGATTAATCGCCTTTTTCCACACACCCTGTATATATTTTATATATTTTTTGGTCCCGCCTACTTTTAGCCCAAACTAGCTCCATCTCTCACGGACCTCTCTCTCTATCATTGGGAACGCTGAATAACCTCAAAATAACGATAGTGCCGCGTCCATACTTAATAGGTCTATTCCCGTAGTAACGAAATGACAACTTTGACAGTTCGAAGTTTGTTCATCGTCGCTGTCATTAGTGTAGGTTTTTTAAAAATAATTTGATCGTTTCTCTGTTTTTGGTAAGTAAAAATGACTAAGAAACATATAATTTTGCGAATTATTACAATTTTTTTTATTCTCCTCCATTAAAACCGACTAAATTGTTTAAATAACGAAAAAATCTCTCATTTCGGTGTAGTTCCGTTTAAACCAAACGAACGGGCAACGTCCATATTTATTTATTTAAAAATTTGTCAAAACTTTTACTTTTAATTTCGATTTACGGACAAAAACGAATTTAGCTGGCGAAAAGAGGTCGATTTTCGTAATCATCGATTTTTTCCGTTTTTAAAATCCGACCTTAATCAACTGTACTATTAAGCCCTTAATAATGGCCTCTACCAAGTGTTATTTGGTACCGCAAATTTCCATTTTCTGCGATTTAACAATTCTTTCCTAACCAAGATTAATGTGTTACCCAACAAGCCGTTATACTTTTAAAGTGCCGTTAAAATACTTAACGGACGGTTTAACTTTAGTTAACGTTTGCAAATTCTATTCATCTGTCAGCGTTAATATCCTACAAGGAGTTGGAAAATGCAGGACGGACATAAACTCAAGTACGCATATACGAGAATGATGTGCATTCATAGGGAATTCTGAATGGGGCCCTTTCGTCTTTCGGAATATTATACATATCTGTTAGAAGAGTAAAGGAGCGATTAATACAAAAGGACGTTAGGCTGTTAAGTAAATTATCTCGGAGTGGATTTAACGATCCTTGATAACGCGCTTACTCGAAAAAAGTCCGGATAAAATGGCGAGTGGAGAGACGCCGTTTTAATTCGAAAAAGCGCTCCTTCCGCGATGGGGGCTTTGATGCTTTCGACTTCTTTTTTTAACTCAATATCTGAGTATTTATCGCTCGTTAAGTCAGTTTCGGGGAAACTTTCAAAACGGGAAAGATTTAACGAGATTTTAGGTTCTCGTTTTTCGAACATGTTACATCGATTCGTTTAAGCCTAAAGATCTAATCTCGACCCCGAAAGGAAAATTAATTTAATCTTTTAGAAAAAAGTAGATACTTACTACGTGGGTAAGTGCATTAACAACAGCCTTAATCGAGCGTATTAGGTTCGCTTATTAATAAATATGCAATAACCGAATTGAAATGACTTTGGAATCTTCATTAAAAACTCGCATTCCGAGCGGTATATACTGCGGCAAGTGCCAATTAAGCAAACAAATAAAATTTTCTACTATTATCGGCGCTTTAATGAGGCAAGAAATTCAAATCACTCGGAATAAAACACCTCGAAACTTCGCCATTAACATTCGCGAATTACTCCGCGATTGATTTTGCAATATCGGATTACGCCCGAACTGTGTTCGAAATAATTGCTCAGACGTAAGGCCGCGGAAATTGCGGGAAATAAATTGTCAATTTGATGGAGGAATTAAATTTCGGCGTTACCTGATTTATATCGGAAACTGGCGTTGCCGCATTTCCAAAAACATTCAAAACTAAGTAATTTTTATTCTTTCGATAAAATATTGCGTCGTCGACCGCATTGATATACAAAAGCACGGTCGTCATTTCGAATCATAAAACAATTTCAGAATCGTATACAAAAATATGCTCCTGTTTATTTAAAGGTTTAAATCGGGCGTCGTGAATTTGATTTAAAATATGATAGAATAGTCAGTGAGTTATATTCGTCTTAAGAAGCTTATTTAATATAACTCAATTATAAATTTGACTGGTAATAATGATGTTAAACGTACGTCAATATAACGTTGTTTTTACATACATAAGTATGAATAAAAATATCCGCATAAACAAAAATTTGCGCATTCGAAATTTGTAATAAAATTTCCTCTCCTGCTATAAACACCTTCATATTTGCGGTATATACGATGTAATATATATTTCTCTCCCTTTAGGGTCCCTTATCAAATATTTGTACATATTACAGGAGCCTATACCCGAAGAGGCATTTCCTATACCGGAGCACCGTGAATAATTTCCATTAAAAAGTTCCTACTATAACGGCGCGATTTTAAGGGCTGATTTATTTCCACGCCGAGATAATTAAATCGCTTGATTTATTCGAATAGTGGCGTAATGAATTCACTTCTGTGGCATGCGAAAAATTCGCGGGATTTTCGGTATGATTGTATTTCCATAATTTCGATTTTGTAGCGAACTTGCACACAGCGCGTTGTTTATTTATTTAGATTTATTGACAAGCGATATGGTCGAATCAATAAAGCCTCTCTTGTTGCAGGAATGTCCCGAGGGAGTCGTCCACGAAGATAGCTTTAAGGATATTTATTCCAAATTTTTTCCGCATGGAAGTAAGTACATAATTTTTATGAATATATAATTAAACGTGGATTTTGGAGGATTATACTACGTTCGCTATCAGGAGATGGTAATAAAACCTTCTTGAAGCAGTAAACCAAAGGAGAACCAATAAATAGATAAAAAGTAGGCACTATATTGAAATAATAATTTAATAAATAGTTTACAACTACCTATAATAATAACAGTAGGTATGTAAGATTTTTAATTTTATTAAATTGTATACAGAGTGGCACTACTAAAGTAAAATAATATTTACCATTACTCAATGGCAAAAGCTTTAAAGTTTTGGAGTTTTCTTATTTCTATCTACTACCTATGATTTTTATGACTATCTCCTGATATAGCGAACGGAGTATAATTATAATAAATCGACCCAATAAACAAAACGATCAACAATTATAAACGTTAATCCATTGTGTTCTTCTAACATCGAAACAAAAAAATCTAAACAAGCTGGAAATTAAATTTTCATGTAGCGCAAATGCGCCTATAAAAACCATCGAAATAACACACAATGGGGCGCTTCTGCGGAGCGAGAAATGCATTTTATAGTAATGCGTGCCGCTCTTGACGTGCTCGGAGCAATTAAGTTAAAACCGAACACAAACAACCATTGTTTCATCCATTCCAGAAGCCACCGAAACTGACAGCTTCGACGTTATTCCGAACGCTATTCCGGAGCTGTTCCGTAAACGTCGTAAACGAAAACACCGAAAAAAAGCGATATTATGGCGTGTCGACGGGCCGTAATAATAGCCAGCGCGCGGAAAGTGCGAGCACAGTTCATTTTCTCTATCATTTCTATTACACGGTTTGTGTGTGTGTTTTTTTTTCGTGTAGGGATAGCCGGAATTATAATAACCAGTCTGGCTAATAAACGGCGCATTCCGTCACGCGACTGACTAAAATTCAAACTAAAAATATAAATCTAAAAGTGTTTGCTAAAAGCTTATTGACAGAAATCCGTGTATTAAGGACCCACTCTATATACGCAAAGATATACATAAGTAAACATGAATAGATAAATCTAATCAACAATTATTGAGCATTAATAAAAATAGATATTTTGAAATTTGGTAAGTACTATTAGAAATCTGTGTTTTAAGGACCCACTCTGTATATACGCACAGATATAAGTAAACTTGAATTAATTTAATCACCAATTGAGCAGTAATAAATAGATACATATTTTGAAATTCCTGATATTATAAATCCATGGTTTAAGGACCCACTTCTACACAACAAGTACAGTACAAGTACAACTTTTGTAATTTAATCACCAATCGAGCAGTAACAAATTTTGGTAGAAGAAATTATCCTAGAATCTACTGAATCCGAAACACATACAGCATGTCCACTACAACCTACCTTCTTATTTTTATAAAAAATACCCTAAATACCAAAAAAAAATTACCCATTAAGCACTAAATAGGGTAGATACCCTTTTTTTCTCCAAACGACTCACAAATCACATTTAGCATTTTCGTTTTGAAATTTTAATTACCCCTATAATACCCGAGGGGCATTCCGCGACTCATCAACGATATATTACATTTAATTAACATGCATTGCGGTATGGCGCAGAATTCCTGCTGTACGTACAGGACGGAAATAAATTGACTCGACAGTTTTTACTCGCTGCCATTTGGCCGCTTCCGAAAGGTAAAATTCCACATACAGTTTTGCGCTGCACTTGAATTTCGAGTCTTGAACTGGGAATTTCCTTGCGAAGCGGTTACAACAACGATTTATATATATTACATACCGATGTTAATTTCCTTTCCTTTCTGGCTGTGTTTCAGATTCTAGTTTATATGCACACTACGTGTTCAAGGCCTTTGATGTCAACTGCAACGGGGCTATTAGTTTCAGGGTGAGTATTTACTAATTCACTAAGGGGGAGTAGGCAGTTTTGTTGATTATAAAGTGCGGAGTCATATTCATAGGGCATCGTTAGGTTCGCAATCGATTTGATAGTGGTGTAATTGGCGGCGAACGATGATCGATTGCATATGGAAGAAATACGTGGTACAACAGCATTGTACGCTAACGTTTTGTGAAAATTTCAAGAAATTATTGCCGAGCAAAGGAGAGTTATTTATACACTTGCAAAAGTTTGAAAAGTAGCAGGAGTTATTAATGCTGTCTAGTAAAGTTGGAGAAACTAATTGCATCTGACGCTTCTTTTGATCGAATTTTATACTAGTTTATGCCAGGTGCGCCAGGTGTACGTTAATTTAACGCGACGTATTGCTAAATAACCAGATTGCTCAAAAAACATGCATGAAATTCAACGAGCTCCAAAAAATGGAATAGAGGGATATAAGAGTACGATTTCCCTGGAATAAACCGGCGATTTTTTCGAGGGCTTTTTTTATTTGTTTGAATCACAATGGTTCGAAAATAAAAATCTTAGTTACCTACACACAACAGCGAAAAACGTTTACGATCCGCAATAAAACAACATTGTGTACAAAATGTGTGTAACCTGGTTTTACAGCCGAATAAAAACCGTCAAAGTGTTGCCGAAAGAGCGTGCTTTTTAACGGGATGGTGAGCAGCTTTAATGCAAATCAAAATTTCGCTCATTTTTCCAATACGCTTCAAGCATTATACAGATAAGTGCAAATTCGTACGCAATATGGTGCAACAAAGAAAACTTCCATTATAGTGTCATATAAAGGAAAAAGAAAGTGACATTGTGGGATGACGACTTTCTCACATCTTTCTTTGTTCAAATCATTCAATTAATCATATTGCAAACAAATTTCCAAACAAAGTTGCAAACTTATACGTATATGACAATGCGAATGAGCTATTGTTGGAAATTACGCTCATTCCCCGGCACTCCCTGTATAAAAACGGGAGTACCTACTGCACTATTTTATACGCCCACTAAGTCGTTAAACGCAATTACTCGAGCTATATTGCGCCATTTATTTTTTTTTGCAAGGATAGTTTACATAATATCACAATTACTAATAATTTATAGTCAATTTGTTAATTTTATTTACTCAAAAAAAATCATAATTTTATGGAAACAAAAAGTACGTATTAATTATTCAAGCGAAAAAAAGCAAATAGGCTCTGCAAAACTTGTATGTATACTGTACAATGAAGGTAATAAAAGAATGCCCTGTATTTGGCAAAGGGAAATTCGCATTAAATTTTCAAATCAGCCGAGTGTCTCGAGTATCTCATTCTTAGTGGAGAGCTTTTGTTGCAACGGCGACGTCCGAGAGAAAAATAAATTTCTTAAAGCACCGAGCTAGAGAAATAACGAAAAATAATGGAAAATAAAAAGCGGCCGAGCGGGCACGAAAGGCTTGGAGTGGATTCCTGCCCGTACGTTTCCCATTTTATTCGAAATCCGATGCCCGGGAAAAGTTACCGAGTTTTTCTCTTAGCGGGATTCGCGGTTATCGAGAGGAATCGAACGCACTATAATTCGAATTGTTGCTCGTTTTATAGTAAAATAGGAGCGCGTATATTTCGAAAAATCGGTTCAATCGTGCCAAATCATTCTTGTTTAAAGTTGGATCCTTCCAATGCAGCGAAAATTAATCAAAACCTCCATTCATATTCCCGAAGCGAAAATGGAAATAGGTAATTCAGATCGCACAATAGTCCATAGTTGAGAATCGCATTTAAATCGTCAGGAACATTTTTATTAATTAGCCATTTTGGGAGAGCGATTTCGCACTATCAATCAGTCGGATTTAATCAGTTTCTCTAACGATCGGACTGCGCGGAATATTTCATCCGTCGAAATGTCGGGCCTTTAACGATAATATTAATCGTCGGGCGGAGCGCTTCCAGATTTTCGGCGATCCACCGGCACCAGGCGCTCTAATAAATCGACCAACTGCTTCTGTCCTGCCCCGCTTCCGAAAACCAGCTCACGAGCAAAAAAATTATTGAATCGCTGAAATATTCGCGGGAATTAAAAAGCTAGTTTTCTGGCGGATATTTGAGTTAATACGCGAGTTTCGAATCGCCGAGAGACAGGTGTAAAATTCAAGCACCTAGTGCTGATCCTGCAACTCTCCTCCTGGGTGATTAAATTGTAATTTTCTATCTGGATTTTTTATATTTTTCTCGTTGTAATGCTAATTTGGTGAATGATTGCAGTGTTACCAGTTAGAGGGAAATTTCTTGTTTTGTGGGAATGTTCAAATCCACAGAGAAGAGATTTCTTTAATATTGTCAAAAGTTTTTTAAGATTCTATAGTTATTATTTAAGGTCTTATTGAGGTATTTTGCTTCAGATTTTTCTGGTGAATAGAAACGTATTAAAATAGTAAGGTATTTAAAAAACTGTGTTTAAATGTAACTGTTAAATTTGTTGCAGGATTTATTAATAACTTTATCGACCTTACTGCGGGGGTCCGTTTACGAGAGGTTAAGGTGGACGTTCAAATTATACGACGTCAACGGGGATGGGTGTATCAGCCGGGGAGAACTTTCCGAAATAGTCGTGGCGGTTCACGAGCTGATGGGCAGGAGAACTCACCAGGTGCGTGTTTAATATTTAAAAAATTTCTATCAGAAAAATTAGAGCACGTCGAACACTTGAATTGAGAGAATCTGGGTTGTTTGAATATCATCCTAAACTCATTCGGAATCAGCTCTTCACTATACAGGGTGTTTCTGAAATAAGTGGTCAAACTTTGGGAGCAAGTCGAGAACCTCAAAATATGACAAAAACTTAAATGTCAATTTAACGAAATGTCAAGTTTTTGAAAGAATTCATTCCTAGATTTTTAAAGATGACAATAATAGTGTAATAAATTTGTGTTTAGAATTTTAAGTCATTTTTCGGACAGTTCATTTTACGGAAAATCAAGTGTTAACACGCACCTTTTTAATGTAGAAAACTTCATTTTTTCATATTATTTAAATAAATTAATAGAAAAGGTAAAAATAAAAAAGTTAGGTTTGTATTACCCCACGAACCTCCCATTTTAACCCACCCCTGGACAACATTTTTAACCCGATTGAATAGTGTCGTAAGACATTTCATTTGCTTAGTATGTATACCAAATTTCATCATTTTACCTTTGCTTTTAATGAAATTATTAATAAAAATACCTCTTCAAGAATCCAGGCCATCTTTAACACCCTGTAAACTGATAACTAAGGACATTTCGATAAAATGACATTTACATTTTCAGGTTCTCTGCTTGCTCCCAAAGTTTTACCATGCACTTATTTTAGAAACACCCTGTATTTTTACTATCAAATATTTCTAGAAAAATTTATTCCATTACTCATCTTTGACTTCTATATCTATCTTTGAATCCTAGCGCTGCATCAACATATCCATATTTTCAATAGCCATCATCTGCTTCCTTATAGCTGGCAACCCACTTATTACTTTTACGAGGAAACTTGGATGATTCATTCGAATTCGACCGTGAGATATCCATTAAAAACATCCGCGAATTTTCCTCAAAATTTCGCAAACTCGTAAAATTTTTAGCTTTCCTACTTAGCGACGAGGAAATGCGCCGGTCTAATAAAATCGTTTCAGATCTCCCGTTCCGTTTATTTATCGGGCAACCGTTGAATTATTTTTCTAAATCGAAGTCGATGGGTAAAATCATAAAAATTTAACAACAAAATTATGTCTCTTCCGACCTCGTTTAGCGGTAAATACTCGCACGTTTGAAGTCGCCCCGTTAAATTCGCCCTCTGTTAAAAAGTAAACTGGTCGATTCGTTGAATAAATCATTGAAAGCCATTATTCAATTAATTAATTTCTATCTGAAGTAATTATTGTAGTTTAAATCGATTCGATTCGAGCGTATATCGGAATATGTTATTTATTTGCGGGTTTTCATACACGTGTTGAATATAATGAATTTGCATTATTGCTGATTTATTTTATTGTATTTTGGTTTAAAGGGAATCATCCTTCATCCTTTAACTCAAATTTGAGCCCAAAAAAATCAAAATTAAACAGTGTAATTTTAAATCTTAATGCTCTATGTCACTATTATGACAGCAAATGTCATTCAAATGTCATTGATTATCTACATTTATTGCTCTATGTCACTATTATTGTGATAGGAAATGTCATTGATGGAAAATAATGTTTCATATGATTTAGGTCGAGGACGACAGGAAAGCTAGAGAACAAATAGACCGAGTCTTCCGAAAGCTGGACCTCAATCAAGACGGCGTGATCACCATAGAGGAGTTCATGGAGTCGTGCTTGAAGGACGACGTCATCACTAGGTCTTTACAGATGTTCGATACGGTACTGTGATAAATGTGATGGGTGACTTCCCGGGGGAAGTCGGACGAACGCGAAAATAAAAACGGATTTCTTTCGATCGACGGCTACTTATGTGTTTTACTAGGAACATACGAAACTTTTAAGGACATTTTTTTTGTTAATTTGTCGGGATTCCCCGAACGGTCTGTCTCTAATGTGCATGTGTAAATTAGAGTGAGGAAATCTGTCTGTTTGATTACTGTGGAAAAATAATAAATCTTATTCAACCCGTTGTGATTAAATCACGTGCTAATTTAATGAGTGCCTATACTCAATATTTAGTTGGTATTGAAACATGGTATACAAATAAATCCACAAAAAAGAAAACTTTTCAATGAAAAATTACAATTTTATAATTAACCAAAAAATCGTATTGTATTACTTTTTTATAGACGAAGTAATTAGTTTTGAAAAATCTAAAGCAAATCTCTTACCTATTCGCAGATTGCAGTTCAATTAAAATTTCCTCGGGATACTTGCCCCAAATTTCGTTCTATTAATTAGACGCTCTTTCAAGACTTCTCGATGTCGTAGATAATCGAACTTCAAATAATAATAAACTCATAACGAATGGTTAATTATTTTAGCAGTAGGTAATTCAACATATTTTCCGAGTTACAGGTAACGGTTATAGTGTTTTAATAAATGTCGGTAAGTAGTAATAACTATAATTGAATTAATCGTTGATAGTAATCGCCATCGCTGTGAAAGAATCGATTTTTTTCGTCTTATTTGAATTGAAATTTGAAAGAAATACAGATAAGTGCAAATTTGTATGCAATAACGGTGAAAAAAAGACAACTTTCATTATTCTCTTGCAAAAGAAAAAAGTGATATTGTATTTTCAAACTAATCTTAATAATCTTCAATCAAACTAATCTAATATTGCAAATCAATTTGCACTTACCCATATACCTAATAAACAATGTGAATAATTAGATAGGTACTTGTTTAATTCGTCTAAAAGAAATTCCAATTGGAAAATCGGTGAGCGAAGAAAGTAATAAAAAAAAGTTGGATTTACTTAGTTATCAGAAACTAAAACTTTCTATCCTGACACGCTAGCCGCAGCCATAAACCCCAAGGACTACCAGACGCTAAAATTAGCGGCAGGATCGGAAGTGAACTTGATTGATGTCTGTTTTTGGAATTAGCGCGCTTAAACGTTTCCCGTTCGAATATAACAGGAGGGTTAGGGCAACCGCAAACGTCACCCGTGATCCTGCCTTCACTCCTGCCGGATCCTGCACGTGACGCGATGAGGCTAACTAGCTCGGATTCGATTTGCATATAGTGTGATGCATTTTTGAGAAAGATGAAGAATTTAAAGGAAAAGAAATCATTAAAAATCCCTTTGTAAATTGCTACATAATTAACAAAAATCGTTTAAGCAAACTACATAGCGTAATTTCCTTTCGGGTAATGTTTCGATTCGATCCTTCGAAAGGAAAAGTTTATTAAATATGAATACCAAATGTGCGGGTCGCGTTCCAGCCGGGCCGGAATCAACAACTAGTTGAAATCGAAACGAAAAGAAGGAACGAAAAAAAATTCTATGTCTAATAATAACGGGGATTTATTACGGCTAGGATTAATATCGTGTCCACTTTATTATAATTCTTTTGCATGAGTCACCAAAAGGACTTTCACGTTAATATTTCATAAGTGTTATCCGCCCATTTAAATAAATCGATACTTCATTTTACTTTTCCGAATAGAGCTAAAAACGCGTTGGTAAATACGAATCAGGAACTTGTTTGTTCTACAATAGGCGTTTAATCCATAAATTACGATTTTGTGTTAAAATTGTAAAAAAATAAATCAATCTGTAAAAGGGTCTTTTTCAGATTTTTTTTGTGAATTGACGAGTAATCAATCCTATGATTAGCTTCTACAATAAAGCATACAATACTTGTTATACAGGGTGTCCCGCGAATAAAACCGACACAGGGCAAAAACATGTAGGGGAACGTAAATTATGTTGTTTAAACCAATTTTATTTTTTGTGTTTTTCATCAAAACGAAAAAGAATTTAAAGAAACCAAAGGAATCAAAAAGTTTTAAAATGAAATTACCTATGAAATGAACTAATCATTTTTTAAATCATCCATCAGGTAAAAAAATCTGTAGCATTTTAAGGGAGTATCATTCCTGATAAGATATATATTTCCTATAAGATATTGATTAATCCTCTTATAAAGTACACGCATATTGTACACCAAATTTAGTTGTTTTAAGTTTGAGTTTTACTGAGATACAAACTTTTTTGTAACTCCACTTTGAAGGAACTAAATGTGGAACTTCTGAACCTCTGAACTTCTCAGGAATGTAACTTTGTATTAAGTTATGTTGGGTTAAACAGCATTTTGAGCTCCCCTACATGTCCCAGTTCTGTGTCGGTTCCTATAGGGGACACCCTGTATATTATTTCCAAAAATTTGTAATACTATACTTGATACAAATCATTCTACGCATAGGTAAAATCAAATATAAATTAACAAAAAAATCTTTATAATGCAACAAAATAAATTTTTGAATTGCCTATTGATGAGGGTGTTCCTTATAGTTGTGCTAATATTTCAGGCTGATAAAATTTTTAATCATTTTTTTTATTACTCAATTTTTTTCTCCACAAAATCACCCAAAGAAATAATAGCACATTAAGGAACACCCGTATTGACAGAAACAAGCAAACAAAATCGCAATTATATAAGATATTTTACGAACTGTTTTAAAGAATCTTATGACTAGATACAAATTAAAGGTACATTTAAATTGGATTACTTATTTTCATGCATAAATATACTCAACATACCTACTTGCCAAACGTCCGCCAGGTTTTGCAGATTTAATAAGAAAACTTCAAAGGATTTTCTAACAAAAAAAGAACTTTGTACTACAATTAATTGGTATTACCTGCATTTATTTTGTTGATGAAATTGACTAATGAGCGGAAATCGGTAGAGAATGTGTACGTAGAGAAAATTTCCTCGCAAAAATTGGCGAAAACAAATCGGTATAAAAATCTTGTTGGATTGACTGGACAGATATCAACAAAAATTGTGGGCCAAAAGTGTTTACATTTCTCACATTGAAAGTCATTTTTCGATCATTCTCATATTATCTAACGGAAAAATTCTTCAAAAAAGTTCTTTGAAGTACATCTTTCGAGGTTTCTTATCCAAATGTATTTTTATATATTGTTGTAGCAGTAAGAAAATGATAAAATTAAGTCGTGTATACAGGGTTCACAAAATTATCACCAATTAGCTTAATTTAATTTAAAAATTGTACCTGTTAAGGCGTATAATTAAGTATCTGATGTAAATATTTCGTTGCGGTGCTTCAATAATTTGAATTTGCAATCGATTGTAAATTATTTATCGAAAAAAAGCAATATCATTGATGATTGAGTAAATGTATGATTGTTTTATAAAAAAAAACGTGGGACTTGTCTTTATAATAAGTCTTGTAAATAAATAAATTCATTATTAAAAATTTTGGATTTGTGTTGTAAAAATAGGCTGTATACTTGATTTGAAACCTTTTGTAATATTTCATAGATATAGAATTATAGCACTTGTTTTTCTGTTAATTTTTTGTGCACTCTGTAGAGATAAAAGTTGGAGAGGTAATTAAATGTTTAATTAATGTAAAATACTACAATTTTTGTTACCTAGATTTAGGAAATGATCAAAAATTATTTCGCTTAGGAATTTCCATGTTCTTCCTTAATTGTTTAAAGGAAAATATTAAAATAGGTACCCACATAGGTACTGGTAAGATAAGTTCGATCGATTTTATTACTGTATATGTATTTATTAGACTTATCATCGAAATCTGTACCGATGAAAACGACTGTTATTATGTGTATAGAAAAAATATGTTTTAGATAGATTCTAACAAATGATTATTTATATAATATAATAGATCTGTTAAATATAAAATACTGATTATTTTTATCTTTGTTTGTTATAGGCGGTCACCACTTCCTCGAGAAAAGTTTTTTCCACATTATTTTTCAAAATAAATATTGTAATACTCTTCCCGTCTTTAATTTATTACATACCCTTTCTTCTTTACAAAAATTCGCTAAATACAAAAATAAAAAATACACAGTTTCTTCTTCTCTCTGGTCCATAGACTCGGTCTTTGCGAGCATACAATCAAATCTTTATAATAGGCGTAATTTTAAGAATTGAAAGAAAGAAGAATTTGACAATTGACATTTGAACTCAGCCTGTCAATGTCACGTTATAATTTAAGATTACAAAAATAAAATTTGTTTTTTAGTTTTTTCGCAGGAGAATTATGTAAAAAAATCTGTTAATGTCTACCCCAAAGCTCATTACTATGGCAAAAATGGAAGCTTCAGTACTTAAAAACAAGTTTCGAGGCTGCCTGCTCGGCTCGTTGATAGGAGATTGCACTGGAGCTCCATTCGAGGGCGATACGATTTCACATGGAGACCGATTGGTCATTCAAAGATACTACGACAAACTCGAAGATCCCACTTTCACCGGTAAGTTATCTGTTAGAACGAGGACTAGTTAAACCCAATACATCTTCATTGAAGCTCCTTATAAGACATACACCGATGACACGGCCATGATGAAATCCGTCGCTAAATTTCTAACAGACAAACCCGAACCGGACTATAAATTCTTATCCAGACTATTCGTCAACGAGTTCTTCAAGGAACCCAGACGAGGATACGGGCAGAACGTCATCGATGTTTTCCACAAACTGCGAAACACGAAATATGAGAACGTCTTCAAGCCGGCCAGCGAACAGTTTATGGGTAAGCTTAATTTGCTCGTTATGGAGGTCAATAAACTGAAATTTAAATAGGCGCGGGGTCCTACGGGAACGGGGGAGCCATGCGCGTGGCGCCCATCGCTCTATATTTCCACGATAACTACAAAATGATGCTCGAAGTGGCCTCGAACGCCACCAAATTGACGCACACGAACGTGCTGGGGGTGAACGGGGCCCTGTTGCAAGCTGTCGCTATTCAGTTAGCTGTAAAATGCGACCCATACGCGAAAATCGACCCGGAGAGATTCTGCATTGAGTTGTTCAGAAGAATGAGGAAAATCGAGCGGGTAGAAGAAGATGTGGACGACATGGAGGAAGAGTAAGTTTCTATACAGGGAGGGTGTTAATTGAGTGCCGATATTTCAGGATGTGAATATTTGGGTGATTTAAAGAAGAAAAGTTTTTATGAATATATGTCTTAAACCTCTTAGTTTTCGAGCTACAAGGTATAACAGTTAAAAAAAATAACTTTTCTATCATAATTTTCTTATTACCCAGATATTTTTATAAAACTTCGGACGTGGACGTCACTGGTAATAGTAGAAAATTAATTTCTGTCCCCAAAAAAGTGTTTCCATGCATGGTTGGCGCCTACCACTAATTTTCAACAAAATATCAAAAGCAGTCATAATGAACTTGGGAAAACATTTTTTTGGTTTTTATTTTTTTACGCGAAAATGGTCCGTCGTACAAAAATAAGTCTATGGACCGAATTTGCTCCAAAATAAATGAGGAATTTAAAAATAATTTTAAATTTTAGAAAAAGCAGTGGTGGACCATTTTTTCTTCAAACATATTCAGTTCAAACCCCGTACGGACGTCATTGGTAAAAATTTAAAAAAAATCTTTTTTCCTCAAAATTTTTTTTTCTAAAACTGTAACACCCTGTAGCTCAAAAACTAACAGGTTTAGGAAACATATTTGTAAACCTTTTTTCTTAAAATCATCCAAATATTCACATCCTGAACATTAGAGATTACGAGGTACTGTTTAAATAGAGATGATGGGACGAGAGAGGCTTACCAGAATAAACTGCGTGTGGTTGAGAACTTGTTGCAAAGGAAGCACGACAATGACTTGGAAGAAGAAGTTATTATGAACTTAGGAAACGGTATTTCCGCATATGAATCTGTACCGACGGCTATTTATTGTTTCTTGAGGGCCCTCAATGAGATTTCCTATATTCAGGTGATTAATTTTGGATTAGTTACGTACATTTTTATGGAAAAAATGGATGTTTTTTTAGACTGACAATGTGTTTCGAAGAACCATTCAGTATGCTGTTTCACTAGGAGGTGATACAGACACAATAGCCTGCATGGCTGGCGCTATAGCCGGAGCTTATTTGGGAGAAAACTGCATAAATACATCCTTAGCCAAGCAATGTGAATATTATAAAGAAGTGTTAGAAATGGCAGATAATTTGTACGTAGCCAAAGAAGGCCCTGGAAATTAATAAATGTTTGTTAATTTTTGTAAGAGTTTAATCTTGTTGTTAAGTACCAACATTAATTTAGTTTGTGCTGGGAATTTAGAGATTATATACAAAATCTCAATAAAACCAAGTAATTCTCAGCTAATAGAATTGAGACTTTAATTTATAAACAATATTAGATATTTTAAAGAATGCATATGTACAACGTTTGGACATGGAATTATTAGTTCCTGGCGTTACAAATATCTACAAATTCCGGTTTCAAGGATGCTCCACCGACCAAAAACCCATCAATATCGGGCATGGATGCCAATTCCTTACAGTTAGCTGCTGTAACGGATCCGCCGTACTGAATCCTTACTTTTTTGGCAACGTCTCCGTTAATTTTCGTGGCAATGTACAATCGTATCGCTTTGTGAACGTCCTGAGCTTGTTGGGGAGTGGCCGTTTTACCGGTACCTATGGCCCACACAGGCTCGTAGGCGAGCACTACGTTTTTCCAATCTGAGACTTTGCAAGCGATAGCCTGAATCTGTCTAAAGACGACCTCTTCCGTTTGACCGGCGTCCCTTTCGGCTAAAGTTTCTCCAATGCAAGCGATAACTTTCAAGCCGTTTTGCAATGCGAAAGCGGTTTTCTCGGCAACTAAAGTGTCACTTTCCCCGAATAGCGTTCTCCTTTCGGAATGGCCGGTGAGCACCCACGTTACTCCCAGATCTTTAAGCATAGTTACTGAAATTTCCCCCGTGAAAGCTCCGCTGGCCGTTTTGTAAAAGTTCTGGGCGGCTACACCGATCGGGGCGGAGACATTTTTAACTACGTGCTCCAAGTACGGTGCTGGTACCGCAACAACGATCTCGGTAAAGTCGTTTAAGGGTGCAATTCGCAGGAAACTCAAGATTTTGTCGATTTCGGCTTTGGTGCCGTTCATTTTCCAGTTTCCTCCGACAATGAACGTGCGGGGGCACTTGTCTGGGCAGGACATCGTGATTCTGTGCGAAATTAGAGTATCTAAAAAATAAACGTTTTAACGGCGTAACACTTATTTTGAAATTTACATACCTAAATAAAGAGGATTATCCCAGCTAAAGGTCGCTCGGAGGTCGTAAGGTAATTTCGTCTCTACTTACAATTTTACATTTAGTTTGACATTGAAATGACAACTATGACATTTAAAAATGGACACCAGTGAAGCGGGCTCAATTTTAATTATACAAATTGGTTTAGGTATAATTTTAAACACGTATTTTTACAAATATATTTTGTAAAGACCATAAATTTATGATGAAGGAATTTCATTTTCAAAATTTAATGATTTTATTGACAACCAGGTGTACCAACATAATTTTACCGGTAAAAATCAACAAAAATCCCTATCGTTACGTCCAAATTTCAAAAAATCGAAACAAAATTTATACTGGGTGACCCAAAATAGTATACAGGAATCACCAGATACAAATATAAGGTCAATCAGTAATTACTTAAACTAAATGAGAGGAAATCAAAACGAATTTTTATTGCCCAAACAAGCGAACTGATTTTTTTTTATTTAATATGCATTTTATTTGTGTTTAAAATTACATGATATCTGGAAAACGGTTTCTCAGCTGTTATCGTCGTAGATAAAGTATATTATTCAACTCAACGAGATACTGGCAAATTTCATTTGCCAAATGACTATAAGTTACAGGCTGCACTCGAATTGATGCCTATTGTAAAATGAGTCGAACACTATACCATCATTACATGTATTTTATAATCGTACATTCAATACAATAAATTTAAACAATAACAATTTCTTATTCCTAATTTACAGACATTAATTTACTAACGTAGCAATGAAACAACCTATTTATCCTTTTTCGCTTCTACAGCGCCTTGCGGGCTTTCCTCGATAGCTGCATTATTCCGTTTCTCCTCCTGCTCCGCAGAGTAACCGTACTCGTTCACCCTGCTCTTATCAACCGGGTAAATGTAGCGTTGATACAAATATATCAAAAACACTATGTCATCTCTGAAACAACCTATTCTATACATCGTCGGCATTTTGATAACGAAAGCGAACATGTCGTCGATGAAAGTGTTCAAGAATTTGTACGTCAACATTCTCCAAGGCAAATGCGCCACCGATTTCAACTTGTAGTTGATGAACAATTGAGGCGTCATCATGATGAAACCGAAGGTCAGCAAATATCCGTAGAGCAAGTCCAGCACAAACGAGTACCAACCCTTGTGCTCCATATAAACAAGGGCGTAAACACTGTAAGCCACCAGCAGAGGGAAGCACACCCACGATAGATACTTAAACGCTAACTTATCGTAAACTTTGGTGCTGGATTCGACGTAGGAGCTTTTGTCCTTAAACGTTAACCTGCCGTTTTCGAATTTTATATCGACCACCTTCCATATTTTCCAGCATTCTATACCGACACTGGCGAAGCAGGAAATCCTGATAAGAGTGTTTGTTTCGTTATCCAAAACGTACAAAAGCACCACCATCGATTGGAATACGCCGAAAAATACCGATCTAACCGATAAACCTTCCAAGGAATTCCTGTTGTTCCAGAATTGAATGTCGTTTTTGAACGCCAGTAGCTCAAACACCGAATGCACGATGGATACCAACACGGTGATTCCCAGAAGGTAAGGATTCGTGTCTAATAGAGTTTCTTTTAGAGTATCTTGTTCTTCATCGCTTTGGCCCGCTTCGTTGTCTCCCCAAACGTTCCACATTTGCCGCATGTGCTGAGTAGCGTACAATTGCCATTTGAACAAACTCAACGGCTGGAATGTTAATCGTAACGTATATGTATCGTTCAATGGAGCGTAGTCTCGCGCCATGTTCCAGAAATCGTTGGCGAACAATACGGGTTTGTAAAACGCCCCTTCATCGGCGAATTTAATGTACTGGTCCAATGGGACCGGTACTGCGCCCTGGGTCCACAACGTTTGGTCCGTGACTAGATTTAGGGTGAAGTTCGGATGCCAATGGGAGACGATTTTGCCATCTTCCACCTCTAGTTTCTCGCTTTCACCGGTTAGGAGGTTTTTGGTGCCGGACGATTTCAATCGCTTGTATCTGTAAATGAGTAAAACAAATGTTGATTGAAAGAATTACAAGTTAAAACAAAAAACAAGGAGGTGCTTCTACTCGAGAAAAAAAGAACCTTCAATAGAAAATTTCTCTTTAAAAGATGCAAATGAAATCTTTATTTGTGAGGGAATAAAGGCTATTTAAAATCGTAACAAAATAAGCTAATATTTTGTAACGAACTATATCAAAAAAATCTTTCAAAATAAAATGAAAAATGCATCAATAAATCCATTAAAAATCATCCCTCAACAAAGCAAGGGTAAATTATTCTTACATAAAAGCATACAATAATGTAATCTTTAAACAAACTGAAATTTCAAAACTCGTTTACCTTCAAAATTATCTCGATTTATTTTACTATTTACATATTTACCCAACAGCTTTACTCTTATCAGTTCTTTAAAGATACATATAAATCATCTTAATATCGTACCTATTTAATTGTTTCATGACAGAAGTCATTTCATTCCGGGCGTAGTTTTCTGCAGAAGGATCCGGACTGTATCCAGATTTCACCAAATACGCATGCATAAACAAAGTACCATTATTTCTCATGTTATCAGTAATAGGAACTTCCTTTTCGAAAGTATAACAACCATCATTGTCTATCCCGGATGTCCAATCCCCGTATTTGAGTCCTCGTTTTTGCCAAAATACATTGGCATCGCTGTAATTGTCCATCGTTTCGTTTTCTGATAAATAAATATATAAATTCATTGTCGTACCATCCGGGAATATATTTCTGGCCGTTATAGGAGTTACTTTAACGCCTTTTTCGTTGACTTTTTGGGGCTGAGGTGCTTTGAAAAACGAGAATACGAAGTACATGATTATTGCTCGAATGAATAGCGATTTAAGTATTGCGAGAAATGATTCGAGCTTGGAAGGTTGTCGAAGCTCTGCGGCTGTAGGCCCGCTTGACTGAAAAATAGATAACAATCAGAATAAATATGAACTATTATTACATTTTTATTAAAATACTTACTTGATCTCCACTGGCAGTCGTTTCCAGTGACCCTGATGAGGGAGCCCCGTTTGGTTTAACCTCGGTTGTACTCATTTTAGAAATTATCAATGAACTGTACAATATTAGATTATTTTCATATCACAGTAAAAAATTAATGTTTTACATCAAAATTATACGCCGATTATCGAAATGCTCGGTATGATTCAACAAATGCTTTCCAATTTTAATGACTGCAACAAAATTCTTTTAGAGCAAGGTTGACAGTGACAGTTAAGAAGATATAATTTGTGACGTCATCGAAATATTCGATAATGTTCTAAATACAGAAATTTACCAACAGTGTTGCCATTTGAGCTAAAATGTCATGTCATCAGTCATTATTGTCAATATGAGAAGTGCGTTTTTTTGTTTAGTTGAAAAACATGAAAATTAAAATTTGTATTTAGATTTAGAACATCAAAGATGTTTATTTGATGTAATAAACAACGACAATTCTACGTAAGAATATAATTGCAACATAAAAAGTTACAGGAATTAAATTGTAATCGTTTCAATCGCCATTAGCAAGTCTTTTTTTGTGTCGAAAGAAGCCGATCTGATATCCATAACCTCAAATGTTTGACATCTATAAGCGTCTCCGAAATCCTAATAAAATTAATTTATTTCCTTGTAATTTAAAGTGAAAGTAAACACAGACTTACTAAACTCTTTAAGATGTTCTATTAGAATGTTTGAAATAACCCTTAGCGGGCAAAATTAACTCGTTTCTGGCAGGTAAAACTTATCCTAAAAAATGTTGTGCAGGTTATGTATCGTAGACGATAAAAACATTCAAATATTAGAAGATGCCGTTTGTGATATGTTAAGGGCTGTATTACGAAAAAAAGTGAGTAATTTCTTGTTTTTTAATGTCCAAAACATGAGATAATTGTGTTTTTATTTATTTGCAGTGTATACCATTAAAAAATCCTGTAATTTGTACCAACTGCATTAAAAAAGTAGAAAAAGCGTTTGAATTCAAAACAACTTGTCTCCGTACGCAAAAAATATTGTCTCTCTACGGCGGATCCACAACCAAAGTCGTTTATATCAAAGATAACAAATTGTGCGTGTCCCCAAAAAGTGAGACCTCGTTAAAACTGTGCAGAACATGTTTAAGGGTCATTGAGAACGGATTTGGCAAAAATTTGTTAACTATAGTCGACAAACTGGCAGTATATATTCCAGAAATGGTGAGTTTACTGCATATCATCATTATTTAGATCATTTATATTATAATTTTTTTACAGGTAATAAGCGATAGAGAGACATCGTTGTTTTGTTACAAATGCCTAGATCAGTTTAAAGTATTTTCAGAGCTCATAAATTTGGTTAACAACGCAGAATCTTTAATAATGAACTATTGCAAAGAGAATAAAATAACAAATTTTGAACAGAATAGTTTAGATGACTTGTTTAATAAAAAAGTAAAAGGTAAGAGTATTAATTCATTGTTTTTGAGGAGTATTTACAAGTAAAATTTAATTTGCAGATGAATCGAACATCATGAAACTAGTGTCTAGCAATCACTTGCTACTGGACTTGGAAAACGAATTTGAATCTACTTATTTACACGATAGCATGGACGATTCGAAAAAGAGGATTATTAAGAAAATTATCGAAGAAGACGCTGATATGTTTTACAAGGACATTCCGGATTTTGATGTGCACGAATCGTTTCCAGACGAGTGCAAAATTGACAGGTAACACGCACAAAATTCCATATTTATTCAAATTCGCATTATTTTATTTTTGCAGTGATTACAGCAATATTCTATATGGTGAACAAAAACAGTTGGTACTTTCCGATTCCGAAGAAGAACTGTCATGGAAAAAAATCGGCAAGAACGTCGAAGAAGACGAATCGACAATGAGGCTCTCATTTGAAACCGAAGATTCATCATTATCTCCTGGTACATTAAGCGATAGGCTATTTTACGAATCAGAAAGTCAAGATGAAGAGAAAAAGGAAGACAGGTTTGTGCTACAGAATTTCACTGTACTATAACTTAAAATTTGATATTTTTTTTAGGGAGGCAACTAGTCCAAACCCATTTATATTCTTCGATGGGCGCAACGAGCAAAAGTGCTCGTGCAGCGACACCGGCGAGGCAGTTCAATCGAGGACGAAGAGGAAATGGTGCGAGAAATGCAAGTTGAAAAAGAACGTCGAAATTGGCGAAACCGTTCGCGACGTGACTGTGAAAAGACCAAAGAAAGACGGTGGGAAAAAATGTAGAAAGATGTACGGGATTGAGTTCAAGGATATGTGGTGTACACGGTGCAAGTAAGCATAATTATTCTAAACGAATAATAGGGTAAGACTAAATTTAATAAATTTTCCAGGTGGAAGAAGGCTTGTAGTAGGTTTGGCAACACAAAGGCTGTGAATAGGCGATAGGATACTAACGGATATCCTTGGCGTGAGATTTGAACCTGTGATTTTTTTCAGTGACGTTTCAATTGTGACAAAACATACTTAACATTTATGATTTTGAATTTTTGATTTGGGAATGGGGGTTGTGAGTTTGCAAGTATCTTTCGTAGTTCAGGGGAAATTGGAAATTCTGGGAATTATTATTATTTTATTGATTCGATGAGAGAAAAATATTGGAAAGTTTGCGTTAATTTATGAGGAAAAAAAATAATGATCCATTACGTTTTCGATTTTGAGAGTAATAATTGAACTTCAGTGTATTTCTTAATGTAAGATATTTTAAATGAACCAAGATCTAAAAAGTGTTTATATATAAAAATAAGGTATATTAGTGTTAACTACATGTATACAAATGCAGGATTTTAACATATCAAAAGGAATCAGATTTTCCAACATTATGTATACTTAATCATTTTGAATACTCTTTCTAGAGCAAATTGAATATAGCTTTTAGATATCTCTTTTTCGTTTTGATTTTTAAAATCCTCCATAAATGAGTTATTTATTTTTAATAAATAATAAGCAAAATTAGAACTATAAACATACAGTTTGTTTTCAAAATAATTATAACATCCAGATATGCTCTTATCAATTTGTACTACTTTTTGTATAACAAAGTACTTATAAGAATAATCAACTCTGTACATATTGAAAAATTTATCATTACATTATCAATAGTTTAGTTACATAAACAAAATGCTCACTTAAGTAAGCAATAAAAAAAGACGAGATATTTGTAAATATTAAAAAAACGCGTTTCTGTTTTTTTTTATTTTGATTAATTATTAAATTTAAACTCGACATACGTGAGAATGAATGTGATTTTTTGGAAACAAAACGTATATTTAATTTAGTTCGAGATGTTCCGTGTATCAATTAAGATTGTAATATTTTTAAGAACAACTTGTGAATGTAGTTCAAAATATCGTAATTGTTCTAATTTGGAAAATTTAGTAGGTGTAAATATTTTTTGTATGTTTTAGAGTTTGAGGGTAATTAGATCTTTAGGAAAATGGTGTAGTATGGATTATTCTCCTGCGGCTAGAGTTTTATTTTTCAAAAATAATTATTTTTGCTTTTACTGAAATCGTTCTAGTTTCGGAGAAAAATTTGCTTGGGCCATTGTTACAAAATAATGTAGCGGTTATATGAAAAAAATGTGTTTTTTTTTCATTGTACATATTTGCAGATTGCAGAGAGCGTTTTAATTCCAAATTGCTTCTTTATATTTTTTTAACAAATAGGGTCTTTTATTGGAAGCTTCAGAACGAACTAAAACATGAATGTTAGGCAGTTATCTCATTTTTTGTACTTTTCAATAATACAAGTCGTAAAAATAATATGATTTTTATTTCACCAATTTTCTAATTATATTCACATACAGATAAGTGCAAATTTGTACACAATATGGGTGTACCAAAGACAACTTCCATTAGTCTTATATGAAGAAAAAAGAAAGATTGTTATTGTGTGATTGCAACTTTCTCATTCTAATCACTGTTATTTTTGTTCTTATCTTTGTTCAACTTATACAGGTTGATTCATTAATTTGCAATATAGGTATAAAGGCTATGGGTCCGATAAAGACAAATTTCCATTAAACACTTATGAAGGAAAAAGAAAGTGATATTGCGTCATTCTTTTCACTCTGACAACTCTCATTTTAGCCATCTTTCTTTGTTCAAGTCATAGAAATGACCATATTGCAAACTGAAATGAATCAAGGTGTATAAATATAATTGACAATATTGCAAAGAAATTTACACTTTTGAAGAAGAACCGTTGGTAATTGATTTTGGAAGATATATTTTTTTAATCAAGTAACAAGTTATTGAATCCTGTCACCTGTCAAATAAAAATCACGCATGCTGACAAATTTTATGGTAATAAAAAACGAATATTTCATGGATTTCTTGCATTCAAATTCAAATGAAATCAAATTATTCGCTAATTCGCTCTCTCTCCCTTACTAGTCTAATGATAGAGAAGGATGCGACGAGCGAAGAGACGAGACGAGACGACGTGCATATGCGCGTGCGCGCTGCATATCGACGTTTTGCGTCCGCTTTTGTTATATTTTCAAAATATTGACAAAAAGTCAGCTGTTTGTTTAAAATTCGAAAAAGCTTCGCATTCGTCGTTAAATTAATGGGTCTCATAGCCATGAATCAAATACCATGGGAGCAATTGCATCTGTTCTACAATGGCATTGCAGTTTTTGTAGTTTGATCAATCCGACTGAAAGAAAAAAATGTATACGTTGTGGTAATTCTAGGCAGAAATTTAACAAATCGAATTCACCGTTCAGCGAAACCACGTTAGAGAATAACACGAGCCGCACAGTGATTAGCCACATCGAGTCCCCCAAAGAGGACCTAATAAAAAGGTTAGTGTTTATATTGTTTGGAAAGATCAATAATTGTAAGTCGATTTTTTTCAGTGCTGTGAATAACATTGCCGCAGATGAACGTGTCGTTCCTCTAATCAACCTATCGGTAATTAACAAACCATTAAATCTTATAAAATTCAACAGTTTGCCGTCATTGCATTTCGCATCCTTCTGCGATACTTGCCAACTAGATCTCTCTACGGCCTCGTCCAGATGTGTTATCTGTAATTCGCTGTTAAAGACCATGAACATTGCAGAATCCCCCTGCAAGAATTGCTCTCTGAATCCCATTCAGAATTTCGATATTTTAAATTACAGTAAACCCTACAAATGTAAATGTCAAAGGAACAAATCTCTGTCTCTAGTAAAAAGTCTTAGCTGTTCGGTGGCGCAAAAAACCTGTGATTCCTCTATCGATGGTCAACAACAGAAAGACGTTAGAACTACTGCCAGCGGTATAAATATCTCTTATAAACCTAGTAATTATATGTGGACCGTCAAAAGTCTGGTACCGACCAGTACTTGGACTTGCAAGCAATGTACATTGTTAAATAGTGCTAATTACACCGTGTGCGAGGCTTGCGAATCACCGTATTCTCCTGATTTAAATAGTAACATAAAGCCTAGCGTCATTATTAAGGTAATTTTACGAACAAAAATCGTTTTACGTTTTAGTTTGGACATTACTGATTTTTTTATAACATTGTGTTTGCGTTAGCACTTATTTTCAATTGCATGTAATTTTCGTTTTAGACAGGCTAACATGCATGTTATATTTTTATGTGGCATTAAAGAATTGATTTTGAATAAAATGGCAATGAACGAGACAGTATTACAAATTACTAGCAGCATTTCATTATACTACAATTCGTTAAAAACTAATTAATTGTATTGAAAATTGTTGTTTTAGGTGGATAACTGGGCCGATAATGAATCGCTTCACAGCCACAAACCGTTGTACAGGAGATCTCTATCCGAGCTGCCGTCTGCTTACAATTGTCACGTACCCAACATAAATCGAAGGAGTCTCGAAGGCAGTCCCCTTCTCAGTGCTCTGCCCAGATCCAGCACATCGATGACAGACATCCAATCATCTCAACATTCCCAGTTATTCGACAATTTAAACGGCAGAAGTTGCACCAGAGGTGCATGTGATACTACTAATAAGGATCAAAATACACTTTATACATACATAGGTAGGTAAGATGCGCTAGTAGAAATTAGCAACTCGCTTAAGTTTTGTAAAAGGAGCGATAACTTTAAAGTCCTTTCGAATTCAACACTGATTCCTTCGATATCCCTACCTCTACAAGTTTTTGAAATTATCTATAAAATGCCTTATCATTTAATCATCAGTCTGTATGGCTCGAGACTTTATATGCTATTGATTTAGCAGCTCTCTAATACAAAACAACTCTCTCGTCAATTGTGGGTTTTAAATTTTGTTTTATAACGTGAATTGTATCGTTTAAAAGAATTTGAATTACTTTACTAGAAAATTCATATGCAGGAATATCAGAGCCGGACAAAGAGAAACATTTTTACGAGAATCATAATGTCATTGACGCTCAAAAGAGGAACATGGAATTCGATGCCGAGAAACACAAGAAATTGTAAGTATAATTTTTTTATTCGAACATCGGGATGCGATTAAAGTTTAATGAGTTATTGAATTAATATTGTACAAAGGTCAAACATAATTAGAGCTTAATTCGTGTAGCCGCTGAAAAAATATTTGCTCTTGAATTATTGAACATTCTATTCTTGATGTTTTCATTGATATTCGTAGAGGTTTCGGTAAATAACGCTGGTAATAAACGAACAGTAATTTCCATACATTTAATCCGGCTTTTACTAGCCGAAATATTGCCTATAGATATATATTTTAATGATCAATAAATTCCGTGAAATTAAACCGTTTGTAGTTATTTTTATAATAAATGATTTCCATAATATATTTATTTCGTTTTCCGTCCAAATTGTTCCATCGATACACTTTAACCTCGATTATTTTTTTAAACTATTTATTATCATTAAGTTTAAGGACAAAAACTTAAAGCTAACTTAAATTATACTGGAAATATGTATATCGTTTTATTTAATATTAGTGTAGGTGAAATTATACGCTTACTATCAGTAAATATCTACGTATTTATCGATGAAAAGTAGTCAAGTAATTTTAACTCTGTTTATTTTCGTACGCTTGATTAAAAATTGATGAAGTATCTCAAACTTTTTTCGCGAAAATAATTTAATTCGTTCTCCTTGCTATTCCGTTGCAACGCACACGTTAATCCCCGTTGTATTTTCCCCTAGAATACAGCTTATGAAAGATAATAATCCAACGAAATCCAGTTGGTCTTTAAACGAGAGACGATGGACTTGCCGTCAGTGTTCATTCGCTTATAACGGATTTAGCGTAGATAAATGCGAAATTTGCAAAAGTTGGAAGTCTCCACCGTCTTTGAATCAACCCTATACGGTTACCGTTACCGAAGACCGGAGGCTCAATAGCCCCTCTCAAAAGTAAGCCCGTTAGAAACGTTTTAATAATCTTTAAACTACCTAGTTTAAAATCACTATAATAGAGAAATAAGTAGGTATTACTAAACTGTATTTTTCAGCAGGGCTATGAATTGGAACGATTCGAAGCTGCAAGTTCCAATAGCAACGTTAGATCAAGATTTAGACGACGATTTTCAAATTCTACCAGGTATTTTACTCACAATTCATAACATTATACAGTGTTTTTGGTCTACGGCCAATGTCAACAAAACATAACGAGCAAAAATCAAAAATAGACATGTTTCACAAAACTCCACTCATATGCGAGCCATTTAGATGATCCTATGTATAGCAACAGCTTGTACGTTTGCCAATATAACATCCTGTATAATACCTGAAGACGATGACTCGTATTCAACACTCATTTTTAATGCTAATCCGCCGTTTGAATAGCCTCTTTAAGGTAAACAATGTCCTTAGTTACTCCATAACAACAATGTAAAACTGTCAATTTAAACAATCCTTAGTTACTTCATAACAACAATGCAAAACTGTCAAAAGAAAGAATCTCCTTAGTTACTCCATAACAACGACGTAAAACTGTCAATTGAAATAACCGCATTGTAGTTAGATACCCCATAACAACACTGTAAAACTGTCAAGTTAAAGAGACTCTTTAAACGATTGATTAGCGTTAAAGAGGAGCGCTAAAATACCGGGTTAAAAATGCGGATCATAAAACCTACATTCGATTTACTTGCAGGCGACGAGAGTCCGATCGACGAGCAAAAATGGACGTGCAAAAAGTGCACATTGGTGAACAGCGAAAGCTCGTTGGTGTGCGAGGCGTGTTGCGGATCGAAGCTCCGCTCCATATCCCTGAACCACGACATGACCCTCAAGAAGGGCGAGTACTGGCCCTGTCCGAAATGCACGCTCAAAAATTCGCTGAACGCCTCGTCGTGCAAGGCCTGCAAGACGGAAAGGGCGGCGACGCCGTCGCGGAGCCCTTCCCCGCGGCACGGCAGATCCAAGAGAAACGCGACCAAGACCAGCGCCAATGCGAAAGTGCAAGGGCTCGTGCCGGTAACGAAAGCCGATAAAGGACGCGTCAATTTGCTCAAGAATTGGAACGAAGGTAAGGGTATTTTTTCTCATCTCATCGTACTCCTCTCCATTTTATTTAACTGTTGTAATTCTCGCAGAATCGAACAGCGCGGAATCGTACCAATCGTGGCACTGCGTCGTTTGCACGTTCGAAAACACCAAGTCGTATGTAATCTGTGATATGTGCCAGAGGATGCGCGACGACGTCAATTCGCTCGGCGCCGCGCAGCCGAAGGAGCCGCCGCGGCTCTCCCAGCAGGAGATGAGCAACAAACATTGGAACTACATCGTGAAATATTGCAAATTGAAGAAGCAGAGCTACCTCGACGAGGACTTCCCGCCGATGCCCAGCAGCCTGTACTACAATCCCGCCGAAATGAAGGATTCGCACGTGGTGAAATGGAAGAGACTGAGAGATATAGTTGTAGAAGAGGATAAAGACTTGATGTGGGCGGTGTTTAGGAAACCGCAACCGTCGGATATTTCCCAAGGTAATGGGAAATTAGTTATCGAAGCGTGTTAATATGTAATTTTCAGGGGTGTTGGGTAATTGCTGGCTGTTAAGTGCACTTGCTGTATTAGCGGAAAGAGAGGATTTAGTTAGGGCTGTTTTGATAACGAGAGAATTTTGCCCCCAAGGCGTGTACCAGGTGAGGTTGTGCAAAGACGGCCATTGGATTACCGTTTTAGTCGATGATTATTTCCCGTGTGATAAAAGAGGGCATTTGTTCTACTCGCAGGTAAGTATTCTATTAAAGCCTGTTACTTGGTGTGTACTTGATCGATCGTTTAAGGCTAAACGAAGACAATTGTGGGTACCTTTGATCGAAAAAGCAGTGGCTAAAATCCATGGTTGTTACGAGGCTCTAGTGTCGGGACGCGCCATCGAAGGTTTGGCAACGTTGACCGGAGCTCCTTGCGAAAGTATACCATTACAAGCATCTTCCATGCCGGCGCCGGTCGAGGAGGAATTGGACATCGATTTAATTTGGGCTCAGTACGTATCCGCTATCGTCTTATTTACTAGAGAATTTACGAAGCTTCGTTTGTAGATTGCTGTCATCGAGACAGGCGATGTTCTTGATGGGAGCCTCGTGCGGCGGTGGGAACATGAAAGTCGACGAAGTTGAATACCAATCCAAAGGTTTGAAGCCTAGACATGCGTATTCGCTGTTGGACGTTCGAGATATCAAAGGCTATCGATTACTCAAGCTTAGGAATCCTTGGGGTTGGTTAAATAAGCGCTTTATTAAAATAGTATACGAGCGTTCATTGTCATTTTTAGGGCACTTCGTGTGGAAAGGAGACTGGTCGGACGATTCCTGCTTGTGGACGTCGGAATTGCGCCAGGAATTACTGCCGGACGGATCGCAGGACGGCACGTTTTGGATAGCCTTTCCGGACGTTTTGAAATACTTCGATTGCATCGACATTTGCAAAGTGAGGAGCGGTTGGAATGAAATACGGCTGACCGGAATACTGCCACCATTAGCTAGCCAACAACATTTGTCTTGTATATTTCTTACTATATTAGAGCCTACGGAAATCGATTTTACTTTATTTCAGGTAAAGTATTATCGAACAAGACTTTATAATGTACAAAGGCTGCAATACTGTTCATTTGCGATTTCAGGAGGGTCAAAGAAAGTCTGAAAAATCCCAACGATCTCAGTTAGATTTGTGCGTGGTTTTGTTCAAAGCGCGGGCCGGCTCGACCATCGGCAATTTGGTGGAGCACAGCAAGCGGCAGGTTAGAGGCTTCGTGGGGTGCAACAAAATGCTCGAAGCCGGCGAGTACGTTGTGGTACCGCTGGCGTTCAACCACTGGCACACCGGCTTGGAGGACGTGATGGCCTATCCTAGGTAACTAACACATCCCCAACCAGTCATTCATAAATTTTTGACGCCAACATTGAAAATTATCTGTCACTTATTAAGTAAACGAGGCAAAAAAAGTAAGATAGAAAAATAGAGGTAACATGGCGGATCCAATCAGGCGCCTTGAGTGTAGGCAAATATATTTTAAATAAGAATTTAATTATGTTAAGAATTGTTATGGTAAAAATATAACATTATTTAATATTACGTATGAAAATTTTGTTAATATTGTAAGAAAAAACAGTGACAACTGCTTCCCGGTTTCCCGATATTTGCTATTATTCGCTAGGAAAATGAGGTAGATACTGTTCTCTGATCTCTTTTTAGTCGAAATCGTCTTCAAATTTTACTACGAGCGGTTGTACACCGTTGCCAAATTTGTAAGAGTTTATCTATTACAGGAATTTTGAAATATATAATTCGTCACATTTTGAAACTATATTTCTTAAACTTGCAATTTATTATATGTTGTGGGTGTATTTTGAAGAATGTAAATAACATTAATATTTAGTATTAAGACGATTACATATCAGGACATAAAAAATAAAGCAGAAGGAAATTGTAAAAAATAGCGCGACAACATGCAACGTTTTACCTCTATTTTCTGTTAGACTGTGACCTATTGTTGGTGCCCTAAAATTTTGTAAACAGTTTCATCTGTTTTAGTTATTTATCTGTGGTAAACTGATAGACCGCTTTCGATCGATTTTTTATTAATAGGTACGTGCTGGCCATACATAGCTCGAAGAAATTGTTGGCGGAAAACATCCAACCGCCGAATTACATCCTCGCCGATGCGATAATATCGCTGACGCTCGCCAGAGGGCAGCGGCACGAGGGCAGGGAAGGAATGACCGCGTACTATTTGACCAAAGGTTGGGCGGGATTGGTGGTGATGGTCGAAAACCGACACGAGAATAAATGGATACACGTAAAGTGCGACTGTCAGGTAAATATTCAATATTAGGTTTGTTCCAGCAGCATGTTTTGTGTTGTTACGAACATTGTGAGCTTGCGCAATGATTTTAAAACGTTGCAGGATGGTGTTATTTGGTGTTCTGAGTAAATGTTTGCTGTTCCGGCAGAATTCTTTTTTGTATGTACTATATGTACTATTTGTGAATAAATTATGGTATGTATCTAATAGGAGAGCTACAACGTAGTGTCTACGAGAGGCACCCTTCGTACGGTGGACTCGGTGCCGCCGCTCACCCGTCAAGTGATCATCGTGCTGACACAGTTGGAGGGCAGCGGGGGCTTCTCGATCGCCCATCGGCTGACCCATCGATTGGCCAACTCGCAAGGGCTGCACGATTGGGGCCCGGCCGGGTCGATTCACGATCCCGAATTGGACCATCAGACCACCGGATTGCATTCGCCTCGGTTGTTTTAGGTTTCGTATTCGTTCTATTTAGATTGTTAGGGGATTTTTTGTTTGTCTGGCTTTGGACTCTTGCGTTGCTTGCAGATGATGATTAATAACGAGAATGTGATTCACTATGTTTGTAAGCTTTAGGGTATAATTTTGCTGCTCTGCGACAATAGTTCGAATGTTGGAAAATGTCGGTTTTTGTTTACGTGAAACGATTCGAAAATTTGCCCTGTTCAGTGGACTTGTATTTATTAAATAGTAACGAATTGTTCCATCGATGTTGTACAACGTGTTTCAGGGCTCTCCTGCTAAGAAAAATATCCGATTCGTTTGGAATTCGATGTTTTTATGTAGTGGTAGACGTTTTGGAATGTCCAATAGAAATTTATACATTCCCTTTAATTTCTGTCGTTAGTTCGGTGCAGTAAAATATATTATAAAATTAGTTATTTCGAATAGTTTTGCAATAACATATCAAATCGATTTCGTTTTTATCTCTTATTCGTTTATAATATAAATGTAATTTTGTTTTCCATTGAAAACCCCATAGTATCTGACTTGTAAATGTTTTTTAATGGTTTCCTTAATTGTATACACACTGGCAAATTTAATGGAGCACAGCTTCAATTTAAAATAACACGGCACAACCTAGGCGTGATATTTATTGAAATGCTCCTTAGAAGTAGAATTTAAAATTAGGATATTTGAATTAAATAACGGGTGGTTCGAAATTTTGGTCTTTTAAGGCTATTTTACCCGTTCCTTTAGATTTACTAGTGTGTATTTAACGTACGTTACTGAGTTTTCCAATATAATTGTAAAAACTAGTGACTTTTACTTGACTCCATTGGATTATACATAGTTTTTCTTGATGTGTTCCATTTGGAATGCCTTGTTTTATATTTTCACAGTGCATTTTTTCTCTGTGCAAAATTCAAACTCAATGGTACGAGGAATATTCTTAATTATACTCATTATCTACTTGTTTGGTTTTTGAATTTTAAAATCCCAAACGTTTTTTGTTGACTCAACCAGAATCTCGTTTTTTTTTCTACGAAATATCGATCTCATTGGATAAAAAATTTCACCTAATTTACATCACCCCGTGTGCTTTATAGTTTGTATTAGCGTAACGCAATCACGTTGAACGAATGAATAATGCGTATTATAAAAATTGTTAAAGAATTCTATAGCGCTTCTATTATTTCCACGTAAATTGTTTTGTCACTCTATTATCGCTTGAAAAGTGTATATTGGTTATATTTAAGCGGTTATACATTTATTCAATTTGATTGTAAAAACTATTGTAAATTGTATGAAATTTCTGATATTGTTAATAAAAATTCAGAGAAATTAAAAGTTGCGTTTGTTCTTAAGTATCGATGTAACCTCAATTAATTCGTAGATAATCTTTAAATATTTAACATTTTAATCCATACAATACAAGACTAAAATGCATTGTCAATAAATTAATATTAACATAGAAATTAACGAGTTTCTCTAAAGGATGACAATGCATTTTAGTCTTGTATTATATCGATTAAAATGTTAAATATTTAAAGATTATCTACGAATTAATTGAGGTTACATCGATACTACCTATTCCCACAATAAAATATTAAAATCTTCCAATAAAATTTCTAAAACTGAGCCAATTTAACTGTAATTAAATGTCCAAAATACCAATAGAGTTATTGATTCTAGGAACATAAATTAAAAATTTATTTCTTCTCCAAAAAAAACCAAGCAGTATCAAATAATAATTTCTACCAGATTATAGACGAAACAATGCATTAATAAATTAGCTCTTAACTAGAAAGATTTATTCGCTTACTTTAGTGGAACAGAACAAAATTAACATATTTAAAAAGAATTAAAATTATTGCGACTTTTTACAAGCTAATTATAAAGCTCATATAAAATGCAATTGCAGCGAAAATTGTAAAGTTAATCCAACCGATTGTTCTCGAATACGTACGTAATCCAAACGTCCCAGGCTCATAAAGTATTTACGAAAAATCGGAATTTTTTGTTTTGATCGGAAAGTCTCCATAGAAACCCGATAGCTAATGAATTTCAATTAGGCGATAACCGAGGAAATCTTACTCTTTTTTCGTGTTGTATCGCGTGCACATCCGTATTAAAGCATTCGTGCTCATTCCACGACACTGGGGAATTGCATGGAAAACGAGGGAATTGTCCCTCTGAATAATAAGTAGGTGAATTTTAATTCGATTTAACAGCACCTAATCAACAATATTTACACGGATTTTATTCAGATTTGTACACGCCTGTTTAGATAACGAATGTTCTATAATTATTTTCAGGTCAGTCGACCCGATCAACATGTCCAATCATTCTATTGATCTCTACTATTTTATCATGAGCCCTCCTTCAAGGGCGGTTCTGATTACAATGAAAGCGCTGGGTATTAACCCTAACATTATAGTAACTAATCCCATGGCTGGGGATACAATGAAGCCGGACTATTTGAAGGTATTTCAAAAAAAACGCTTGTATAGGGGGTTTTTATATTATTTTCATTTTTTATAGTTGAATCCTCTACACACTATTCCTACGATAAACGATGAAGGATTCGTGCTGTATGATAGGTAAAATAAAAATCATTGTACTAAATTTACAATCCTGTGAATCCCAAGCATATGTATAATAACCAAGCCTTAAAAAATGTTTATTTTTTTCCACTAGGTACATAAACGGGTATAAAGTTCCAATAAAATAAACTTTTAAAGTTCTCGCAATTTTAAAAAGTAGACATATGTATTTTTAAAGTTTTTAACAAGGTACATTAGAAACCTCATTCATGATTTAAATCATCTAAACCTACTAGAAAACTTGTAGAAGGAAACTTGAAAATTTATAACCTTTGTTCTCTAGTTAACAATAATTAAGCATTTCCACCGAAATCATTACTCGCTTTTTATTATACGAAAACATTCAGGCACCCAGTAATCAACGGCAGTAATCAATTTTCCGATATTTCTCGATGAAAAAACTGGCTCAATCGACAAATATGAAATTTTCTTAAATAATTCATGAACTTTCGTCTTAAAATTGCTCATTTACAGCGGAGCCATAATGAAATATTTAGTAGATCAATACGGAAAAGACGACAGCTTGTACCCCAAGGATCCCAAGAAGGGCGCCAGGGTGGCCCAACGGCTGTTTTTCGTATCGGGAACGCTTTTCCCCGGATTTTTCAAAACACACGTAAGCATTTATCAACTACATTAATCATTACTCTGATCATTCCGGTGTGAAAATTTAGATTCCTGTGGTTATGGGAAGAACCGCGGAGGAAGCTGACAAAGAAAAGCTCAGAGAAGCTTTAACTTACATGGATAAACTTTTGGAGGATTCCAAATGGATGGCCGGCAATAGCATGACTGTTGCCGATTTTGCTGTGATCACCCTATTATCTACAATAGAGGTATAAAGAACCTGCCATGTGTGTTAAATTGTAATGAAGAAAGGACCTTTTTTATTTTTAGTCATCGGGATTGTTTGACGTGTCTTTTTATCCCAATCTGTGGCAATGGTTTCAACAATGCAAAAACGCAATGTCCAGCTTCGGATACGAGGAAATCGTGCAAGCTGGTGCAGATGCATTCGGTGGTATGGTTAAAAAATCTGCCGAATAATGTACTCGAATGTTATTAAATCAATTCTATGCAAGGCTCTACAATTTTTAAAGTACTTACTACTCGTTTAAATTTAATCACGATAAAAATAAATGTTACGTTGGTTCAGATAGTATTTTTATTATTCATCTTTTGTACGTTTGCGCTAATCATCCTTAAATAAATCGAATGAAATAAATATTTACACTAAGGAATATGTTAAAATAATTTTATAAAAAATAAATAATACTCAGTTTTAACGCGTGAAGATCACAAAATTGCAGTCGTAAATGCTTTCATTGTCTATAAAAAATTATTGTAAAGCTCTATTTTCGGTGTTCGGAAGAAGGAAGCTCAGTATTCCTCCAACTAAAAGAAAAAAATTCAATCACTTAGGCTGCTTGCAGTTTCATAAATTTAACATAAACAAAGATATACTAGTGCGACTTATTCGCAACTCGAGTGCATCTTTAAGGAAATTGAATTATTAAATAAAAAAATGAGAATTTACCTGCTACTGCTCCTCCGACCACGAAGAACGGTGGCGCGCATCCAGCTTTCAGAAGCATGGGAAATATTAAATTTCCACAGGTGATTCCCAGCCGAGCGATCGCCATTATCAAAGACACAGTAAAAGCCCTAAACAAACATACCGTTAGCGCTACAATTGCGATAAAATTCATTTCCTCACCTCAAAGTCGTCGGGAAAACATCGACAGTAATGGCTAAAACTACGTTACTCCCGACGTTTCCACAAGACACAAATACCGATGTCAAGACAGTGGTTAACACGGTGCCTTTGGCTATGTACAGAGACATGCACGATATGGCTCCCACGAAAGCTAAACAAACTGCAAGAAATTCTTGTTAAATACAGTTTTTCTTATTGCACATTTAAGTACTCACTCAACACTTTCTTCTTCCCCACTCTCACTATTACACTTGCCGTTAAAATATAACAGGAAATCGAAAGTGAAGACACTAACATGGAGTTAATGTAAACGCTCGATTTACTGACGTTCTGTAAAAGAATATTCATGAGAGCCTCTTCATAGCTTCTTTATAGTTAACTTACTTGAGCTACACACGTGCCGTTCGTTGCGGAAGGTTTCAGCACCTCCAGCATCGTGCACAAATCAGTCGTGGATCCATTGTGGCCCATTTTGTAGTCCTCCAAGGCCTGGAAGAGCTGGGGCATCCACAGCCGCAGCATATTTAAACTGCAATGAATTGGAATAAGAATCGCAGCGATAAAAAAAGAACTCATTCGTTCACCTGGTCAGGAACATGACCTCGATGACGGCTATCAGGAGGAAGTTCCCCAAGTAAGGGGACCTGAACAGCGGAGCGAAGTTCTGCAAACCCTCGTTCACTGCGTAAAGTTTGGATTTGTGGTCGATGACCGAGGCAACATCGTCTTCATCGTCTTCTTCCTCTTCCGTTTTGTTCGATGGAATTTCTTGGATTAGCTCTTTTATCTATTGAATATTGAATAATCACTAAATAAAAGCATATGATATTGTTCAAATGCGTTGAACAGTTAAAGCAAAGACTCGAAACAAGGTAAAAGTTCAAAGAAAACTTACAGGATAGGTTTCAGGGGGTTTACCCGTATTCCAGCTGTAGACAGTTTGTAGCACTTCCATAGCTTTCTCATTTTCACCAGAGGTCATCAAGTATTTGGGACTCTCCGGCAGGAAGAAGAATATGATTCCACTGATGAATGGGGCCAAACCAGTCAGCATTAAGAAAATATTCCAAGAATTCAAAGCTGAAAGGTAATAATTTTTAGGAATCACTTTTTGTTTCATTCACGGTAAATTTTCTTACTAAAATTATGAGAAGTCCAATGGATGGGCAATGGTAGAATACCCCAAGCAAGAAGGGGTAAGACAATTTGCGCCAAGCTCGTCAATGTGCCATTCATCAATTGTATTCTCGACCGGTATTTAGACGAATGGAATTCGCTTAAATACGCAATCATAGCGGAAAATGGCCCGTTGATTCTAAAACAAATCGTTCGGAAAATCCTAATTTCTCTGCGTTTAATTTGTACTCACATGGCGCCACCTAAGAATTTGCAGATTATCAACATGGTGAAATTCTGCGAAAGAGAGCTCAGGAACACCACCGTGGCGTCCATGAAATACCCGACGATCATGAGCCTTCTCCTCCCGAAGGTGTCCAAGAGAAAACCCCAAATAAACGAGCTGGATATCATGCCTGATACGATGAATATTAGTATCGATTATTCGATTAAATTTCAGTGTACGAACCTGCGAACACAGCTGAATTCAAATATCCTTTATCCTGCAGGGATAAATCCAAATCGCATTTGGCCGGTGCGAATATGTAGGACATGGTGGTGGTTTCGAACATGGGGGAAAATATTCCACAGAAAGCCAACACCATAAGCATGATGTTGAATTTCCCGAAGCCTGTCTTTCGAACTGCATCTTCGAACGACGATGGCCCCTGAGCTAAAGAATCGAAAAAGTAACACAAATGAGCAGAAAAAGAAGTGTATTAGTAGAAAAAGTACAGTGGTAGAGGAAGTGTAATAGCAGAGGAAGTATATAACTCACTTTCCTGCTGATAGTATTTTTGTAAACTACTCCACGACAGGAGAAATTCGTCTTCAGAATACTCGAAGTGGTTCATTTCCACATGATTTACCACACGAAACTACGAAAACTGTGTTGTTTTGTTTTCGAATTTGTGCGTATACAAAAATTATCATCGGCTATTTATCAACAAATAATTATTAATTCCGTACGTTCTTTGAGGATGCACAAATAAGTGTTATTTTTCGCCTTGTTGGAAAATTACGCGCGTCATTTGGTTTCGATTAATCGAATTTTTCAATCTTAATTACCTGACTTCTGGTTAGCGCTCACTCGAGTTGAGCATTTTAAAAATAGCCGATTAATTAATTCTATGATTTGTAGTACTTTCGGGTACTCGTACTAAACAGGCTGCTTTCGACGCAATAACAACAAAAAGATTTACATTAAAACCGCTGATAACATAATTGGTATTAAAAATCATTAATAAAGTAGCTTATTAGTGATTCGAGTTGCGATAAATGGAAAATTTCGAAGATTTTATTGACTTTTGATTAGAACATTGTGTGTAATTACCCTATCGAACATGCGGAGAAATGTAAAATCACGTGAATGTCACGATTCCCACGATAATCACTTTAATGATACTAATTAAATCTGATTAAATCCAGATTCTTCTAATTATAATAAAGAGATACCATTCACACACTTCATTTGAAGTATCTTCATTTTATAATAATCACAATTTTCAACTTTGTTCCAAATTAAGTCATTTCGTCGATTACGATTCTTTGAGTAATTAAATATTAAGTGGCAATAAAAAAGTTTTATAACCATCGATCGATATTTGACGGAGAGTTTTTTGGACTCGGAAAATTTACTGGATAAGATTCATGGACGTGTGGAAAATTGGATCATTCGTTGCTCAATTAAGCTAATTGTTTTTAAATTGTATCCGAATTCAATAAACAAATAAATCTAATTAGTTTAAAATATTTATTAAATAGTAAATTTGAACTGAGAACAGTAAAATATACGTTCAACTGAAACATACATTTCTTCTAATTTTAAATTAATTAAAGAAGTATAAGTAGGTTATAATACATGATGAGAGAATCTACAATAAATCTAAATATGCAATTTGTAGTATACCTTTTATTTGAGAGATAATTCCTAATCAAAACCTTTGATAGCAAACAAATAGGTAACACATTAAATAGCAAATAGGTAACATAAATTTACAACACAATGCAATTACATACCTTTATTAATACTAATCAACGAATACAATTCGTTTGGTTTTTTAATACTCTCACTCATCCTCTCTTTTGAAATGCACGCCCGACTTGATGGCTTTCTTAAGAAAAAATGAACGAGCACCCGGATCGATTCGATCCAATTGACTATTTAGATTAGCTTTTATTTGCCTAAAACGTTTAATTTTCGTTTAGTAAGTTATTTAAATACAAAACGTCAACACTTGTTGTTATCAGCTTTGTTCATCAAAAATTCGCATAAATGGATTTGTTTGATAACATTTACAGAACAATTAATAGGGAATACGTAGAACATCGTGTGTATTGCACAAGAGGACACCAAGGAGATTTAAATTTAAACCCAACGATAGGTATCGCTTTGCCAACAACCTGGATGTAAATATAACTTGTTGGAGCGGATTTTTTGCGTATATAGTAGATTTTTGAGTTTGAACTGTTTTGTTGTTGTTTCGTAATATTATTTTACTAATTTATTCGTTGTTGGTTTGTATAAATAATTAGAATCTTAACTGTAAATGGGTTTTATGATTGTCAGTGAGTGTGTTTTTAGGAGTTTCTATCAGAAGTGTTAATTGTTATTAAGATTTTACAATATATCATAATAAATATCACTAATTATTGTTTTTTATAGTTTTACAAGTTTTACAAAAGGATTGATATCTTTTACTATGTTTTGGTGATGTGACAGTTTTCAAGGTTTAAAAAGGTATATAGACTTTACTAATGGAAAAATAAAATTTCATCATATTAAAATTCGCTGGTATTAGAAAAAATCTATTTATTCTGATTTAAAATTAAGTAGCTACACACTTAATACAATCGAAGTTCCTATTAATCCTAATCAAAATCACATCTACTCCAATTGCGCGGGCGCATCATCAAAACCCATCTCATTCCAAAAACAGCTGCTTGTAGGGCACTTGGGTGAAGACCTTCGAGAACAATTCGTTGTGAATTATGAGCAGCGTCTCGGAGATGGACGGCTTCAGATCGTTGTTGACGATCTTCCAGTTCTTGTTCAGGATTTTATTGACCTGCTCACCTACGGAAACGAGGCAATCGTTCAATCGATCGTTAACCAACGGAAGCGGAACTTACTTATCGCTTTTTCCTTGTTGATGACGTTCTCGAAATGGTACTCGACGCCTTCTATGGCGTAATCGAAGTTGCTGCCGATGATTTTGCCGTACTCCACGCCGTTTCTTTGCTCTGTCGTCCAGTGGAAGCCGTACTCGTAGGTGCCTTTAGCTGGTACAAAAAAATATTTGTTCAAATGTAGCGGTTAATTTTATCGTTTATCACACTTACATAAAGTAATATTCACAGCTCCGTGTCCATTTAAGGTGAAAATTAAAATTTTCCCGTTGATTGTGTAGTTGCCCAAAACGACCAGCCTGGGTACAGTGCTTATTACTTTGGCCGTTCTATGCGCGAAATCCACACTAAAAACCATCAATATTACAAAGATAACATTTATAACAGACTTTAGCGAGTATATTTATGAAAAATGCTGACCTAATATTAACGGGTTCGGTGAATTCGAGCCCGTAGACTTTTAGATTCCCAAGATGCACGTTGAAATTGTTGGCGCCTTTGATGTCGATGGCGGATATCATCAGCGGCGTGAAACTCGGAAGTTGTAATTTTTTATCGCCTGAAACGGACAAATCACGGTTACAAATTACGATCCGAAGAGCGCGTTAATAAATCCTAGGGTCACGCTGTGAAAATCGTCGGTCGTGCGTCATTTATTAAATTATTTCACTATTTTTAGAAGGATGTAAAATTTATGAGGGTACTCGTCGATTTTTTATGGTGTCTTTTAGACTCCAATTAATTCGCGGTGAAATATCACTGCCTATTCGCTTTATTAATTAACGGAAGGTCGTAAATAATTAACCGTCGAATTTTCGTTAGATCTTCTATACGCATTCGCATAATATACTTTGTTTACCGGCGCCACGTGGAAACGGACAACCGTGAAAATTCATAAATATTCAGACCAGTAAATGGCTCCATTTGTCTCGAAAAAGAAGGTGGAATTTGCGATGCTACAGGATGTAATTAACGTACCTTTTAACATGTGTGGAATAGCTTCTTTGGCGTGTTTCAGAGCGCATTCGCTGAAATTGCCGGTCTTCGAGCATGGTTTGATGTAGCTTGCTGCAAGAGAATACAAATAAATAAAAATTGTTTAATATGGAAAAATGTATACAGGGTGTTTAATTGGTGGGAGTTTACAATGACAAGTTTCTAGTGTTTTATATGCTTAAAAACATCCTCTCTTATTATTCCATCTTTCCATCTCTCGTATTAAAATTAGTAAAATAATTAGACAGAAAAGTAGTTCAATAAATTTTAATATTATTTATTATTTAATGAGCCGGTACTGGATTTTTCAATTTTCTGATATGTTATAAGCACAGTTACCTACGTAAATAAAAAAACCTAACCAGCCTAAAATAACCGGCAATATCCCATTTAATTTAATTTGTAGCATCCAAAATATTCATAAAACAAGTTTCGAGCTCATAATTTAACACTGGGGACAGAATTTGCGGAAAAACGAATACGTCAAATCTTTAGAATTTTGTACTATCTAATAAAATACCCTACATAGTAAAAATTCCGCGAGTAGTTTAAAATAATAAACAAATCTTACGTAAATCCACAGCGGTAGCCGCGCCGATGAGCAAAATGACGAGGAAAGTTTGAAGCATTTCGAACAATTTTCTGGATGCACCACCGAATTCTGAGGTTACTGACAGACTGAAAGTAGTGAAAATGACTTATACTTATGGGAGAAGAACCTACAGACACAGACCCATGACATTAAAAGCTAATTAACGAGGTTTCGGTACTTTTGTTTGGGATTACCTACGTCTGGGTACTAATTACTTGCAACGTAAAAGTTTTGGGGAAAACAGTATTGTTCGAATTGTTTTGGGATTATTACAAACAGAATTTTTATGTTCTCACAATGAAATTTGTCAATACTAAAAGAAATATCAAATGATGAAAAATACAAAATATTTGCATATTGGTGCATTTCAAATTCGGTATGAGATATAAAAATGTGCGTAGTAGGTTCAAATTTTTAGATAGGTGAAATTATAAGAAATTGTATCAAAAGTGATTGTATAACCATATATTTTTTTACCTACTATATAAAAAATTTAATAAATAAACAATTTGTTACAATGTGTATCAGTACCTAATAATTAAAGATATTTAAGACGAAATAATCATATTCATTAATATTAAATATGTTTATAATCTTTTAGTAGGGAACTTTGATCACCGACACTCAATGAAAGCATCAATTACAAACACAATTGATCATTACCCGCAATTATTCTTGATTGGATAATAACTCTGAAATATAATATATCATAATTTGGGTAATTCAACTAACAATTACTACAGATAAGTGTCAACTAGAAGTTAGAATTCAGCACCTTTGAAATCAATTAATGGGCCAATTATTTCGTATTTTTGCTACTTCATTTCTCACCCAATCGTATAAAAATGGAAAATATGCGAATCCCGCCGTCATTGCTCATTTTCTTGTGCTGCAAAATTTTTTGAAGATGCTACGCGGTAGTTTGTTGATTTTCTTGGTGTTGTGCTTCCTGGAAGCCACTTCGACCTTTAAGATTCGTAAGTTTTTCATTTAGTTTCTAAATATTCCCATCTAAAATATTTAATTTCAATTTCAAATTGTTGGTTTTTCTTGAACTTTCAAGTGGAGTTAAAATTTTTGTTTGGTTTAATCAAGGCGAAATTTTTTGATAGCTGCGTTTTGATAAATATAAAATTACTTCTTGAATAAAAACTCATTAAATAAAATTGGAAATTCATCAAGAAATCTTCACTATAGAGCTAACCCAACTCAAAACAATTTTATTCTTCTTGTGATTTCATTTGGTCTTCTTCCTCTTCTGGCCATCCAAAAATTTTATGTTACAATCTTTCGGTGATATATGGTCAAAAAACCGATTGTAGAGGAATAAAACAATGCTAATAAAATTATGGTGCGCCCCTGATGAAAGAACACATAAGTGCGCGTCAATCGCTTGCGGAGTTCACAATTAAAATGCGAACTTGAGCCGTTTTCTTCGTACTCGAACGAAAATAATACGACACTAACATATTTATTAGGCGATCGGAAACAATGGTTTAAATAGGATATAATAATAATAATATCGTACTTCTTAGAACAAACCTGTTTCGATTTTTTGCGCATAGTAAACAAATATAAAACGGGGAGCAATTAATCGGATCGGAGCAGTTGGTTGGATTTTACATTGTAGTCAATATAGGACTTCGGGATATATTTTTTTTTAAAATGAAGTCTTCGGCCGCGTTCTTGTTTTTACCTGTATTTTTCGTTTGCGTTTCGTCCAGACGATTGCAGTTGCGTAAGTTGCATTTTATTAATTTTTTAAATTGCTTAATGATAATTATATTTAAATTTTTAGATTAGTTTTAGATAGTTACTTTCTCTTAGTCTATGAATTTTATTAGGTTATTATATCAGAATTATCTTGAATCTATTAAATATTCAATTAATAGTTTATTAGTTTAATTAATATTTTAATAAACTAAGAATAGTAAACAATTGAATCATTTTTTTGTTGATTAGTGTAGAAATATTTTTATCTTTAAATTGTTTAATAAGTAATAATTTTATTATTAGTGGAAAGTTACCGTTTTGTCGAATTGTCGTTTTCAGGAAAATTTTAAGCTTAACCAGTTTTTAAATCTTGTTCTACTGATTAAATTTGAATTAACCGCTTAAAAGAAATAATTTATTTTGACTCTTTTTGTATTGTCCAGCTAGCAATAATTGGATTTCACCAATTAAAACATAATTTTTAACCGTTGTAATTTATGCGAATTTCCTTCATATTACTTGATTTTCCGGTTTCATTTACATAAATTATAGCCATCAGGATATTTACAAATTTTTGGTAATTCTCATCGATTTAATTTCCTTCATTCTAGCGACCTACTCAAATATTCACTAATTATTTAGTAATTTCAGTAATATTATAACAAAAATTCCAGGCAATTCTACAAAACCTGTAAATTTTACAAAAATTTACCACAAGTTTCTAACAATTTTCCTGTTTTTCCAGCGTCCTACATAAAACCGTGCTCGAGAAGTGCCCCCGATTTCGAACAGTGTTGCCTGACCAACGGCCGTGCGGCGTTGCCGTTCATCCTGAAAGGCGACAAGAAATGGGGGATTCCAAGGATGCTGCCGTTGGGGATCCCGAGGATCAATGTCAACGCCGGGAACAACTTCAACATACTGCTCACTGACGTGCTTGTTTACGGCCTGGACTCGGCCGATTTGAAGCAAGTAAAGTGAGTAATCAGCAGGATTTTTCGACTCGAGAAGCGATTAAATTATCGTTTGTTTTTTGTTGTAGAATCGACACGAAGAATAAGAAAATAATGCTGAAAGTGAACATACCGTCGTTGGAGTTGAAGGGCAATTACATTATCGACGGGAAAATTATGGTGTTGCCTATAAAAGGAAACGGAACCATTGAGATTTCAGCTAGTAAGTAATTAACATTGATTCGCGCAAGTTTGGTATATTCAATGCGATTTTTATCTGCTCCTAGAGGGAGGAAAATACTCGTACAACATGGAATACGGACTGCAAAACATCAAAGGGGAGGAATACTTGTTGCTAACGGACAAAGATAAATTGGACTTCAAATTGGATGGTCTTCGATTTAAATTAAACAATCTCTTCGATGGTGATCAGAAATTAGGTACTTAATCAGAAATACCTCGAGTTTGTTTAAACATATTTACGGTTGGTTATTTATTAGGTGATCAAATGAACAACTTCTTGAACGAAAATTGGGAGGAGGTTTTGAACGAATTCGGGCTGCCTATCAGCGAGACCGTCCGATCGATAGGGAGATCAATAGCTTCGGCCTATTTCAGAAAATCCCCGTACAATGAATTGATTTTAGAATGAATCAAGCTTTAATGTTTTTAATAGATAGATTTTAACGATAAATAAATATTATTTTAATTGCAATTTTGTTGTATTATTTCTATAGCTTCTTCGTTAAAAAGATGTTGGAATGATATGAAAAATGAGCTGTAGATAATGAGTTAGAATTTGAAAATTTGACTTCAGTACAAAAAATAACCAGAAAGAGTCCAACATAAAGTACCTATGTTTAATAATTCGACTCAGAATCAAAATTTTGAATTAATCGAAAATAATTCATTCTAATAACTAAACATCCGTTTTAGTAATGTTTATAGTTAATAATATTCACATTTAAAAATCTTAAGTACCACTTACATATATGTAGTACTTTGATCCCAGCAGATTTTTTTAGGGTGTTTATAAGATTTAAACAAACTCTTCGAGCAAATAGATGTTTTATTAAATATTGTTTGCATAGATAATTCAACAAAATCGTGCGGCAAATTTAAAGGCTCTCCAATCGGTTTTTTGTCAATGAATTTTTCAAGGTGTATGGGCAAATCAATTTCATGCAATAAATATTTAAATTAGTTTTTTATGCGCACTCAAACGAAAATCATCTTTCCGTATACGTCAAACTATTACTTTTATTTGTATATTCTAATTTTTTCATACCTTTTATACATACTAAAATGTTTTATTGAGGATGAAAGTTCGTATTATTGATTATTATAAGCACATAAAAGAATAAAAAGTATTTTATTAAATGATAAATAAACACTTAATTTGTTCAATGCCGGTGATTCTAAGATGGATGAGAACAGGAACCTTCTTTATATGAAAATTAGAAGTAAAATATTTTTATAAAAGGCATGAAATGCCTTATGAAATGTATTGATTGAAAATTAGTTAAATTTTCGTAAAAGTTTTCATTCTGCTAATATTTCCAACGATTTAAAGAGACTTTTACCAAAGAAAATTAGAGAGGGTAATTTGAAAGAAGAGAAAACAATAATTCGATATCATTTCTTCATTTAATTTAAACATTTAATTTTTCGTACATGTTCTAGACTTATTATAAAGATTTTATGCTGTTTATTTTCAACAAATTAGGTACACACATTAATGAAATACTTGTATATTTGGATCATATTTAAATAGTTAGATATGGTTTATTTAATTCATGCACCTATAAACTCTCGCCACAAGCCAATGCTTGGTTCAAATAATTTCAATCCGAAAAATTAACATAACATTCCAAAGAGAAAAATAATTATTTTACTCAGCACAACTAGATAGGTATATTTTATTAGGAATAAAGACCGTCACCTACGCGAAGAGTGAACGTCATGCATTCATAAACCGGATAAAACCACTATATTGACTGACTGTACATTATGCCATGTTTAAAATATCAGCTGCGTATCGCCTCCAACGAAAAATCCGTCCATCTAGATGTAGCAGGGCGGTAGGGCGCAGCTGGCGGCGGCGCTCCTCGCCGGCACGGGGGCGTCGTTCTGCGCGCCCTCTGCCGTCGACTGCTTCTGCTTGCGCCTGTTCAGCTCGACGTTCGCCTCCTGGATGGCCTCCCACAGCTTCGCCTCCGACATGATCTGCCGCGAGAGGTCCTCGACGGCCGGCTCGGCGCTCAGCTCCAGCAGGCTGTTTATCGATTCGTCCATCTCTTCGCCCTGGGAGGTCAGCGCCGGCAGGTTGGAGCGCTTGCGACCGCAACCTGGTGCGATTAGAGCGACGATTAGGCGGGCTGATTGACCGGAGAAAGGAGGATTTTTTGGACGACCCGTTTTTGAATGCGATGGGGATTGATGGAGAGGTTGTGGTTGTCAAAAGTATGAATTTAAACCACTATTAAATGATTCATTTTGTATATACTCTATAATTAGATTGGGATGATTGAGGCATTTTTTCAGGAGTTGGCAATAATTTTTTGTTCGATAAAATCACGTTTTTTACGTAGATAATTTGTAGAAATTGCATCTCCTAAACAAAACGGACTTTCAAAAATTATGAAAGGACAAAATATTCTTAGAATAGGCAAAAGAACAAACCCTTGAATCACTTTAGTAAATAATTTACTGCTGAATCTTTGTAAAAAATCCCAATCATTAAAGTGCCCATTTATGTGCAGATGAGAGTTTGATGATTAAAGTGTATTAAATACGTCCCACTTCTGATCCCTTTTCTGATTTCGCTTCAAATCGCCTCTAATGGGCTAGATAAATTGTTTTTGGGACTTTACTCACCGGTAAACGCGTTGCAGAACGGCCGTTTGTTCGGCTCGATAAACACCCTTTCTCTTGTCAGGTAGGGATAGTTGCCCTTAAAATCGGAAGAAAATTTAATTGTGCAAACTTGCCCGACCATTTAAATTACCTTCTTCGGAAGAAACATTTGCACGGTTTCTGGCACGAGCATACAAATAATTAGAAGACCCGATGTGATCAAAAGCGGAGACGAAAACGTTGTCATTATACCTGAAAAGTAAATAAACTATACATCACAACTAAATCCAATTAAATCGTTAAAGACTGTCTATTAATAAAACCCAATCTCATATAAACCCTAATAAGTTTTCCTTTTCCATCGAAATTACCGCATTACAAATATCGCCCGGCGAAACGGTACATCGGGAGAGTGATAAATGAGCGCGGGCCCGGTTATTGTCCGGAGTACGGGGGGCGATGCGGCGGGGGTGTCGGGTCGACCTCCGCCGGAGCACGACAATGAAACCCTCTCCGAGCCCGCCGCTCCGGAATGCGGGGGCGGGGGCCACTTAGTCCTTTCCGGCGGCCGCCCGCCGCTTCCTAATCGTTTTATAAGCTTTGATTGTGTTCGCCGGTCGGCTCCGGGATGAGCGGGAGACCCCTCGTTGACGGGGGTCGATGTCGTCTCTTGCCTGCCGGGACTCTTCCACCGAATGCAATTGTCCTCGCGGAGGAATTTTCGTTATTATGCCGCGCACTCGAAGCCGCGTATAAAATTATTGCGGGGCGAATGAATACAATATTTTGAAAAATTAGTGTGTGCTGGGAAATTGAGAATAATGTTCATATTCTTAGGCTATTTGATTATGCTACGAACTAATTGTTATCCAGAAGTTAAAAAAGGATATTGAAAATAGCCATATTCTATCTCATAGAATGAATTGTCTAGTTTCTAATATTAGGCAAAATGATAATGATACATGATGATATGAGAAGATAATTGTCTTCAAATTTCAGTTCCTTAATTAGATACCTACTCATTTTGAAAATTTCCGAGAGATTAAAACTACCTATTTTGATCAGTATAGGTATACAAAGATTGATAAGCTATCTTATAGAAAAGAAACCATTTTTATGAAACTTTATCATCAGACGGCATCAGAAAATGTTGATAGGTTTGCCAGAATTTAGAAAGCATTGATGTAGAATGTAGATATAAATTATATTTGCTATATTCACTTTCAATCAGGAATTATAATCAGATACCCTTAAATATATCCAAGAACCAAAAATTTGAACTTCTCTAAAAAACTTCATAGCCTGGATTTAAATACAATTGTGTTACAATTTTAGAAAAAAAACTTTTCTGTCATAATTTCCTTATTACTCCAGATATTTTTATGAAATTTTTTATTGTACACACTTTTTATAATTATTAAGGAGTATTTTTTGAGACAAAAGATTTTTAAAAATTTTTACAAGTGACGTCTGTACGGGGTTTGAACTGAATATGTTTGATGAAAAAATTGTTCGGCACTGGTTTTTCTAAAAACCAAAATTATTTTTAAGATCCTTATTTATTTTGGAGCAAATTTGGTCTGAAGACTTACTTACGTACGACGCACCATTTTCGCATAAAAAAAATAAAAACCAAAACAATTTTTTCCCAAGTTCATTATGACTGATTATTTTGATATTTTGTTGAAATTTGGTAGTTTTTTTTCTAGAACTGCAACACCCTGTAGCTCGAAAACTAAGAGGTTTAGGATAAAAATGCGCCAAGTATGAATAAATAAGAAAGAGAATTTATGTAGATATATCTAGGTACCTAACACATATTTTCAAAAAAGGAGGAACAATATGATTGTATTATGGCATAAATAATTGCTATTAAAATAAGTTAGTATAACTTGCAACATATTTATTTATGTATAAAATTTCTTACCTTATATTAATATACAATACAGCTCGTACCAATAACCGAAATCTAAATAACCCGGCGACTTTTAATTATCCCTTTTATATGTAGACGGGATATTATTAACCGATACCACCCCCTGTGTCCTGATCTGCGCAATCGGCGCCCCCTCGAACTCCTTTTTTTTATTTGCCGGTCGTTCCGAAAACACTTAATCGGGAAAACGTTGTCAACAACATTCGACGCCGGGGATTTTTCCTCCGGGCCGACTTGCGGTCGATTTTCGTGGCAGTTCAGGGTTAACGAGAAAATTGAACGCCGCCGAGGAAAACGCTGATGGAAAATCGCCGAGGTCGATGGAAAATCGAAATTCATATCAAAAATTGTACATATTATATCACTGGAAATACTTATTCGCGCTCTGGTTTAATGGAACAATTTATAATCATAATTAACCATCCTAAATTTGTCAATAACAGCAGGTATTCGATTTTATTATACACTAACTGTACCCATCAATTTGTAAATACATCAGCGCATTACGTGGAGTTCAGCCCTTTTTAATTAGTTACGTCAAAGCTTTGTCCACGCCGGATTTGCTCCATTTGCAATCTCTTTTAATCCTAAAGAAGCTTTTCATCATTATACCTGTTTGATTCCCGTTACCTAACCGTCGGTATCGATAACAAGATAATCGCAACGCGTTACATCAAAATAAAACAAACCAACTAAATCCAGATAATTAACATAAAATCTTCCGCTCGGGCTAAGCGATCCGGATTTAGGACGGGAGTTGCGGAAAGGAAGCAGTTTTATACCGGCGTTTCGGCAGCGCTAATTCGAGCGGAAAAAGAATCCGTTTCCAATTTCGAGCGTCGGCCGGAACAAGGCGCCCCGACGCCGACGTCGCGGGAGGCGAAGCGTCTCCGTCGGCTGCATATATTGGATGATTCCCCGACGAATTCGCCGCACGCTCGGTGCACTTTTAACTTTTTCATTTTGAATTTAATAACGCCATTTCGACCCGCCCGCATTGCATTCTCCCGAACGGGAACCCGGATAATTAAATGCGGCGAATCCGGATAATTTGCCGGCTCGACGAAATGGTTAGTTAAATTTAGAATGCCAATTCTCGTAGTATTTTCTTTTATTGCGTGGAACAATTTTTGCTAAATGATTGAAGGTTCTTCAAATGTGCCTGGGGCTAATTAAGACTGTTTCTGGTTAATTCCTAGTTTAAATATTTCTTTCAGTACCTTCCAAATCAGGACCTATCTGAACCGCTTTAATTACTCATCTAATCCCTTCCACATAAACTCACCTTGGACAATTCTACGCAAAATTGATATCCCCCAATTCCGTCAGGAAGTTCAAACGCCGGATCTCCGGGTCAGAGCGTAAGGAAAACTCAATCTCCCCGCCGGCTCCACCTCTGCCGAATCCCATCCCGTCGCAGATTATGTGGTTACATAACATTATTACGGAATCGTCCGGGGCGCTTCCGCGATATCGCGGGGCCAGGCCCCGCCTTTCCGGGATCGTCTTCGCGTCGACGGCGCAGGAGCGCCGTGTGGCCGTCGGGACGCCCCCGCCGCTCGGCCCGACCTCCGGGGAACCGACGCCTATTTGGTATTCAAGCGATAGGGTTTATTATGCGACGTGTAATTAGCTGGGATAGGACGACGGTCTAATGTCATCTTCCGGTTGAGTTTTTTTTTAATTGGTTGAGGTGGATAATTAATTAGTTAACTGATGTTTGGATTATTAGAGTTGTTTACTAATTTAGAGATCTCAAAATTCCTACCATTTTGTCTGTTTCTTTAAGTATTCCGGATTAACAATTTTGGTATTTTATTGAGTATTTTGAACATTTTCCGCTGTTTGAGTAAAACGTTTAGTTTGTTGCCACATCATTGAGCGCTTTGATCACTTTAAATATTCCAAATATTTCTAATAGAACGGATTGAATGGAATTATACAAACATTTTGACTACTAAATCAATTTACTATAACCATCCTTCGCAAACTAACGAAATAACTAACCCACAATAACTACCCCAAAAAAAATCCAACCCTCCAAAACCCTAAGAATCGAGCTAATACAACACAAAAAATTCAAACAAAACATCCCGTTGCTCGGCGCTAGAAAACCCCCAAAACGCACTATCCGGTTGTCTCATTAGGCGAGCCCCGTGCAGTTGTATAGGGATGCGATGGGCCCTTCGACGCCGCGGGGGAGGACCCCGCCGATGACTCCACCCCCCGTTCTGCGGTCTGCTGACAAAGGGCCATTTGGGGTGGGAGACGGGGGGCGGCAGATGAGCTACACCTTGTTTTCAGTTAGCGTTGTCAGTTACATTATGACCGGAGATAACTGACTCTTATATCATTGACGAAACGTCTTAATTTGAGTTAATAGAGTCTGCTCTTGTTCGCTGTGCTGTGCTCGTGGTCGGGATTTGCTGTAGAGATTCGTAAGTTCGCGGAATGTTGGTTTGTTTCTAGTGTAAAAATTTACTTGCCTGTAAAGAGTGCAATGTGTTAGAAATTAGTGAGCAAAATTTCATAAGCCAAAATAAAACCAAAGAAGCTACTAGTTGGTTCATTACTGTAGAGATTTTGGGAATATTGCTTACCAATTTGGATATTGTAGTGATTTAAGTTTAGTCTAGTATGATAACTGTTAGATAAGGTGTGGATAATTATCTATATCATTTGAATATCACCCATCATTACAGATAAAGTGATGGAATAACGCATTTTAATGTTCTAAAAAATGTAACTAAAAATATCGACTCTTAATTAATTAGGTAAATTTAATAGCAACTTTCCAATCGCCATTAAAAACTCTAAGTAACACTTAAAAGAGCATTTTATTGTCATAATAAACAGTTAATTCAACGATACAAAAAAGTATTCTTACAATTCCCAATTTCATTCCAGTCATTGCATGATGTAAGCTCTACCGTGCAAGCTCTAAATTCGCGATTTTCCAAGGCCTCATCGCACAGGAATGTTACATCACTACAATTACTCCACGTCTCTGAGCCATTTTCTGAGCTACCACCAGCTCGACGACCGTCCATCCGACTCGGAGCACCAGACTCAGAATTTATGCGACGACCTGCAGGAGGAGGACGACCGATGCAGGAGCAACTCATCGGCCAGCAGCAAATCCTTCACTATAGCTGCTATACTAGGTTTAAACAACGACAACAAATTAGGTATAGCAATCCCTTATAAAGACATTTTAATTTGTTTAGTGTCATTTCTTATAAGCGCTGCAATTTTGGGCGCACCGGAACTCCGCACCGAATTTACATGAATTTTAATCCGATATACAAATTCCCCGCCAAAAATTTACCTGCATGCTGCACTAATATCAGGCAGGAATTCCACACACTACTCTACTCCACTCTCTACCCCATTCTCCTTACTCTGTACCCTATACTCTCTCCTATCCTACTCTAATTTACTCTTAGTTTGTAGAAATTAAATTAAATTTTCCATTAAATTTTCAATTAGGTAATTTTTGGTGGGGAATTCCGGTGCACCGGCAATTTCATAGAGGTTTGTTGGGATTTGTTTCCAGGTAAGTCCGTGCACTCGCCGACCGATCTAAGTGTCGTGAACCTCTCGACGGGGGTGGGCCGCAACCCCCTGATCGCCGACTGCACTAGATTACAGCTTCCGGTGCATGTTACAGCCGCAGGAGCCGTCCCCGGGAGCCACTACGGCTCCGCTAACCCCAATGCTGCGGGCCACTCGGCCAGACACAATGGTAACGATTTCAGCGAATAACATAAATTGTATTTTAATTTCAATCGAAACTCTAACGCTCGCTTATCGAGCACCTAAATGGCTATTTTTAACCAGGAAATATCCCTTTATGGAGGAATTTTTAGCGCGAATATATTGTAGCGAGCGATTTGCAAGTGTAATTTATTTGAAAATAAATCGAAAAATTTTGCACTAAAAGGAATAATTTAACCGTTAAGTTTCGATAAGTGAAATCCTTGAACTTAGAGTGAATATGTTCGAAATAAATATACCTACATATATTTAGAATGGAATTAATTTGGCGGTTTATAAAAAGAATATTTAAATTCCTGGCGAAAATATAATAATATCGAAAGATCATTAACCCGAGGAATAAAATACGAGTGTAATTCTAGATCGAACCAGCTCGTCTCAAATCACCTTCTTTCTTAAGGAATTAAATTTCACTAACCATTCCGGTCAGGTAGAATGTTTATGTATCTATAGAAATTCAGATGGTATTTGTACAATGTGTAACAGCATAACTATTCTTGTTTATAAATAATACGACCAGGAGTACGTCAACTTGTTTTAAATATTTTTACCGCATGAATGAAGTATTCAATAAAATTCTATACGCACCTGCTCATTCATAACAATGTAATGTTCGTCATAAAAAAATAAAATAAACTTTTGATCTATCGAGAAAAGCGAAAAATACTTGCTACCAACTCAAGAATGTCGAATGTCCAATTTTCCAACATTTTAAGATTTCATTAAAAAAACAATAATAAAAATGTTCCCTCTTCGCAGTTCGAAACTCCCTAAAGCACATGTCTCAATCCGTCATGCAGCAGAGCAAAAAGAGTTGCAAGAGCAAAAGGGTGAGGACGATCTTCACGCCGGAGCAGCTCGAGCGGTTGGAAGCGGAATTCGAGAGACAACAGTACATGGTGGGGCCGGAACGGCTCTATTTAGCCCACACGCTCCAGCTCACGGAGGCCCAAGTAAGTGCGAATGTGCCTCGGTAAAAATCCCGGAACGTCTTAGTCCCGAGCGCGGGACCAGCCACTTAATTAACCGATTAAACGGCGCTTTTCAGGTGAAGGTGTGGTTTCAGAACAGGCGCATAAAGTGGCGCAAGCACCACTTGGAATTAACCCATCAACGTCTTGCGGTTCTCAAGCAGCAGCAGCTCATGCTCGACGAGACGCCGCCGGATGTGCAGGATACCAACAGCTCCGGGACGGATACGTGAGACCCGGAGTAACTTTTCACGTCGAAACGGGGGTTATCGAATTTCAAGCGGGTTGGTTTCAGGTTCAAAGATTCTTTTGAAGCTACAAGAGTTTTTGATACGTTTCCGTGTAATTAAATTTGTGTATTTAAAACATTTTTTCATCATCAACAAGGATTGCTGTAGACGTGAAAGACGATGCGCAATAGTTATTTATTATACGAATTTTGCGCAAGTCAGGTCTTCAGCTATTCTTGCATCGCTGTACCTACACACATAAATGTCGAGAATATTATAGATTATTATTTTGGGAAGATTAGTTAAATTTAGTTTCATTCTAAAGAAATAAGTATAAAAAATATGTACATATGCTAAAATGCGTTCTGTAAATATTTAAATGTTGAAATGATTTTTACTGTTTTTATGTTGAATTGCTTTATTAACATTTCTCAAAATTTACTCCACGTAGTGTAATTGTATACCAAAGTTTTTTCATTGTGATCTATTTATTATCAAATATTATTTCTATTACATTTTTATTGTGTTCATCTATGTAGATTTAAGAATGAATTGACATGTGATTTCAAATAAAAGTAGATAATTTTCCGTTATCTTTTATTCATTTGCCCACTCATCACATAAAAATTGCATAAAACACGTTTTTAATAACGTTCCGTAAATATAAAGAAAACTATAGGATCCTAATTTTCTTGGTAGAGAAAATTCTTCAACAACCCCATCACGAGAAAGTTCCTCGTTTATACTATGAGCTATAGTGTAGAAATTTACGTTGTCGCCTTTCATTATTTTTCATTAAGTGCTGGAATTAAATTCGCAAGTAATCCGACGAGGAGAAAAGCAAAATAATAGTGGTTCGAAAACATTCAAATAAATAATGGCGATTCAGGGCGCACAAAATTGTCCTTAAGGTCCTCTTCTTATACTAACTATTCGAAATAAGGGGCCGTAAATCTTTTTAAATAAGAAAACCCTATAACGGAACGTCCGGGCGTAATGCAGAGGAAAATCCAATAGCCCAGTGGCGTACGTGAATTATAAAAAAATCGCCAAACCCTATTAAAATTATACAGTTTTACATAATGGACGATACAAAACCCTTGAAGAATCCAGCAGGAATTGTTATACAATATCAGTCAATCAATAAATCAATTAATCAATGTACAGTTTCCCCAGTTACGTCAATATTAGCATCAGTCAGAGCTGATTTTTTTGTAGAAGTAATTCTGATTTCTCGAAGAAAACACGCAAGAATAACAAAAATGTCTATAGTATTATTGACGCAACACGACGAAAATATCTACGACATATTCAAGGGCAAGGAGACCAATGCCCGGCAGGTCAAATTGAGGTACAAAACTCCAGCCGATGAGGTGAAGATCGTTTACCCGGAACTGCAAGTGGAGAAGAAGAAGTACGGCGTGATGGGAGCTGCGAACTACGATTTACCAGATCCCCATAATTTTTTGAAAAAACGATCAGGTAAATGATGATAGACCTTCCGTGAGGATTCCTTGGGATCTTCCTAATGTATCCTTAAAGGAGCCTAATGGAGGGGAAGCACTGAATTCTCTTTGCCAGGTAAGCCGTGCTACCCGAAGCCCAAGAGCAAGAAGGAGCCCGCCAAGCCCTGCATGCCCCACAAGCTGCCCGACGTGCCCAAAACGAAGGAACTGGTGAAACTGTACAGCCTACCGAAGGACGATAAAGATTTCATCGTGAAGAACATAGACTGCGTGAAGGGCCAGCCCGGCAAGGAGCACGAGCCCTGCATGGTGACAGACAAGTACGGCAACAAAGAACCAGCGAAGGTACTCGAACCGCTGTACGTTAAGTGCCCCACGTTCGGCCAAACGCCCCACTACCTGAAGGCGTTCCTGAGGCAACGGGAAATCGCATTCCAGAAAATGAGGGAGGCTAAAGTGACCATCCAGCCGATATGCAAGTACCTCACCAAGCACAGGAGAACCGAATTACTCGATGTGAGTACTCACACTTTAAATAACTCCTGGAATTTGAAGGGTTCTTGTTTAGGGCATGAAACAGAATTGGGAGGAGCTGCAGAAGCAGTTCCAAGGTCTGTCTATATGCACGGATATTCTGCCGAAGATACTGCGAAAATCGAAGCTGGAGAAGCAGCTGAGGCAGTTGGAGAGGGACATTGTGCTGGTCGAAAGACATCCTTACATTTACGTGTACGACGATGAAATCGTGTAAATTACGTTATTTTAGTCATAAGTGCGTTGCGAGAAGATGGGGTTCGTTTCAGTCGAGGTGGGAGGGAAGCTAAATTTATTTTAAGAATAAAGTACAAACGTGGTTTCGTGAGAATGATAAGATGCCTTAAATTTTGAAGCGTATATTGCACGGGCTTCGATATTCTAAACTTTTTCCCTTTTACAGAAAAGGCATTGAAGTCTCTCTAATTGTATGTGTGTCTATTAGTTTAATAAATATATATATGAAATTTTGTGCCAAACCAAATGTGGATAATGCAAAAGTAATTTACAATACTTTATCCAGATGTTTAATTCATTGGGTAGGTACTTATCCCATTGAATTTTCTAATATTTTCGACAGAATGTTATGTTATGAAAATATAATGTAATATAATAACATTATAATTATTAAATATTAATTTATATAATATACATAATATACAACTTTTTTAAATAGTTCTTTGTTTAATAGGAATATTATTTGATCCCATCAGGATCATCTGAATGATCACCGGTAAAAGAGCAATGATTCTGGAAAACTTTAATAAATAATCTACGCTAATGTAAAATTGTTGTAGAAACTCGCAGATTATAAAATGATCGTTCCGGTGTCTCTTTTTCCGGTTTTCTTTCTCGGGATCGGAATGCGAGAGGGAGATCGCAGACGACCTAATATGGATACGTTTGACTTTTATTAAATCCTCTCCGAAATGACTATTTTATTTTCGGGGACAGAAATAGAGAGCGAACGAAAAGAGGGAGAAAAGGAGACATTTAAACCGGCCGGAGCTTCATCCTCGCTTAGTCCTTGGGTCGAGGGTGTTTAATTCGAGAATTTAAAAGGATTGTAAAAGGAGTAGCTGTTACTATATTTTTCAATTCTTTTATTGTTCGAAACTAAGTTGAACTAGAGAAAGAATGAAATTTTCCCTGTGGATAGTAGAATTAAATTTTTTCATGGACAAACAATTTATATTAGCGATGAATGTTTTAAGAATAAATGGATTTATATCAATGTGCGCAAGGACTAAGCAAATAATCGTCCTGCGTTCAAAAGGACGACTGCGTGTGCCTTTTATTCGTCCTTTCGACCATGTCGACTGTTGAGATAACAATCGGCCTTTTATGATGAGCTAATTTAAAACACTAGAGAATTTAATAATGTTTTTAAGTGGACGGTTTTAAGCGGCGAAGACGCCTCCTCGACGTCGCGACGGCTGATACTTAGTGAGTATTACATTTTATTTTCATTCCAGGCGATTCTTTTTGCTGTCTCTAAGTTACTGAAGGTACTCAGTGAGTATCTAATTGATATTTTTATACATCAATGTACAACAAGCAATAATAATTATAGTAGATTTAAGTCATCTATCAAGAATGTCAAACAATAATTTTTATAATTGGCCTCTTACTAGATGAATTGTGAGATAAAATATAGTACAGGTTGGTTTAAGCACATGTTTAATTTTCAAAAAGAAATGTCCTAAAGCCAACCCTGCCGTTCACAGGGCAATTTGACTCCTGCTCGTTCTCCACTTGATATATGACAGCTTATATCGTTCTCTTCGCTCGTTATACGCCGTATTGCGTTATGAAAACAATATGAATTCCGAACCGCATTTTTTCCCAAATCGTTTGATGTGTAATTACTTTTTTCCCGTTCGGTCCCCCCTTCTACAATTCTAGACGAACGCGGCGATATTGCGGAATAAACGCGGCTTTTTGTCCAATTTGCGAGTTTGGCTTTTTGATATTTTCGTTTTCTTTGTTTGTATTTGTACGCCCGCTGACAACAGTTTTAATTTTACGAATGTCGACGTTGGCATTAAAAAACAATAAAATGAATCGTATACTCATTCCCCGCATATAAATTCTATATTTTCAATAGATAAAAGCTTATGAAATATTGAATACAAATGCAACATCAAAATTATATAAATTATGCAACATTGTGTACAAATAATTGTAATTTATAGTTTATTTATTTTACAACATCCTGTATTAGTTGCCCTCGTTTAGACCGTTTAAAAATAAACCGGTCTCGTTCACCTCCCGAATTTAATGATATTCGGAAAATTTCAATAAATCACTATCCTGATTATACGCGTTTTCGATGCTTCCAACTTGTTTGACATTTATTAGACCCTATTCAATTTACTTACCATGCCTTGAATTTACACCCCATTATAATGCTACCCTCCTAATTTAGAATCAGAGACGGCGCCAAAAGGAAACTACTAGGTCCTAGTACACAAAAATTGTAAATTGAATATATAACATTACCTTATCGAACCTTATCGATTATTCTTATGTGTTATTTTTAACTAATAGGTTAATTATTTAGTAGATAAATGTATGTATGTATGTAGCAATAATTAAAGATTAAAATAAAGATCAATATAATATCTTTCTGTAGCAAATTCGCGTTCACAAAATACCGAACAGTTCTGAATATTAAGATCAAACCCCCTCCGAAGATATAACGCTCCGATAATTAGTAATAATGTTGTCGGATTGCAAAATTAATTAGAGCTTAAAGCGAATATTGGCGCAGCCGAGGCGAGAGCGAACGCCGACGCCGACGCCCGACGTCGCTATTAACTGGAGACCTCGAAGCTTGTAATAATCTAATAATTAATCTCCTAAGATGTAGATGAAAGTAAGGCGGCGGGGCGAGGCCACCCCCCGTCGGCCCCGTTTAATCACTAAATTACCGGCACTAAACTCGCCGGGTTCTAACGGGGTCGATCCCAAATTAGCCCTAAAATTTAGAGATTAAATTCAATAAAAAATTTCACCTATAAACGCTTTATTGAATAAAATTTAGTTTGGTAGTATTCATGAATACGTAGAAATATTTACGAAATCACAGGTTGTTATTTCTCAGCATAAACAACAAATAAACAAAAACAATAATGAAAAATGCATAGGTAGAACACGAATAAAAAATTTATTCTATAAATAAATATTACAATTGTCGAAGAAACTTTCTAGATACGCACATAAACTACCTATTAAAAATCCAACTCTCTAATAGCAATAACGGTGAGGGTAATTACGTTCGCCCAGGAAGCTCCGACCCCCTTGGCTTCGCTCTCGATTCGAGGGCTTCACCCGGTGGAATTCTAGGTATTTCAATTAATCCGCGAATCACAGAAGAGACGTCGCTTTGCATCGCGGCCGCGCGCGCCCCCTCTTCGTCCCCTTTTCGCCCCACTCCTTATATCCCATACTGTAACCTACATAATCCCGAGGGATGTTCGGCCGGAGGAAAACCACGTTTATTAGCCGCAGATGTTGCCTAATATCTCTCGTCGAGGATCATATTTGCTACATCAAAGCCGCCGAAAAGCGAATAATCGGGGTAGTTTGGCGTAGCCGTAACACGGGGGTAGTTCGGTAAACACTAGGAGAAATTTATATTGGCTCACAGTAATTCCTAAACACTTTTAATACAATAGTACAGATTTTTCAACATATTTTCTACTAAACAACTTTTCTACTATAGACCTTCTAATAGTTAAATATGAATGTTTGTGGATAATAAATTCTGGGTCGCCCTGTAGGTGCATTCATGGGGCAGAGCTACCCCTGTCGCTTTCCACTCGACTTGGTGGAAAAGTCAAGGCAATAAAGCAAAAGCCAGATCATAGAACGAGAGAGGGACGCTGAAGGTGGGTGGGAAAAAGAGAGAGGGGTTGACATTGCGGGGTGGAAATCATCCTAATTCAATTAGCCCCGGTGATTTTATTATTTAATATGCACCGTGCGTCCGTTTCGACGTCGACAAGCCGGGGATGAATCGGGGATGAATGCAATTTAGCGGTTATTATAACAATTATTAATTCGTTTGTGTTCGCGAGCTCTTTCGCTGGTGGATGCTTAAAGGGGTTAACGAGACGTGATGATTTGAAAAAAATTGATCTCTTTGTTGTCGCCTATTCATACCTTCACCTCTGTGTTTTTTTAAATATATTCTTTTATATTGCTTTCCCTCAAGTCCCATGAATATTATTTACATAATAATCGCGCAACAGAGCGATTGGCTTCTCTGCTTTATGAAATATGTTATTGTTTTCGAATTAAATCACTAATTATAAATAATCCATTATTCTTTTCGAAATTCGCATTGCACTTTGTCGTCCTATTAACTTGCATTCCGGTTTAATTTATTGCTGGATTCAATCATGTTTTGAGCATTTTTCGAAAGGTTCGGCGCGTTTGTTCAAATTTGAAATATTAATATCAGTATGATAGAAAATATGCGAATTAATTCGCACGATTGCACGATTCGAGTTTTATATTTAATCGAACAACGGATTTTATCGCTTTTATCCTCTTGTGTGATTTTTCGCGTACGTTCTACAACAAACCCTCGAAAAGGGTAAAGAGTTACAAGAGGGTGCTCGTGCTTATTAATGTAGCAGCACAATGTTCTTTTGTTGTAGACGTCGTCTCTAACAAAAAAAAATTGGTGATTATTTGAAAAATTGGTGTGTTTAGTTGACAGATTATTCAAGGGAAAAATGTTATTAATAGAATAATTTATTCTAGTTAAGGTACTTCGAATTATGATTCACCACATTTTGTTTCTAAGTAGACTTATTTAGGCAGTCTGTAGATACAGTTAACTTTAATTTTATTAGCCTATTTAAATTTATATCAACACTAATGGGACGAGCTCCTGTATTTGAATAATTAGCTTACCTGACGAATAATAATAGTTTATCTACCTGTATTTAAAATCACATAAAATACAACATTTTTATACATTAATTTCAAGGCAATAAAGCAAAAGGATGTTGGGAAAAACATAAAAGTTGAAGCTTTTTTTTTACATTTTCGTAGGTAGGTACCTATTTTGTGTCACATCAAGTTGATTTGAATACTTTACTTTTATACCACTAATATTTTACTTATTTACAATAGGTCATTGGCAACAACAACGAATTTGTAGTAGCTTATTTTTAATATTCGCTGTATTTAATATTATTGATAACCTTTTCACACTTGTGTTAGGCATAGTTGATATAACAATTTAATATTGAAATTATTTAATAGAAAAAATACTCAATTAATTAGATAAATAAATTCCAGAAAGTTATTGAATACAGAAAAAACGTGGTGTATCGTGTTATGTTGTTACAACCTTTAGGTTATCAAGCAATTTAATATTTTTTTTGGTACTAAATATGGACACGCATGCTTAAGTAATAATCTACAGATTATACCAACATAAAGTTAACTAACAAGTAGATACATAGATATTTCTAATATAAATGAAATGTATAATAGGCTCAAAGTAAATTTAATAGTCTATATTATTTAGAAATATACCAATAAAATTGGTTAAAATATGCAGAAAATGGAAATTATTGTTGAAAAGTGTCAGTTCCCTGTATGCTTCAGTGGTTTGATATGCAGAATTTGGTAGTTAGGTAGAAATAAATTTTACAACATTTAATTACCTCTGTCAACGTACCTACAAGTCACCTTAGGTATTTACATACATATGTATGTACCTGATATATTACATTATCTTATCTATTTCTTGGAATGTTGAAAATAATAAATTTTGCAGACAGTTTCTAGTAAGACTCACCTACAAGAAAATAAAGTTATACATTACCTAAATATTATATTTATTTTTTTAAGATAAACTTAAGTTTTTGTGTCATTGATAACTACATATTTATCTTTCGTCTTGTCACTATTGAACTTATTTGGTTAAATATCATAGACAGATATCCTGCAATGACGCTCGTTCCTCCAGATATCATGGAAATAAATTAAGTACTTTTGTGAATTACTTTTAAAAATAAAATGCAAATACAATTGCTTTAATTACAATAATTATTATGCGCAAAAAGGATAACACTGATAATATTGTTATTTACTATGTCACCTTCTGTTGAAGATATTTGTACAAAACTCTAGTTCGGCTTATCGAATTTCTACGAAAATGCGAGTAGGTATATTTGCGTTACAAGATTAGTCAAAATTTTGAAAATTAATACAATTTTTAAAAATGAAAAAATAAATAACACTTAATATGAAACGTAAAATATTTTAATTAAAACACATATGCGTAGATACATTAATTAACATTAATTCGTACAATTTAATCAGTCTATACTGATTTATTTTCAATGGATGGAATTTTTCGAAAAACCCGAGACCGGCTAAATATTAGGGGACATCTACTGAAGAGGTAGTTATTCTGTATAGAAATATAATAAAATCGATCTGTGTCCTTGTTCTTTCGAAAACCCATTGAGAATATTTCGCTTTTTAATTGATTCACTTCATGTATACATCTATTTTAAGTACATACCAAAATATCCTAAATAGTTACTCATATCGATATAAAAACAAGGACAAATATGTACGTACAAAACTATTTAACCATAACATAATTTATCGCTTTAAAATTTCTTGAATTTCTCTAAAACTTTTGCCCTTAGTCTCCGGTATTAAGAAATAAATAAACGTGAATCCGATCAAACACGATAAACTAAAGAACCACATGCAATACTGTACGCCGAAAAACTTAGAAGCCAGAGGGAAACAGAACATAATGAAACAAATAGCCGAATTATCAGATACCAAAACAACTCCGCAGCCCATTGCTCTCAGTTCATCCGGGAACAATTCTCCACTCAGTGTGATAGGAATAGGTCCCAAGCCTATACCGTAGCCTATCACGTATAAAACTATGGCTAAAATTGCCAGCCAAATCATATCGTCAGAGTTCTGCATGTTAATGTAGTAACCCATCAGGAAAAGCGCTAGTGAGCAAACTAATGAAGATGTTAGAAGCAATGGTCGTCTGCCGACTTTATCCACTAATACAGAAGAAACGAAGAAAGTACACAATTGAATCACACCTGTGATAATACCGAATGTGTCGCCAGATACACGACCGGATTTGCTGAAAATCGAAGACATGAATGCCAGAATAACGAAGATTCCGGAGAGCTGTTGCACGGAACTGGCCACCATGCACATAGAGAAGGCTCGCCTGCACGAATGATTTCTGAAAACGTCCAGGAAGCTCCCTTTTTGTCTTTGAATCGAAGTCGTGATCAAAAAATCGATTTTATTGCATTCGATTTCGATTTTCTTGGCGTCCCTTGTGCTCCTCAATTGTTCCAAGACTCGAATGCAGTCGGATTTTCGCTTCTTCAGGGCCAAGTATATCGGTGATTCCACGGTAAATATCGAGAGTACCAAGTACATCGCTGTAGGAACCATACAAAATAGAGTAAAACCTCTAGCGCTGCTTAGAGGACCGACAATGTACCCTAGGAGCACCCCCGTAGGAATAGCCATTCCCATGAAGCAACCCAGTTTGCCTCTATTTCCATCTTCCGCTATTTCATTCGTATAAACTGGTACAACGACTAAAGAAGCCGACATGCAAATCCCTACAAATAAACTGTGCACATAATAGAAGTACAAATGAAAAGCGAATGAATTCAATAGAGTATTGCAAGCCATAATAAATGCTGTTAAAGTTAAGACTCTCTTGCGTCCGATGGCGTCCGATAATCTGGCCGATGGTAAAAGAGATAAGATGGCCGATATTGGTCCTAATGTCACCAACACGGATATTTCATGTGTTTCCATTGGCCGTCCTAAAGGATTGACATTTGTATCATTTGATAATAGTTTCGGTAACATAGGTGAAGACCATACCAAGGCCACGCCACTATATAACAGTAGGAGGTTAGCTGAAAATTATTTTTAATAAGCGCAAAATTTACTAAAATTAATAGTTTAAATTATTCTATTGAAAGTAATATTTATTATTTATTAAAAAAATTATTAAGAAAATTATTTTTTATTCTTTTTGTTCTACAACTCATAATTTTTATCTAGACAAAAATATTTCGAAAATATTCCTTTCTTTCAGATCTTACACAAATTGTTACGTATTTATTTTTTTTTACTTTGAACTACTTTCTAAAATAATGTTCCTACATACCTGAAAAAGCAGAAAAATATAGCATCCAGGAAAATCTATATTTTTCTGTCGGTTGTATATCCCTTTCCTCTGTAAAATACTGCACCTGGACACATTTTTCTTGAATTCTTTCACAATCACATTCAGTCATTTCGATTAGTAAGAGTCGAAAAAATAAATTGAGCTAATCCGACCAACGTCCAATAATACAAATAAACGATAACAAATTCGTATGCTAATAAATATGATTAACATTTACATACGTATGTATGTATTTAATTTTACTGGATATAAGTGATACCGTAGACCCTTTCGAGTACCTACATTGTAAGTAAATTAAACGAAAGGAAAAATAAAATTTGAAAATGCGGGTAAATTACTAATTATATAGTTTAATTTCGTAAACAGGTTCGTATTGAACTTGTAAAAATATGTAAAACAAATGTGTTTTTTTTAAGTAGTACCTGAGGTACAATGTACCTAATATTAAGTAATGAAAAAATGCAACTTTCAACTGCCCAAAATAATAATGACAATAAAAAAGTCGTTTGAACGTATTCTATTTGTAGATATGTACCATAATATATTATTCCTGTTCTTGTAGTGATATTCTTTAAAATGCCGTTATTCAAATTAATGTACCGTGATTCTGTACAAAGTGGAAAAGATGGCCTAATTTTGATGTCGATGTAAATAAAACATATGGTAAAGATATAAATAGACCTTTTATTATATCAATAATATATTAATTTATATATACAAAAAATTCTTATATTTGTAAACCTAGGAGAATGCTAGAATAAATTCAACTACTGCTATGCTATCTATTTAAGATTGCCTGAATTTCATTAAAACTTTTTCCTTTAGTTTCCGGCACTACCAAATAAATGCAGACGAATCCGATCAAACATGCCAAGCTAAAGAACCACATGCAGTATTGCACTCCAAAGTTCTCGGAAGCGAAAGGAAAGCAAAACATAATGAAACAAATAGCTGAATTATCAGCTACCAAGACAATTCCGCAACCCATTGCTCTCAGGTCATTCGGAAACAATTCTCCACTTAGTGTCATAGGAATAGGTCCCAAGCCTATACCGTAGCCTATCACGTATAAAACTATGCCCAGGATTGCCAACCAAACCATATCATCCGAGTTCTGCAAGTTAATGTAGTAACCCATCACGAAAAGCGCTAGTGAGCAAACTAATGAAGATATTAGAAGCAATGGTCGCCTGCCGACTTTATCCACTAATACAGAAGAACCGAAGACAGTACACAATTGAATCACACCTGTGATAATACCGAAGGTGTCGCCAGATACACGACCGGATTTGCTGAAAATCGACGACATGAATGCCAGAATAACGAAGATTCCGGACAGCTGTTGCACGGAACTGGCCACCATGCACATGGAGAAGGCTCGCCTGGCTGTTTGTTGTCTGAAAATATCAAGGTAACTCCTTCTTTGTCTTCTTATTGAAGTCGCGATAAAAAACTCGATTTTATTGCATTCGATTTCAATTTTCTTAGCGTTTGTTGTATTCCTTAATTTTCCCAGAACACGAGCGCAGTCCGGCTGTTTATGTTTCAGAGCCAAATATGTCGGAGATTCAACAGTGAATATCGAGAGTATTAAGTGTATAATTGACGGAGCCATGCAAAATAATGGGAAAGTTCTAGCACTTGTCATGGGGCCTACCACGTACCCCAAGAGCGTCCCAGTGGGCATAGCCAAGCCCATGAGACCTCCGAGCTTTCCTCTATTCCTATCTTCCGCTATCTCATTCATGTAAACTGGAACAATAACCAAGGAAGCTGACATACAAAGCCCGACTAAAACACTATTCGCGTAATAAAAGTACACGTTGTAAGCAAATGCGGTCATTAGCGAGGTGCCGGCGAATAAAAATGCTACTAATAATAATACTCTTTTGCGCCCTATAAGATCCGCTAATCTAGCTGCAGGTAAAAGGCCTATGATGCCGAATATTGGACCTACAGTCACCAATATGGATATATCAGATGTTTGAATGGGCCGTCCTAAAGGGTTGATGTTGGTATCGTTCGATGATAATTTCGACAACATTGGAGAAAACCATACCAAATTTACACCAACGTTGAACAGAAGAATGTTTGCTGAAAATTATTTTAATACGTCAGAAATATGTTGTTACTATCTAACAGGCAAAAATGTCATTACATTTTTAACACTTTAGCGTGGCTAATGTTCAGTGTTTTAAGTTTATCAAAGGTAATAACGTAAAACATATTTGTACTTAGGTAATACGTGGAATTGACTGTAGTTTTCAAAGAGAAATTATAATTCCATATTTGAAAGATCTGTAAACAAGCTAGGTATACGGTGCGGGCATATAATTTATTATTTGTTGAAATGGCTGATTGGATACCATGCAATTTAATAGACTGATGTGATATTATGAAAAAATCTCTTACTTAATTTCGTATATGATATTGTAGTGGTCATAATTGGTCATACTTTGATTGCGTTAATTGTTATTATAATACTTAGATTTTATTACGAAATGATGTTTCTTACCTGTAAATGCAGAAAAATATAGCATCCAATGAAAACCGTCATCTCCATCGCGTTCTTGTAGATTATTTTCTTCTAAAGAGTTATTTTTCTCCGAATTTGTTATCCTTAATTCTTCGCAACTGCATTCTGTCATGTCGAATATTAATAACTAAAAAAATAAATTCACGTAACCCGACGAATTACCAAGAATGCGACGAATGATAAGAAAATTTTCGTTTGATATCAACTTTTATTATTAGTAATTTCGCACGAAATATATGTATGTATTAATATTATGGCGAATGTTTCGAAGGAAATACATTCATTTAAAAATGCTAATGTGGGCAAAATATCAGCCAATTTATAAAATTTCTAAACCAGGGCCGGATTTTTATTACTTACCTGCTTTTAAAAATATCACAGTTAATTTGATTGGACTCGATTTATACTAAAGATCGTATGATTTTTGTAAATATTCTTTTACACTTTCCAAAATAAGATAATGTTGCAGAGATAACGATTGTCCAAAAATCGAAAAATGTAGAGAAATATTTCTTTAATCTATGAAAAATTACACAATTTTTTTATCATGAGTTGTTCCTTAACCGTCGGTTTTTGGCGTACTGGTACTTAAATTCTACTAATATTTTGACTTATTAAAATCCAATCCACTTTTTTAAATTTCTTGGTTTTGTTGTTCTTATTTGCAGATTTAAACATTTTATTATGACTTATTATTTATATCGGGTAATTGTCAATTTTTTCTGGTTCAAGTCCAGCTCTGTTTAAAATTAATTGTTATATGTAGGTGACAGTTGTCTGCGCTAATTGAGTTTTTGTGATTTTCATATTTACATATTTATACAGTATGTCTGAAAAAGTTGGCAACATATGGGAAACTTCTTTATTGTAAGTTTTATGAAAAAAAGTTATTCTTTACGAAAATCTCTGCTTTCGAAAATAATAATACTTTGATATTTACATTTGATATATTAGATATACAGGGTGTCCACAAATTAGATAAAATTAATAGGAATATTTCGAAATAAATAATTCTAATTACGTATATTTGTCTATTTGAAATAATTCTTTTAACAGATAAAGTCAAAGTTTATTAATTTTGAAATGGAATAATACTTAAACGTAATTTTTAATTCCTATCAACACCTTAAAATTACATTTAATATTTTGAGAACAATTTGTAAAAATAACTAATTTTTTAAGTAATATAACCTAATTGCATATTAAAACATAGTTTTCGATTTCGAACAACTTTTCATAATTAAAGGTTTCGATATTGTAAAAAATAGAGGTACTTTAGTCTTATATAAAATTCATATTTTTTGACAAACCTCGTATACGATTTTTAAAAATTGATATTTGACATTTGCGCTTAACTTTATTGACCGTACAGAACTTTTTATAAAGAATAGATTTTTTTCGTAACATTACAAATAAAAAAGTTTCCCATATGTTGCCAACCTTTTCAGACCTACTGTATGTAGGTATTTAATACACCCAATGATCCGTGATAAGAATTAATTTTCTCGGTAATATATTTATCTAAAGTACCTACTGACACCTTGTAATGTCAATTCTCTCCATTTTTTATTATTCTATGGTTATATTTAACACGATTTTGAATAAACAATTTAATGTGCCTCGTGCTTCGTAGAATAAAATATATTTTTTAAAAATAGTATGATTTTTCATGAAAATACAGTAATTTATTAGTATTTAATTGAGTCTGTCCAATTCTGATTAATAATTACAAAAGTGAAAGGTAAATCTAAGTGCATCTAAATGCAATCAAAAATGCAAATTTGTGCTTTTCATTTACACCTTAAAAATGTAGGTAACTTAAATACTTGTCTACATTGTATACTTGCAAATTGTATATCATTAACTCATGATAAGTATTACATTAAAGTCAATTGAAAATAAATAAATAAAACAATAAGGGAGATAATAAAATAACATCTTTTATACATATGTATACAAAAATAATATTTTCTGATATAATACATTTGATATATGTATAACAACAATTTATACAAGAAAGTTTAATTTCAACTCAGCATTTCTTGTATTTGTATAAAACTTTTCCCCTCTAGTAGTATGGTACAAATCTGTATATCAGTAAAAATCTCTTAAATCAGTCTGTGCCTAATACGATAACACGATAATATCTATATAATAATTATCGACGATATTAACAATAAAATTCGTTTACCTTACTTTTCAACGATGGAAGAGGACATAAAGCATACTAATAATTGTACAATTTCGGCGATAATTCCGAAAGTATCAACTATATAGAATCAATTCATCACTAAAAATAGTATCCACGAAAATATCCTTCTTTTGTTTCATATTATTTTCGATAAATAACCGATTTTACTAAACTCAATATCTATCTGCTGACGGTCCTTATAAGTCCTTAAGACATCCAAGCAACAAATATCCTCCAACTTCCTCATTGCGCAAAATACGTGCATCGGCGACTCGACCGTGAACATGGCCAGCACTAAATGAAGATAGGTACACGCTTTCTAGTATCTAACTAAATTAAACGAAAGAAAATGTTAAATTTTAAAATGTGTTAATGCGGGTAAAATATTAATAAGTTGAATTTCCTAAACAGGTTCGTATTGAACTTGCTAAATTATGTACCATAAATCTGTTTTGTTAAGTAGTACTTTAGTTACAATGTTATATAGCAACAAAAAATTTAAGTTTCAACTGTCCATAATGATAATGATAACAGAGTAAACGTTTGAATAGTCAAACGATGCACGCAAACTATGTTTATGTACAAATAGAATCCATATTTTATTTGTACTTATGTACTATAATATATATATAATTCTTATTTTTGAATTCTTATTAAAGTGAATATGGTGGCCTAATTTTGATATCGAGGTAAACAAACACATGGTAAAGAAATAAATAGACCTTTACTTATATCTATAATATATTAATTTAAGCATACAAAAATTTCTTATATTTGTAAACCTAGGAGAATGCAAGAATAAATTCAGTTCAAAACTACATAACTATGTTATCTGCTTAAAATTGCCTGAATTTCATTAAAACTTTTTCCTTTAGTTTCCGGCACTACCAAATAAATGCCCACTAATCCGATCAAACACGATAAGCTGAAGAACCACATGCAGTATTGCACACCAAAGTATGCGGAAGCGAGAGGAAAGCAAAACATAATGAAACAAATAGCTGAATTATCAGCTACCAGGACAATTCCGCAACCCATTGCTCTCAGGTCATCCGGGAACAATTCCCCACACAGTGTGATAGGAATAGGTCCCAAGCCTATTCCATAGCCAACCACGAATAAAACTATGCCCAGGATTGCCAACCAAACCATATCATCCGAGTTCTGCAAGTTAATGTAGTAACCCATCACGAAAAGCGCTAGTGAGCAAACTAGTGACGATGTTAGAAGCAATGGTCGTCTGCCGATTTTATCCACTAATACAGAAGAAACGAAGAAAGTACACAATTGAATCACACCTGTAATAATACCGAAGGTGTCACCAGATACACGACCGGATTTGCTGAAAATCGAAGACATGAATGCCAGAATAACGAAGATTCCGGACAGCTGTTGCACGGAACTGGCCACCATGCACATGGAGAAGGCTCGCCTGGCTGTTTGGTGTCTGAAAACATCAAGGAAACTCCTCCTTTGTCTCCTTATCGAAGTCGCGATAAAAAACTCGATTTTATTGCATTCGGTTTCAATTTTCTTCGCGTCCGTTGTATTCCTTAATTTTCCCAGAACACGAGCGCAGTCCGCCTGTCGCTGTTTAAGAGCCAAATATGTCGGAGATTCAACAGTGAATAACGAGAGTATTAAGTGTATAATTGACGGAGCCATATAAAATAATGGAAAAGTTCTGGCGCTTGTTATGGGTCCTACTACATAACCCATGAGCACTCCAGTGGGTATCGCCATGCCCATGAAACCTCCGAGCTTTCCTCTATTCCTATCTTCTGCTATCTCATTCATGTAAACTGGAACAATTACCAATGAAGCCGAGATACAAAGCCCGGCTAAAACACCTTTCACATAATAAAAGTACACGTTGTAAGCGAATGAGGTCATTAGCGCGTTGCAAGCGGATATAAATGCTATTAATAATAATACGCTTTTGCGCCCTATGAGATCCGCTAATCCAGCTGCTGGTAAAAGGCCTATGACGCCGAATATTGGACCTATAGTTGCCAATATGGATATATCAGATGTTTGAATGGGCCGTCCTAAAGGGTTGATGTTGGTATCGTTCGATAATAATTTCGGCAACATTGGAGAAAACCATACCGTATTCACACCAACGTTGAACAGAAGAATGTTCGCTGAAAATTATTTTAATACTTCAGAAATATGTTTATAGGCAAAAATTTTATTACTTTTTTAACACTTTAGAGTGCGTAAAGTTTTAACGTTATCAAAGGTAATAAAATAACGTAAAACATTTGTACTTAGGTAATACGTGGAATTTACTGTAGTTTTTAAAGAGAAATTATAATTCCATATATGTAAGACTTGTAAACAACCTAGGCATACCTTTAAAAGTTTATCAACTTGCATGATAAGAATGGTAAGAATGTAATTATTATATTTTATATTATACTCTATTTCCAAAATAGTAGGCACTAAATTCTCGGAAATATTGTCGCTTTTCTTATTTATTACATTATCCTTGCTCTTCTAATTATTAGTCTCTTGCTGATTTTCCCGTCAAACACACTTGTAGCCTACGATATTTTCCGTACGCCACTGGGAGAGACCCATTTTCAGGCAGTGTCTTATAGATAGAGCCTTTTACAGGATTGATGAGTTACTGTCTTTTGATTTTATAAATTTTAACTTTGTAATGTAGTGTTTTTGCCAGTCTGTGTTTTGAGTATGTGCATATTTGTATTATCGTTTTAAGCATACTTTACAATATTCTGTTATTCTTTTTTCTTGACCTGTGTAACATATTTATAGGTATATGATAAGCACCAAATAATCTTATTTACTTACTTATTATTTGTTGAAATGATTGATTGGATACCATGCAATTTAATATTCTGATATTATGGAAAAATCTCCTACTTAATTTCTTATATGCTATTGTAGTTTGGTGATTTTTGGTCATACTTTGATTGCGTTAATTGTTATTATAACACTTTTATTCGATTTTATTACGAAATGTTGTTTCTTACCTGTAAATGCAGAAAAATATAGCATCCAATGAAAACCATCATTTCCATCGCGTTTTTGGAGATTATTTTCTTCTAAACAGTTATTTTGCTCCGAACTTTTTTTGCTCAATTCTTCGCAATCGCTTTCTGTCATGTTGAATATTGATAACTAAAAAAATAAATTCACGTAACCCGACGAATTACCAAGAATGCGACGAATGATAAGAAAATTTTCGTTTGATATCAACTTTTATTATTAGTAATTTCGAACGAAATATATGTATGTACTATACATATAATAATATGGCAAATGTTTCGAGGGAAACACATTCATTTTAAAAATTCTAATGTGGGCAAAATTTTGGCTAATTAGTAAAATATCGAAACCAGGGCCGGATTTTTATTTCTTACTTGCTTTGAAAAAATCACAGTTAATTAGATTGGACTCGAATTATACTAAAGATTGTATTTAATAGTAATAAAATAGTAATTAAATAGTAGGGCAGTCCTCGTTGCAGTATGGTTATATTTCAATGGTTATAGGTGACAGTTTTCTGTGCTAATTGAGTTTTTGTGATTTTCACATTTACAACCATATTAATTAATAGGTAGGTATTTAATATAATACATGATCTGCGATAAAAATTCATTTTCTCGGTAATACATTCATCTAGAGTACCTACTAACACCTTGTAATGCCAATTCTCTCCTTTTTTTTATTATTCTATGGTTACATTTAACACGATTTTGAATAAACAATTTAATAGGTATGCCTCGTGCTTCGTAGAATAAAATATATTTTTCAAAAATATTATGATTTTTCATGAAAATACAGTAATTTATTAGTATTTTAATGAGTCCGTCCAATTCTGCCTAATAATTACAAAAGTGAAAGGTAAGTAATTTTCGGAATACCTAAATGCAATCAAAAATGCAAATTTGTGCTTTTCATTTACACCTTAAACCTGCAGGTGACTTAAATACTTGTCTACATTGTACACTTGCAAATTGTATATCATTATAACTCATGATAAAGCATTACATATTGAATTGGAAAAGAAAATAAATAAAGCAATAGATAATAAAATAACCTTTTTTATATACAAAATAATATTTTTTTGAGATAATACCTTTAAATAAATTTAAATGGAAAGGGGGGTCTTGTGATACATCATTTTGAAGCTCCTGACAAATACTCTACAACCCTGGAATATAAAGTCAATATCTGCACCTGCTACAAAATGACGGACATTTAATAATTACCTGAATACATCGACGTTTAACGTCATAATTTGAGGAAATAAGCTGAGTTCAGTTCAAAAAATGCTCCAAATAGCATCCAAATAGTTCCTTACTTGTCTGGAGTAATGTGGTGGTGCTCCATCTTCCAATGGATGAGAATTGGCCATTTTAGAGTTAGTTCACGTGCATGGTACCTAACTACAATGAGAACTAAACAACCGAAAACTAAATGAAAATACTTTAAACACTAGGAAAATCGAAAACTAAAGTGTACGAAACTGAACCTGCTTCAATATTGGATATACGAGAGATAATTACAGATATTTGTAGAAATATCGACGTTACTATGTTCGAAAATGTTCGGATCGCTGTTCTCGGAGGCTGTTCTTATATCAAGAAGTTCAAGGCAACCATTTCAAGCGCAAAATACATAGGCTACATATGGTTTCGACGTTTTCGAGTATCTAACTAAATTAAACGAAAGAAAATGTTAAATTTGAAAATGTTAATTCGGGTAAAATATTAAGTTGATTTTCCTTAAGAATTTCGTATTAAACTTGCTAAAATATGTAAGATATATCTGGTTTTTTTAAGTAGTACCTACCTGAGGTACAATATAATATTAAGCAATGGAAAAATTCAACTTTCAACTGCCCCAAATGGTAATGACAATAAGAAAGTAGTTTGATCACATTCTATTGGTAGATATGTACTATAATATTATTCTTATTCTTGCTGCGATATTCTTCAATGGACCCCTATTCAACATTTTGGGTGATTTTGTGCAAAGTGGATATGGTGGCCTAATTTTGAAATCGATGAAAATAAACACATACGATAAAGAAATAAATAGACCTTTTATTAAATATATCTACAATATATTAATTTACGCTTACAAAAAATTCTTATACCTATTTGTAAACCTAGGAGAATGCTAGAATAAATTCAACTACTGCTCTAGTTATCTACTTAAAATTGCCTGAATTTCATTAAAACTTTTACCTTTAGTTTCCGGCACTACAAAATAAATGCCCACTAATCCGATCAAACACGATAAGCTGAAGAACCACATGCAGTATTGCACACCAAAGTATGCGGAAGCGAGAGGAAAGCAAAACATAGTGAAACAAATAGCTGAATTATCAGCTACCAGGACAATTCCGCAACCCATTGCTCTCAGGTCATCCGGGAACAATTCCCCACACAGTGTGATAGGAATAGGTCCCAAGCCTATACCGTAGCCTATCACGTATAAAACTATTGCCAAAATTGCCAGCCAAATCATATCGTCAGAGTTCTGCATGTTAATGTAGTAACCCATCAGGAAAAGCGCTAGTGAGCAAACTAATGAAGATGTTAGAAGCAATGGTCGTCTGCCGACTTTATCCACTAATACAGAAGAACCGAAGAAAGTACACAATTGAATCACACCTGTGATAATACCGAAGGTGTCGCCAGATACACGATCGGATTTGCTGAAAATCGACGACATGAATTCCAGAATAACGAAGATTCCGGACAGCTGTTGCACGGAACTGGCCACCATGCACATGGAGAAGGCTCGCCTGGCTGTTTGGTGTCTGAAAACATCAAGGAAACTCCTTCTTTGTCGTCTTATGGAAGTCGCGATAAAAAACTCGATTTTATTGCATTCGTTTTCAATTTTTTTCGCGTCCGTTGTATTCCTTAATTTTCCCAGAACACGAGTGCAGTCCGCCCGTCGCTGTTTCAAAGCCAAATATATCGGAGATTCAACAGTGAATAACGAGAATATTATGTGTATAATTGACGGAGCCATATAAAATAATGGAAAAGTTCTGGCGCTTGTTATGGGTCCTACTATATACCCCATGAGCACCCCAGTGGGTATCGCCATGCCCATGAAACCTCCGAGCTTTCCTCTATTCCTATCTTCTGCTATCTCATTCATGTAAACTGGAACAATAACTAAGGAAGCTGACATACAAAGGCCGGCTAAAACACCTTTCACATAATAAAAGTACACGTTATAAGCGAATGATGTCATTAGCGAGTTGCAAGCGGATATAAATGCTACTAATAATAATACTCTTTTGCGTCCAATAAGATCCGCTAATCCAGCTGCTGGTAAAAGGCCTATGACGCCGAATATTGGACCTATAGTTGCCAATATGGATATATCAGTTGTTTCTATGGGGCGTCCTAATGGGTTGATGTTGGTATCGTTCGATGATAATTTCGGCAACATTGGAGAAAACCATACCGTATTTACACCAGCATTGAACAGAAGAATGTTTGCTGAAAATTATTTTAATACGTCAGAAATATGTTTAAGTTATCTAATAGGCAAAAATTTTATTACTTTTTTAACACTTTAGAGTCCGTATTTACTGTATAATTTTCAACTTTATCAAAGGTAATAAACGTAAAACGATTGTACTTAGTTAACACGTGGAATTTACTGAAATTTTCAAAGAGAAATTATAATCCCATATTTGAAAGACCTTTAAACAATCCAGACATACCTTTAAAATTTATCCACATGCATGGTAAGACGGGTAAAAATATGATTATTATAATTTAATACTTGCTGACATGGCTGATTGAATACCATGTAATTTAATAATCTGATATTATGGAAAAATCTCCTACTTTATTTCTTATATGATATTGTAGTTTGTAGGTCATACTTTTATTGCGTTGATTATTAATTATAAATTTTAATAGTAGCGTCTATAAACAGTGCGGTTGAACGGCATCATTATAAATAAGAAAAATTGGTTATTTGAATATAGCATTTTGGATTTGTTGTATATTTTGTTGAATATTTATTGTATTAGTCATATTCGACACTGATAAATTCATTCAGTATATGTCGAAGAACGTGAAAGGCATGAAAATTATGAATGCTGCATTTTCTTTCTAATGTTTTGTAGGTATGCCCGTAGCTTCAAGGGCGCTAACAATTTTAATATTTCATAACATTTTCATCAAACCATCTACTTTCTATTCGAACGCTACAAAGAAATGACTGGGTCGCATCCTTTTTAGCGGGATAGTCGATGGATGTACATATGTACCGATGAAATAAAATGCGGCTAAACGGGTCCCTTTTAATCACTCCCGTCAAAACGTAATGTATATGTATGTAGTCCCGCACTAAATATCCAACAAAATATACAACAAATCCAAAATACTATATTCAAATAACCAAATTTTCTTTATAATGATCCCGTTCAACCGCACTGTGTATAGACGCTACCATTGAAATGAATGTGTTCTATGTATCCCGCCAAACCGGTCCGGCTAAAGCGCTCATAACGCAATGTATAGTCCAGCACTTACCTGTAAATGCAGAAAAATACAGCATCCAATGAAAACCGTCATTTCCATCGCGTTCTTGCAGATTATTTTCTTCCAAACAGTTACTTTTCTCCGAACTTTTTATGCTCAATTCTTCGCAGTCGCATTCTGTCATGTCGAATATTGATAACTTAAAAATAAATTCACGTAATCCGACGAATGACCAAAAATGCGACGAATTTTAAGAAAATGTTTGTTTGATATTAACTTTTATTGTTAGTAATCACGGACAAAATATACCTATGTATTTAATATTATAGCAAATGTTTCGAAGGAATCACATTCATTTTCAAAATGCTAAGGTGGGCAAAATATCAGCAAATTAGTAAAATTTCGAAATCAGGGCCGGCTTTTTATTTATTACTTACTTTGAAAAAAGTAGTCAATTAGATTGGACTCGAATTATTCTAAAGACCGTATAAGATTTTTGTAAATATTCTATTTATTTTTTCTAAATAAGATAATGTTGCAGAGATAACGATTACCCGAAAATCGAGAAATGTAGAGGAATATTCCTTTTCTATGAAAAATTCTACAATTTTTTTTATCATGAGTTGGTCCTAACCTTCGGTTTTTGGCGTACTGGTACATACATTCTACTAATATTGTGACTTATTAAAATCCAATCCACTTTTTTAAATTTCTTGGTTTTGTTGTTCTTATTTGTAGTTTTAAACATTTTATTATGACTTATTTTTTATATCGGGTAATTGTCAAATGCTTCTGACCCAAGTCCAGCTCTGTTCAAAATTAATAGTTATTGGTGACAGTTATCTTTGCTAATTGGGTTTTGCGATTTTCATATTTACATATTTATAGGTAGCTTATTTAATACAATAAATGATCCGTGTAAAGAATTAATTTTCTTGGTAATACATTCGTCTGGAGTAGATATCCACGTTTAACACGATTTTGAATAAACAATTTAATAGGTATGCCTCGTGCTTCGTAGAATAAAATATATTTTTCAAAAATATTATGATTTTTCATGAAAATACAGTAATTTATTAATATTTTAATGAGTCCGTCCAATTCTGCTTAATAATTACAAAAGTGAAAGGTAAGTAATTTTCGGAATACCTAAATCCAATCAAAAATGCAAATTTGTGCTTTTCATTTACACCTTAAACCTGTAGGTGACTTAAATACTTGTCTACATTGTACACTTGCAAATTGTATATCATTAACTCATGATAAGCATTACATATTGAATTAAAAAAGAAAATAAAACAATAAAGGAGATAATAATAAAATACAGGGTGTCCGGAAATTCAGGGGACAAACTCCGGGGGTTTGTAGGGGGTGGTAAGTCAAACATTTTGAACACAGGAAATTGGGGTCGCCGGCGTCTCCTAGCGGCGCTAGGCGTCGTCAAAGATGTTTCCATCCAAACTACTCAATAACATTTTAATTTTGTATTTGCATAAAACTTTTCCCCTTGTAGTCTGGTACAAATCTGTATATCAGTAAAAATCCTGTAAAACAGGCTGCGCCGAAAAACCACAAGGAATATTGCACTCCATAATAATGCGTAACCAGTGGAAAAGAAAACATAGTAAAACACATTCCAGAGCCTTCGATAAGCATAACAGACGCACATCCTGTTGCCCTTAAATCGGTAGGGAACAGCTCAGCAGCCAACGTTATAGGCACAGGACCTAAACCTATTCCATATCCTAATAAGAACACGATAATAAATACAATTGGTAACCAAAGTAAATGACTGGTATATGAGAGATTAACAGATTTTAAACAGAAATAGAAACGCAAAGAAACTAAAGCTACAGAGCAAGTTATCGATGATATCAACAATAACTTTCGTTTACCTAACTTTTCAACAATGAAAGAGGACATGGAGCATACTAATAATTGTACAATTCCGGCGATAATTCCGAAAGTATCACCGGAAACGTATCCTTCATCACTGAAAATAGTAGCCACGAATTGAAGTTTTTTTAGCCATTGACGTAGCCATTGACGTAGCCATTGAAGTTTTTTTCTTAAAATGTGTCCAAAAAACATTCCCTTCTGTATTAGCTTGTTATTAAAAAACAACCTCTATAATACACTGGAAAATTTTTAAAAAATTGGGTGTTTTACAGAATTTATAAATATACATAAATTTCATGATAAGTATTATACCCGTACATAATAGTTAATTGATGAGTTTCAGTGTAATTGTTGTAATTAATGCAAAGTTTCTTTTTAAATCGGAATGTGTTTCCCTTTATTATAACATTTCCTAGAACTATTAAAAAATATATAGGTACTGTATAATAAACAGAACTAGAAAAGTTTTGAAACTTGAGCTTAAGAAAAAATATAGGAAGTTATGTACAAAAATGATGCAATTATGCAGTAACTATTCTGAGGTCAAAGTGGGTAGTTAAATTATGTCATTAAGTATTCATTTATAATGGGAAATTATTGCTTCATGAATTATTAATTAACGAATTTACCTAGAAAATTTTATGGAAAAACCATAGTTTGTGACGAAAAATAAATTGCCTATTTATATTTACAATGAAATATTTAAAATTACTATTAGATAATAATTTTCGTATTATCCTATTTTGTACTCATTAAATAAAAATGCGAAAATTCTCTAAAAATTTAATAATGTCGCGCCAAAATATCTTGAATTTCAAACATGCTCTTTCCCTTAGTTTCCGGTATAGTAATATAAATAGCAACAAACGCGAAAATAGATAGCAGGCAATAAAGCCACAAGCAAAAGTGAACTCCTATCGCTTCGGTAATTAAAGGAAAAGAAAACAAGACTATAAATACTTGTATGTTAGTGACAATCATTACGGCAGAAATACCAATTTTTTTTAAATCGTGCGAAAACAATTCGCACGTCATAGTGAACGGTATAGGACCCAATCCTACGCTGTACACCATATAATAAAAAACCACGAAAAATAGAGGTATCCATCCGTACTCTCCGTTAACCAAAATATCATTATTTATCAGATAAAAATATACGCCCAAACAGAACAAATTCAGTACGACGAAAATGCTAGAAAAAAGCAGCAATGGTTTCCTGCCCAATCGTTCCACTAAAAAAGAGGCGACGAACACGAAAACTATCTGTATTCCACCCGAAATGACCCCTATCGAGTTTCCCGAAACGTAACTTCTGGCATCGTCGAAAATCGGAGCCATAAACGCAGTCAGAAGGAAAGCGCCCGATGCTATTTCCGCCGAGAACAGCTCCACAGACAACGCAAAAGACTTAATCGAAGCTCGTGATTTAAATACATCGAAAATCGTGAATTTCCTGGTATCATCTGTCGATTTTTTAATGGTAAGAAACTCCAGCTCGACGTCTTTGGTGCCCCGTAACCGTTTCAGAGCTTTCTTACATCGCGCTTCATTGGAAACTAAAAATACTGGAGACTCCGGTAGAAAATAGGACAGACATAAAAATGACAATGGACAAACTATGCCTATGCAAGCGATGGTTTTCACGTTGGTGAATCCCGCGAAATATGCCACGGTATTTCCAATGGGCACGCATAATCCTTGAAAGCACATCACTTTGCCCCTGTTTGAGTCCAGGGCAATTTCCGAATTGTACGCTGCTAGGTTAGTTGTTATCACTCCATCGCAAAGTCCGATTAAAGCCAAGCACAGAAAATAAATAGAAATGTGCTTGGCGAACGCTAAAACCAGATAACACAGAGAAATAACTGCAGCAATACAAATGAGCGACGTTTTCCTTCCTATTTTGTCTGATATTTTTGATGTGACTAGGAGTGCTATTATTCCTATCGTATTGAATACCAGTGGCAAAGCTGCTAGTGTAGCCGTTTCTATGGGTGTTATGGGTGCTGATAATGGATTCACTTCTGTGTTGTTCGACTGCAGCTTCGGTATTATGGAAGATGGCCATGATGTCGAAAATCCATAAGTAACACCTAGAAGGTCACCTAAAAAAATATGTTGTTTATTAATAACTATTATTGGAAATTTATTTTGTATATTGGCAGAATTAGAAGTTAATATATAGCTTAATAAAAAATATTAAATTTTAGTCGTTACTATTTATAATGTTGGGCGTTGAAGGGCCAACCTTTTTGGTGTAAATGATTATACATATTACATTATTGGAACCACATGCAATACTGCACGCTGAAAAACTTAGAAGCCAGAGGAAAACAGAACATAATGAAACAAACAGCTGAATTATCAGATACCAAAACAACTCCACAACCCATTGCTCTCAGGTCATCCGGGAACAATTCCAGATTCAGTGTGATAGGTCTCAAGCCTATACCGTAGCCTATCACGTATAAAACTATGGCCAAAATTGCCAACCAAATCATATCGTTAGAGTTCTGCATGAAGAAACGAAGGAAATACACAATTGAATCACACCTGTAATAAAACCGAAGAAGTCGTCAGATAAACGACCAGATTAGCTGAAAATCGACGACATGAATGCCAGAATAACGAAGATTCCGGATAGCTGTTGCACGGACTGACCACTATGCACATGGAGAAGGCTCGCCTGGCCGTTTGGTTTCTGAAAACCTCAAGGAAACTGGTTCTTTGTCTTCTTATCGAAGTCGCGATTAAAAACTCGATTTTATTGCATTCGATTTCGATTTTCTTGGAGTCCGTTCTGTTGTATCATATACATTCGCTGTAGGAACCATGCAAAATAGAGTAAGTTAGAGAACCGACAATGTACCCCAGGAGCACCCCGTAGGAATAGCCATTCCCATGAAGCAACCCAGTTTGCCTCTATTTCCATCTTCCGCTATTTCATTCGTATAAACTGGATTATAAATGCTGTTAAAGTTAAGACTCTCTTGCGCCCGATGGCGTCTGATAATCTGGCCGAAGGTAAAAGAGAAAAGATGCCCGATATTGGTCCTAATGTCAACAACACAGATATTTCGTTTGTTTCCATTGGGCGTCCTAAAGGATTAATATTTGTATCATATGATATAACATTCCTTTCTTTCGGATCCTCCCACAATTTGTTACATATTTAATTTTTCTTTAACTTTAAACTGTTTTCTAAAATAATGTACCTACATACCTGTAAAAGCAGAAAAACCTAGCATCCAGGAAAATCTATATTTTTCTTTCGGTTGTTTATCCCTTTCCTCTGTAAAATAGTGCACCTGGACACATTTTTCTTGAATTCTTTCACATTCACATTCAGTCATTTCGATTAATAAGAGTCGGAAAAATAAATTGAGCTAACCCGACCAACGTTCAATATTGCAATAAACGATAAGAAAATCATATGCTAATAAATATGGTTACAATTTATTTAATTTTACTGCATATATGACATACCGTAGACACTTCCGAGTACCTATCTAAATAAATTAAACGAAAGGAAAAATGAATTTTAAAAATTCGGGTAAATTACTAAGTAAAATTTCGTAAACAGGTTCGTATTGAACTTGCTGAAATATGTATACCTTATACCATCTCGTTAGGCATTGACGTCACGAGCCAGCCTGTTGCAACGTTGCCGGGTTGTAATTGAAATCCTTTATATGACAGATATATTTTATTTAAGTTAAATTCCCCTAGTCAAATGGGAGAAATAACATTGGCACTAGGGAAATGTTGAACTGCGTGGAAATTACTAAAAATTACGTCATTGCCTAACGAGATGGTATAAGGTATAAGATAAATCTTGTTTTTTTTAAGTAGACAATGTAAGTTTTATGTCCGATTGCACGACCTTTACTTAAATCTCCAGCTTAATTAACTTGCACTTAACTCCAAGTTTCACTTACCTATTTTAAGTATTGCACCACTGACACTTAGGGTCAACTTAGTAAAACGCCTCTTAGCTCTGGCAACATTGCCTAGATCTAGTTTTATTTTGGTGTTTAATGTTGGTCAGTCTGCAAATTGGCCAACTTAACTTCACATTATAATTCGTATTTCGTTTGATTTGGGGGCGTATTCGCGCATTTAATATAAAGGTGGCACAACTGCAATATTCTGCGATTTGGAACGCTTGTAGAGTCTGACAAAAAAATCCCTCTTTAAATAAAATGAAAGCAAAAAAGCAAATTAGATGTCTCAATTTTACTAGGGAAGAAATAAACGTTCTTTTGATATAATTGTTTAATTCAAAAACAAGAAAAAGAAAGAAAGGGTATGTTTCAGATTCCATTTTTCACGGGCATTTCAATGACCCTACACACGACATACCTTTGCATTTGAAAAAATAAAGTTGGGTAGGGTTGCAACTAAGGGGTTGAAGAAAAAAAAATCATTTTATTGGCAACAAATCCGTCCAATATAAAATCAATTCACGTGTTTCAGCGTTTTTTGTTTAAATTACTGGTTCAACAGATAATAATTTTGATCTACACGAATACACTTTGTTTCTTTATAGTATGTACGAAACTATTTTAGACAATTTTATCAATAATGATAAACCCGTTGATTCTAATTGAAAAATCATTTTTTCGAAAACAGTTCATACTTTTATTTTATTATTAATACAAAATTCTAAATAACATTAACTCATGATAAGTATTACATATTGAAGTGAAAAAGAAAATAAATAAATAAAACAATAAAGGAGATATAACCAAATAACATCTTTTATATACCAAAATAATATTTTTTAAGATAATTAATTCGATATATGTATAGCAACAATTTATAGAAAAAAATTTAACGTCAACTCAGCATTTCTTGTATTTGTAATAAACTTTTCCCCTTGTAGTCTGGTACAAATCTGTATATCAGTAAAAATCCCGTAAAACAGGCTGCGCCGAAAAACCACAAGGAATATTGCACTCCATAATAATGCGTAACCAGTGGAAAAGAAAACATAGTAAAACACATTACAGAGCCTTCGATTAGCATAACAGACGCACATCCTGTTGCCCTTAAATCGGTAGGGAACAGCTCAGCAGCCAACGTTATAGGCACAGGACCTAAACCTATTCCATATCCTACTAAGAACACGATAATAAATACAATTGGTAACCAAATTAAATGACTGGTATATGAGAGATTAACAGATTTTAAACAGAAATAGAAACCCAAAGAAACTAAAGCTACAGAGCAAGTTATCGATGATATCAACAATAACTTTCGTTTACCTAACTTTTCAACAATGAAAGAGGACATGAAGCATACTAATAATTGTACAATTCCGGCGATAATTCCGAAAGTATCACCGGAAACGAATCCTTCATTACTAAATATAGTAGCCATGAATCCTAGCAAAATGAATATCCCAGAAAATTGCTGAGTAGCACACACCAGCACGCTTATTAAAAAAGCTTTCCTGCAAGATCGATTCCTGAAAACACCTAAAATACTCTTATTTTGTTGTTTGATGTTATTTTCGATAAATAACTCGATTTTACTATACTCAATATCTATCTGCTTGCGGTCTTTATACGTCCTCAACGCATCCAAGCAACGAATACCCTCAAATCTTCTCCCTTTTAGAGCAAAATACATCGGCGACTCGACCGTGAACATGGCCAGCACTAAATGAAGGATACACGGAACGGTGGAAACGAAGAAAAACTTTTTTATACCAAAAACGAGTCCCAGAATGTAACCGAAGAGGACGCCCGTAGGCTGGCCCATTCCCATGAAACACCCCAGGCTTCCTCTGTTCTTGTCCTCGGCGATTTCGTTGTTGTAAACGGGAACGCAAACTAAAATAGCTGATGTGCAGGCACCGAGAATCGTCGCAAAAGCGAAAAAGGACCAAACGTGCCTCGCGAAACTCACTGCTACGTAATTGGAGATCGATACAATAGCTATTAGTAATAATACTTTCTTTCTCCCTATGGTATCTGATAGTTTAGCTGATGGCAAAAGTGTCAATGAAACCATCACTATTGCTACGGTTCCTAATAATGATATTTCGGTCACTTCTATGGGACGTTCTAATGGGTTGATGGTTGTGTCGTTGGACATCAGTCTAGGAAGTATAGGAGACAACCATACGCAATTGAGGCCTGCGTTTATCAGCAATAGATTAGCTGAAAATATTAAAAAGATTAATAATAAAGTCGACTAGTAATGATGTACCTACCCATTGGATAACAATTGCTTAATTTCTACACGAAAATATATACATATATAAATTAATAAATTACCAGTAAATGAAGACAAGTATAAGAGCCATGGAAATGAAGTTTTTTCAGTCTCGATTTGTGTTTTGGCTTCATCTTCGTCAGTGAAATCTCTGTGTTGTTCACTATCAACTAATTTTTCACTGCCGCTGTTATCAGCCATGATTAAGTCTTTTAAAAAAATTTAAACTCGTGTGTACTTAAACTTACTGATGTGTACTTATACTTGCTTAAATAAAAATAATTAAAATGAAGGATATGAAAATTCTTCGCCTTAATTAGTACAAAATTTATGTACATATCTTTACTTTATAGCTCCGTCATATTAGCTGGTTTTTCACACCAGACTGGACTGGGTTATTTATCGCAGGCCTTTTATTTATTCAGTGGTGTTTTTAATGGTTGATAAAAAATATAATTTTGATTAATATGTTTTGGTCAATGGGTTAAAAATTTTGATATTTATCGCCACTTTCTAGAGAAATGTTCGTACAATGCGTAATATTTATATTAATTATATTATCTCGATTATTTTTAGTTATGAATTTTTAATTCACAAAATTGCTTTACCGAGAACATTTATTTACGTATACAAACAATTTGAATTCATGTACTTACTAGAATAAAATATTCCCTGTTTATTATTCATTTTACTTCCGGGTGAATGTAATACGTATGTATGTAGCTGATAGAACGTTAAGGCAAAGGCACAAAATTAAATTTAATTAAAATAGAAATGCGTGTGTTAAAAAAATGGTGGAGTCTCCAGGAGCATTATTTAATTCATATAGGGCAAAATTTATTTCATTCAAGATTTTTCTGAATGGCTGCTTAAGTAAAGGAACTGAAAAAATATTTTTTTAATATACAGGGTGGCCCAGAACTCACGCCCCACCGGGAAATGCCTTATGGAAGCGACAATGGAGAAGCCAAAACTGCAGTCGAAAACGTGAACAACGTGAAACGTTGACATTATTGACAGATTCTATGTCCTTTTCACTTTCAAGGTTAACAAAAGCTGCCAAAATTAGCTGCGACTATTGATCAAAGATTTGCTTCCAAATCCATCATTCAAAGCTCCGTCGTGCTGATAACAAACCTACAGAATTTTTTATTGCTTCAAAAGTGGTTCGAATCGAATGATCGATTTTTTGATCAATTTGGAAGCTGAAGCAAATCTTTGATCAATAGGAACAGCTGATTTTGGCAGCTTTTGTTAACCTTGAAAGTGAAAAGGACATAGAATCTTTCAATAATGTCAAATTGGTGTACAGCTCATTCACGTCATTTTCGTGGATTTGAACTGCAACTGGGATTGGTCGATTTTAAACCTCTTTATTTACCAAATGAAAAACTTTTTTATGTTTTCGATTGCAGTTTTCGCATCTCCATTGTCGGTTCCATAAGGTCTTTTCCGGTGGGGCGTGAGTTCTAGGCCACTCACCCTGTATAATAAAATAAGAAAAGTGGACAAAAAAGGCACAACAATTGTTAAAAGCTACATTCATTTAACCAGAATTTATATTCCTTTATATTCATAAATAGCGCTATTAAAATAATAAAGTGCTAATAAATAATTCAAGAAAATATAAGGTAGATATTTAAATTAAAGATAATACGAATATTTGGGAAGTTTTAACTCCGTGTTATTCGCCGTCTTTATATTTAATAACATACTTCATTTACAATGGTAATTTGTTACGTTAATTTTTTGAGTTTATAATAGTAGGTATACCTATACCTAAGCAACAATATAAGTACAATGTATTTATTCATTAACGTTAACGTCATGTATTATTGCTGTAGAATACCCGTAAATACTCATAAATAAATAGGAAAACGCCAATAAAAACAACAAACACTACAACCACTCTCTGCACGTGTAAATACATATAATATACAAAATATAAAATTCATAAATAATACAAAATAAACCTACTCATCAGGTAATAAATATAAAGTTACATAAAAAGTATGTCTTAATATTATTCAATATAGGAAGCTGTTTATAACCACCAAATAAAACTTTCACCAATTTAACTCGTCCTGTATTTGAACGAAGCTTTTTCCTCTGGTTTCCGATACAAAAAAATATGTCAATGCAGCCCCAATTATGCAGCAAGCGCTAAAAAACCACATGTAATATTGCACTCCAAAATACTCCTTAACCACCGGGAAAAAGAACATAGTTATCGCCATAATCGCGTTATCAATCAGCATGACACTGGCGCAACCTGTGGCCCTCAAATCATTAGGGAACAGTTCAGCTGGCAAAGTTATAGGCACAGGCCCCAAGCCTATTCCATATCCCACTATAAACACCACTAGAAACGATATCGGCAACCAAATTAGGTTATCCGTGTGAGCGGGATTAAGGTATTTCACGTGGAAATAAATACCCATACAAAACAAAGCTATTGAACAAACAATCGAGGAAGTTAGGAGTAATGTACGTTTACCCAATTTCTCCACGATCAAAGAGGAAACGAAAAATACGAATATTTGGACGATTCCCGTGATAATACCGAAAGAGTCGCCGGAAATGTGGCCTGTATCGTTAAATATGGTAGCCATGAAGCCTAACAGAATGAATATGCCGGAGAGTTGTTGGGTTGCACTGGCTATTACACTCATTAGGAAGGCTTTCCTCGAAGGGCCGCTTCGAAAAATATCCAATACATTCCTCTTCTTTTGCTTGCTGTAATCGACAACAATGCACTCAATTTTGTTGTATTCCAATTCTATCTGCTTAGCTCCCTGGTACTTTCGTAGCCTCTCCAAACAATTCATGCACTCTACTTTCTTCTTTTGCTGAGCCAGGTACGTGGGCGATTCGACTATAAAAATCGCGAGGATTAAATGCAGCATGGGAACAGAAATAGCGATCCAGAATAACGTGCAGACGTCTACGGCCGGTCCGTAGAGGTAGCACAAGAGAATGCCAGTGGGCACGGTTATTCCCATGAAACATCCAATTTTTCCTCTATTTCCGTCCTCGGCGATTTCGTTATTGTAAACGGGAACGCTTACTAAAATAGCCGACGTGGTGACGCCGCAAATTATGGTGAAAATGTAGTAAGACCACACATGTCTCGCCAAAGCCGCACCGATGTAATTGATAATCAACATGATTGCTATGAGAATTAGCATTTTCTTTCGGCCTATGATGTCTATTAGTTTGGCTGATGGTAGGTACGTTATTAAGCCACTAAGTGGTACTAGAGACGCCAATATGGAAGTTTCTGGCAAAGTCAACGGTCTTCCCAAGGGATTGATCGTGGTGTCGTTGGATTGCAATCTGGGAAGTATGGGGGAGATCCATACGGTATTGGCACCGGCACTTAGCATTAGAAGGTTTGCTAAAAAAAAAATTGACAAAATTAATGATACTGTGATGTTAAATTCAGAATAAATTTTGCCGCCGAACACAAAGCAAGAATAAAAAATTATCCGTTGAAAAATTATATTAAAAAAATATTATTTACCTGCTAGCGAACACAAGTACAAAAGCCAAGGGAAAGAGGCGCACTTGCTCCTTAAATTTTGTCTTTCCACATTTTCTTCATCGAATTTAATTGTGGGTTCGGTGTCGAATAATTTCTGGCTACCGCAATCAGCCATGTCCAATATCCAATAAGATCAAAACTAAACTGAAGCTAGAAAACATTAATGTCAACGGTTATAATTTTGCTGTTTCTCTAATTATAATAACAAATTTATTTATTTATTCCTAATTGGATCGGTCCCCAACAGGAGTTATCGTATAGCGGATCATTGGGTATGTTAGTACGTAAATTGCAATTTACCTGAAAACGACCGGATTGATAACAATATTTTTCATGAGGCCAGGGTCGATTTTGCTAAATCTTCGCACTAATGGTTGATGTTTTCGTATTTTGCTTTTATTTGTTTTTCGTTTGGTAATAAATTCGATCAAGCGACACTTACGAATTTTAATTGCTGATTATTTTTCGGCAACTGGACGATTACTGTCGCCTAAAGCAGGGAGAAATTAATTAACACTATCTGTGGTATACACTTGTAATGTAAAACATTACATATATGATGTAAAAATATATTGCGCACTAGACTATTTTATAAATGATTAACAGAGAAGGAATAAGAAATTAAAAGTCAAAAACTTTCTGGTCAGATTAGGTTATAAAAATTACGAAATTTGTTCCATTTATCTTGTAAAACGAAAATAATACGAAGATTGAATGAACGATAATAAATTTACTCTCCTCTCAAATCTAATACATTTCTTATAATTACTTAAAAAAGTCGTAACAAATAAAAATTGAGAATAAGATTTATATTATTTAAAATAGAGAATATGGCAAGCCACTCCTGTTGGTTAAAATTATCATAATTTTCAAATTTTCTGATAATGTTATTTTAAGAATTTTATTTTATTTACGCTGGGTGTTTTACAGAATTTATAAATATACATAAATTTCATGATAAGTAATGTACACGTACCTACATAATAGTTAATTGATGAGTTTCAGTGTAATTGTTATAATAAATGCAAAGTTTCTTTTTAAATCGGAATGTGTTTTCCTTTATTCTAACAATTCCTAGAACTATTAAAAAAAAGAATATAGGTACTGTATAATAAACTAGAAAAGTTTTGAAACTTGAGCTTAAAAAATATAGGAAGTTACGTAAAAAAAAGGATGCAATTATGCAGTATAGAACTGCATAACAAAGAACTTTGCAAGAACAAAGTAGGGTAGGTAGTTAAATTATGTCATTAAGTATTATTCATTTATGATGGGAAATTATTGCTTCATGAATTATTAATTAACGAATTTACCAATAAAATTTTAAGGAGAAACCATAGTTTGTGACAGAAAATAAATTACCTACTTATATTTACAACGAAATATTTAAAATTACTATTTGATAATAATTCTCGCATTATCCCATTTACTAAAAATGTATTAATGTCGCGCCAAATTATCTTGAATTTCAGACATGCATTTGCCCTTAGTCTCCGGTATAGTAATATAAATAGCAACAAACGCAAAAATAGATAGCATGGAATAAAGCCACAAGCAAAAGTGAACTCCGATCGCTTCAGTAATTAAAGGAAAAGAAAACAAGACTATAAATATTTGTATGTTAGTGACAATCAACACGGCAGAAATACCAATTTTTTTTAAATCGTGCGAAAACAATTCGCACATCATAGTGAACGGTATAGGACCCAATCCTACGCTGTACACCATATAATAAAAAACCACGAGAAATAGAGGTATCCATCCGTACTCTCCGTTAACCAAAATATCATTATTTATCAGATAAAAATATACGCCCAAACAGAACAAATTCAGTACGACGAAAATGCTAGAAAATAGCAGCAATGGTTTCCTGCCCAATCGTTCCACTAAAAACGAGGCGACGAACACGAAAACTATCTGTATTCCACCCGAGATGACCCCTATCGAGTTTCCCGAAACGTAACTTCTGGCATCGTCGAATATCGGAGCCATAAACGCAGTCAGAAGGAAAATGCCCGATGCTATTTCCGCCGAGAACAGCTCCACAGACAACGCAAAAGACTTAATCGAAGCGCGCGATTTAAATATATCGAAAATTGTGAATTTCCTGGTATCATCTTTCGATTTTTTAATGGTAAGAAACTCCATCTCGACGTCTTTGGTGCCCCGTAACCGTTCCAGAGCTTTCTTACATCGCGCTTCGTTGGAAACTAAAAATACTGGAGACTCCGGTAGAAAATAGGACAGGCATAAAAATGACATTGGGCAAATTATGCCAATGCCAGCGATGGTTTTAACGTTGGTGAATCCCGCGAAATATGCCACGGTATTTCCAATGGGCACGCATAATCCTTGCAGGCACATCACTTTGCCCCTGTTTGAGTCTTGAGCAATTTCCGAATTGTACGCTGCTAGGTTAATTGTCATCACTCCATCGCAAAGTCCGATTAACGCCAAGCACAGAAAATAAATAGAAATGTACTTGGCGAACGCTAAAATCAGATAACATAGACAAATTACTGCTGCAGCACAAATAAGTGACATTTTCCTTCCTATTTTATCTGATATTTTTGATGTGACTAGGAGTGCTATTATTCCTATCGTATTGAATACCAATGGCAAAGCTGCTAGTGTAGCCGTTTGTATGGGTGTTATGGATACTGATAATGGATTCACTTCTGTGTTGTTCGACTGCAGCTTCGGTATTATGGAAGATGGCCATGATAGCGAAAATCCATAACTAACACCTAAAAGGTCACCTAAAAAAATATGTTGTTTATTAATAACTATTATTGAAAATGTATTTTGTGTATTGACAGAATAAATGATTATACAGGGTGTCCCTGAAAGTGTGGGAAATTTATCGGATCCATATAGAACATGAAAAAATAAGATGAGAAGTTCCTATAAAGTTTTTCACTACAGGCCCTCCCTACGAAGATATGCGTCCTTGAAGTGCGCCGCTGGAAATAGGTTTTTTCATTTCAGGATATCATTTAAAAAAAAATTAATATAGTGGACACTAGTAAGAACCTCACAAATTAGTGTCTTTGAAACATATTTAACTTGTTTAGTTTAGCAGGGCCGGGCTAAGGTTTACACCTTAATACCTAAATTTTCAACACCTTGTATGATAAAGACCTAAAAATGATAAATCTGGAAATCTTGAACCTTAGAAAAAAGGTACTCCTCTCAATTGTCGATAAAATGAACCGTTTATGAGAAAAACAATAATAAATAAATGAACCAGTACTTGTAAACTAGAAACGGTGGTGCCACATAGTGCATGAAGTACGTATGTTTCAGTGGGTTTTAAATGGTAAGTGCTCTATTAAATCAAGAAAAGCGCTCTGAAGTAAAGTTACCGATTAAAGTTATCCAATGCGGATTTTCATCATCCCATACATGTAAATTGTGTAAATTTGTGATACCATTTCTGGTAAAAACAAATAGTTTATTATTGTTTTTCTCGTAAACGGTTCATTTTATCGACAATTGAGAGGAGTACTTTTTATAAGTTTATGATTCAAGCTTTCCATATTTAAGTTTTTTAAGTCTTTATCATACAGGGTGTTGAAAATTTATGCGTTAAGGTGTTAGCCTTAGCCCGGCCCTGGTAAACTAATAAAGCTAAATATGTTTCAAGGACACTAATTTTTGAGGCCCTTAGTAGTGTCCATCATATTAAATTTTGTTTAATTATATCAAGTACTTTAGAAGATATTTAAGGAAAACCTATTTCCAGTGGCGCCCTTCTGGGACTCATATCTTCGTAGGGAGGGCCTGTAGGGAAAATTTTTATAGGAACTTCTCATCTTATTTTTTATGTTCTATATAGATCCAAGAGATTTCCCACACTTTCAGGGACACCCTGTATAACTTTATTGGAAATTTTTTAACCTCTTCTACAATGCGTCTTGTCGCGAGTCTTAACTACTCTGCTACGTCTTTCGTACCTTACCATATAATTACAATTCTATATAGTCTGCAAAAAGATGATGGACTTTTACACGATTACTTAGCGCTTCCTGTATATTGAGGTAAAATACCAGCAATTTGTAATATTGAGTAATAATAATTGAATATAGGAATGTGCAAATTATGCATTGTGACACAATTTCATTACTACTAAACTAATAAGTGCATTACAAAATAACTACATTTAAAACAATTATACCCGATTTCACCAACCAGTTCCTAAAGTTAGGTAATACCTAAACCGGATTTAGGAATTCATAAGTACAATTTGCGTTTCACCATGCACTAAGTAATACCTAAAGGTAATAGGAAATGCCTAAAGTTAGGACAGCTCACTGGGCTTGCCTAAAACATTTAGGAAACACTTAACCATACTTTTCATGTGATTTCATGTGACTTAAGACTTGACTGTCTTTAGACGAAAATCTGAAATGAGAGGAGAGTTTTGAGAAACTTTTGTTGACGAAACTGATTTTTTTCGACTTTTTCGATACATAAAAATACGGCATTACAATTAGAAAGAATTGAAGATGATTTTTAATTTGAACCACAGGAAGTTTTCTGATACAAAGTGGGAACAGATGTGAGTCCCAACACAAGCAGCCGAGAGTAATTGAAAGGCTAACTGCAGGCTATCCAAATATTATGGGAACTATTGACCGTACACATGCATGTAAAGATTGTCCTGGAGGAGAAGATGCAGAAATAATTTAGAAATCGGAAAGGCTATTTTTCTATTTATGTACAGACTACATATCTTCAGCATATTTAAAAATAACTAACATAGTTTAAAGATGGCCCGGATGATCAAAACCTCTTCTTTTCTCTCAACATATTCAATTATGATCTCCGCTTATTCGGTTTGCACGTCAAAATTAGGCAATGCCAATAAAATTCAAAAAAATTGTCGAAATCAAATTTTTACCTAGGTATTTCTTAGTAAGGGATTTCTAATGTTGGTGAAATTCGTTTTAGGTAAATATTCGATTTAAGTAATTCCTACCTTAGGAATTACTTTAGTTAGGAAATGCCTAAGAACATGTTGGTGAAATCGGGCATTAGGTATGTTACACCAAATTATACATGCTTTTCAAGGAAACCGTCCATTAGAAGTTATAGGAGATCCTAAAAAGTTAC